AAAAAGGAAAAAGAAAGTAAATTTCTTTCCAATACAGTCTCTCCTCCATTCATCTCATTCTATTTCCATTTTCAACTGCAAGAACGAACTCCCAGCAGCCACCAGAACATGTAACAAAGCGGTAGGTATGTAAGTGATAATTACACGCTAATTCCACTTGGCGTCCCTCTCCACACACACACACACACACACAAAAACACACACCCTAGACATAGAATCTAACATGTTATGAACAACAAGAGCTATCTACACGGAATAAGGCGATAGTTCCAAATTATTGCCGCTCTCCTACCCACATTCCAGCCAACCAGGAATATCCAACCTGGTTTACTGCTTAAAGAATTGAACACCTACACACAATCACCTCTCCTTGGCCCACCTCAAGCGCCTTGTTTTCTCTCACGTTTATTTCATCTAAATAACATTTGAGGAATGCTTACAACTCAATTGTGGTGGGGGAAATGGGGGATCACGAATGCCACAGGGAGGAGGGAAGTCCCGCGACGCCGTTCACCCCCCAAAATAAGAGATGAAAAATGAAAAATGAAAAAAATGAGGGGAAAAAAATCCATGTCATATTTTGAAGGCAAACAAGAACGAATTTTTCGTTCTCCTAGTTAGATGTACATTTCAATGGAATTAGATAACCTTGGTAGCATGGAGGAGGATAAGGTAACTGATTGATTGATTGATATATGTAAGGGAAGTATGATAAAATAAGGTGAAAAGAGGAAACAGAACTTGAAAGAAGCAGATAATATTTCAAAAAGGGAGTAGAAGGTGTGTGTGGGGGGAGAGAGGAGAGAAGAGCAAAACAGAACATACATAAATGAAAGGAAAGAAAATATTTTCAAGAGGAAAATAAGAATGGAAAAAAAGGAATTGAGGAAGGAAAAATGGAATAACGTAGATGAAACAAAAAGTTCAATAGCTAGATTCTACATACGCGTGAATGAGATATGAACAAAGCAAGATAGAAACCAATAAAAGCTCAAACACCAAAGGCAACGCGCGATAACAAATTGAGGACCGGACAAAAATACAGGTCCAGTGTGAATGGAGGGAAAAAGAAGTTGAGGAGAGCTGAAGAGAGAAATCAATTACGGAACTAGAAATAATAAATAAATGGAATAGGGTAACAGCGGATATCAAGGAGGTATATAAGGTTCATAGATGGAAACAGAAGAAAAACGCATCTGTGGGTGCACCTAAGTTCTATCATCATATATAAATGTGTTATTTTTTTTTGCCCCTTTTTGATTTGACTCTCACTTAGGTGCCATTATCTCTTCCAGGAAATCAGTCTTCGCGCGCATTGTTGGGGTATTGTTTGTTATAAGAGGGAATGGAGTGGGACTAGAGGAAGTAGTGGTATCGGTATAGATAGAATACGGAAACTCAAGGAACGGATAAGGACAGTTGAAAAATAAAAGAAAATAAAACCGTAAAGGAGACAGGATGAATGGCCTCTTTAAGTCGAGAGAGCCGAATATAGAAATTGAAAATTTGGGGGAAGGGGGGCCACGAATTATACTATGAAATACGCGCCCAGAGAGTAAACTGAAAAAAAAAGGAAGAGAAAAAAGAAAGGAAAATGAGATATAGGGAGAAAATGAAATCGAAGCATATAACAGGAAATAAACTGGGGTTGACGTTGGAGACTTTCGTGCGGGAAATGATATGTAAAGATGAAGGGTCCAAGCAATGAGGCGTTCGGGCAGGTGATATTTGGAGCAATTGTAGAATACCGCCTGCCGTCCGACTCAATAGGGGAATGTTAGAAGAACAGATATCAGGATAAGAATGCTTAAGTATGTCGTCCAGCATCATTCTATCGAGTCATAGAGTTTTGTGTTTTGTGTGTTTTCTTCTCCTCTTTTCTCTTTCTTTTCAGAGAGTGCAGAATGATAGTTGTCTGGTTGCGTGTGTATCATCGTAGCTCCGTCTTCGGGGGCGGTTTCTTCTTCTTCTTTTTCTTCAAATCTTCCTCCCCTTTAATCGCCCTCAACAATTCTTGTACGTCCTTTCATTTATTAAAGTCCTCCTACATGATGGCGCATCTTGAGCAGCACCCATTCCCCTCTTCGTGCTCATCCATCTCCATCTTTTCTGGGGCTCGGGATCCATAGCCGCCACCTCCTGACGAATACGATGACATCTCCTTGTTATAACGGCGAATTTCCCGTACAATATCGTAGAACGCGTTGTCGACATTGATGCGAGATTTTGCTGAGGTCTCGATAAATTTGCAACCAAAGTCGCGGGCCAATGCTTCACCCTCTGTAATTTCCCACGAATCGTCAGTGCTGTCAATAGAAGAAATATAATACGACGAATATTGGACCCATCGTATTGCCTAAGGAAAATTAAATATTAATAAAACCGTTTCGTACCTTGTTCAGATACCACCCGTTCTCTCTCCAAGTCGCACTTATTGCCAACGACGATGATGGGAAAATAGTCCTTGTCCTTCACGCGCAATATTTGTTGCTGATAGGTCATGATTTCTTCGAATGACTGCCTAGAAGTGATGGAGTACACCAAAAGGAAACCCTCGCCTGTCCGCATATATTGTTCTCGCATGGCTGAGTATTCTTCCTGTCCAGCTGTGTCGAGAACGTCTAGCAGGGCAACCTCATCGTCGATAACGCATTGTTTCCGATACGAGTCTATCCTCACGGAGTTTTGTGACCGCAGTGTAAGTTAACACGGCCAGTTGATTTTGAGGGGGGGGAGAAAGGAAAGGGACCACAGGAGTGACGCCGCCCACCTTCGATTGTTGGATCGTACTCATCGACGAAATGGCTCTGGATCAATTGGATGGTCAAACATGACTTCCCAACACCTCCTCCACCGACAACGACCAGCTTGTATTCTCGAAGAAACTGTTGAGAAAGGGGCACGACTTAGTATATCTCACGGATTGATATCCTCGTTTTGTTTCCCCGTTGTCCTCTTGAGAAATGGACATTGGGATCGATGGGAATGGAGATAGGGGTGGAGTGTGGAGGTAGGCGTTGAATTGGCATTTCACTAACCTTTGAAGCCATGACACCGAAATGTGGTTGGTTGAGAACCGAAACTCGTTGGGTTCAGGCAAAGGGAATGAATGACGACGACGAAAAGGTGGCGAGAGTATGTCAATTGCAGCCCCGGTGGAGAGGCTGGTTCGAGAGACAACGAATGTTCTGAGGGTGTTCTAGGAAGAAGAATGGGCGCAAAAAAAACTACTTGGCCACACAGGGGGGACAAGCGAGAGTAAACCCAAAGCCAAGCAAGCTTAGACGAAGTCAGGGGGCTTTAGAATCGAGAGAAAACCTTGGAAGAGAAGGTTGGATCAAGGGTAGGTGGGTGTGGAGATGACGGAAACAATGATGGGAGTGAAGAGGAGAGGCGAGAATCGAGATGGACGCAGGACAGAGGAGAAGAACGATGGCGCTTCACCCAACCGTTGTGGAGGCGGGGACTGTTGAACTTGTGGAAGTTGTGGTCTGGGGTTGGCGGTGGGTTCTCACTTCGTTCTGGGTGCGGACCAGACGACGAAGCTACTTTGTTAGGCGGGTTTAGGAGTGGTTTAGGGAGGGTTGGAGAGTCGAGTCCAAGGTTTAGCAGGTTTAGCAGGTTTAGCAGGTTTAGTTGGTTTAGTTGGAATGTGGCAGTTACCGATGACAGATTCCCATGAACTTGAATCACTCCATCGATTGAATTGAATTGAGGAATTGCAGATTCCACAACAAGAATGCGACATGGCTGCTGTTCCCGTCGTGCTGGTACACACAGCAAGTACTAGGATGTGCAGTACATACATGTAGTGTCCATGTACCAGTACAAATCACTTGCTCTCGTCCAGCACACTACCCTATGTCACTCTGCACACGATGTACCCCCTATTATTCGCGCAGCCGATATACTGGTTTCTACCTCGACATATACACACCACAGGGATGCATACAAGACCACAAATATCCCCAACTCTCCTCTGTTTGTGATCCTTATCATAACCCGTTGCCAATGATCCCCAGCTATTCGTGGATATCACGGGCGCCATCACAAGCTGCTAAAATTAATAGCCCAATCGCCCCCTCCTCGCTTCCCGGGGTTTGTGTGCCCTCACTGAGTTCCTTTCTACCATTTCCTCCTATCATCTTGCGCGGGCATTGCAGTTCTAGGTTAACCTGCTGTGTATGGTCCGTCCGCTTGCGCGGGGCTGCACTCCACACTCTGCATGGGCTTTTACTCTCTCCATCCCTGGCTCTTTCAAACCTATTGCGTTGCCGTGTATGCACAGAGCTGCGGGCAAAAATTAAAAAAAAAATATTAGAGCATGCAACTTGAACCTGCATATCTTTGCTCTGGCCACATCCATTCACATCCGTCCAAAAAATCACTAGCAGAAGGGGAAAAACATAAAAAGAAAAGATAACTTACTCGCGGCCCAACCCACTATCTCCAAGAGTGAGTGGTAAGCACTGCTGTGCGAAATATCACGTTTTTTCATCCCCAACCACGCGATTAAAATCTAGACAGTAGATATTTAATTATTTCAATCAGGTCGTATTAACTATATGTGAAATTAGAATCTAAATCATATTAACTGTCTTCTAAATAATCAGAATTGATAGATTGTGAAACTTCTGAAGAATATCTAATATCTGTTGATTGACATCTCTATTAAACTGCTTTGATGTTCAGATGACATATTTGATAATGAAGTTGTTGTTATAAAATATGAGAAAAAGTGACCTGCTTGATGATGTGGCCTGCTTACTGATAGATTATATTATGTGAAAAATGTTGTAAAGATTTGCTACAGGTTATACACTTGAAATTTGATTTTTATTGAATGCTTTGATAGTAAGATCTTTTGCCCTAGTGGCCTAATAAGATGTTGTTGGGGGGATTGGATTGGGTGATTCGTACCCTCTATACCACCACGGCGCTGGTGGTGATTGAGCTCTTTTGCCCTAGTGGCCTAATAGATGTTGGTATCCCTCTCGCTAGAATGCCACGTGACCACACCTATTTAAGCACTGGTGCGCCCGCTAGATACTTACAAAGAGTATACACTCAAATGACAACAGCGCCTGGATAGAAGATACAAGTGTATGGTTGGGTACTGCTGGAACAGTAGGATGCTAGTGCATTTGGTTTAATGATGTCAGATCATATGTGTCCAGAATGACATATTCATGCTAGTAGAACTGCATATTTTCTGCCCTCATTTCAGATATCTAGGCATAGAGTACAAACAATGGGTATAATTCATAGGGCATGTCTTAACAATAGGGTATTGATTTTGGATGCCGGATCTGATAACTACCATCCTGTTGATGATGTATACCACCACCATGCCTCAACTGTACTCTCATACTGATGCAGTATCATGGGCAGATACTTTGTAGCCCATTCACCCTTGAATTCTGCAGTGTAGTGAGCTTTCCGATCTTCCCAGTACTCTGGCATCCAGCCTGATTGCTCCCAGTCAAAAATTGAAACAACCCGCGATGGCTCTGACTGAGATACCATGATATTGCTTGGATGGAGATCTCCATGTGTGAATCTTATTGCACAATCATCAGGAAGATCGGCGCGAAAGGGCTCTATCGGAATAGAGTAAGGATCTGCCATGGGGCGCCGGCAGAGGAAAATGAACCAGTCATGAAACTCCTTGACAGACTGGAAAGGCCCTGCTTCTGCCATGAACTGTTCACCAATAGCCCTGTCATACAATTGTTCCCGCCTGATGTTGCCTAAACACAGTGGGTTTTAGTGGACATATTAAAAACAGGTTTAGTACAGAGTGGGAATTACCTATAAACAGGTCTTGGGGATCCTGCCTGAGGCATCGTACGTTGGAGATGTAAGTATGAAGTTGTAAACAAACATTGGTGCGCTCGTCTGGGCTCAGTGAATCCCAGACGTTTTCCAAAGTCTGCCCACATACCAACTCCATGTAAAGGAAAACCTCACCTCCATCGGTGCGCCAGCCATACAGCTCAGGGACAGGCACACTCCCTTTCAAAAAGTGATGGATTGCATAAAGAGTTTGACCTTCAGCATTCATATTGTTGGCACCCCATTTGACGAACAAACCCATCAATTCAAACGACGCGGGTGGTGGGTTCCGTTGTGGGCCTGTGCCCCCAAAAGTCTTTCGTCTGTCCGGAGCAGATCCCGCTTGATATTGAGCACGAGCCTGAGCACGGACGTCTTCTGGTGATGGGAGTTGAGGCCATTTCTTGAAGAAAGAAGACAGCCAGAAATCCTCATTTGGACGGTTCGGTAGCATATCTGGTGTACATTGAACAGGAGCTTGATCAGGTGGTTAGTTGAAGGTTCCGGTAGCTCCAGGGCTCCTTACCGGAGAGAATCGAAGTTCCCGATGTAATGTGCATTTTTCCTGGCAAGATTCTCTTCTCTACTTGTTTGTTGGATAAAGTTAGGAGATCTGACTACAGAAAGTAGCTGAAGGGCTGGAAGTGCAAGAGGCAGAACTGTCACTGAACGCTTGAAAGCCCAATCAATGTGCTTGGTGCTGCTCTGCACGTCTGCTAACCCTTCGGGTGACTGAGCTGAGCTATGTGTTGGGGGGATTGGTTGGGTGATTCGTACCCTCTATACCACCACGGCGCTGGTGGTGATTGAGCTCTTTTGCCCTAGTGGCCTAAAACTATGCTAGTGGAGGTCACCTGACCCAAATTATTTCTTGGCAAAAAAAGGGTCAGCTGAGAATAAAACATAAATGAACTTTTATCTTCTTATACATCTTATAATACACACAGTAAAAATGGTTATCGCGTGGTTGGGGATGAAAAAACATGAGAATTGGCAAAGTGGTGATATTTTGTACAACGGTGCACCCACTATAGGATGTGGCGGGTTGGGCCGCGAGTAAAAAAAAACAGAAAACCAATATCCCTAGCCCTGCAAAAAATTCACACCAAAGTTGTCAATTTTCCTTCTCCCGCGAACCTCCGGGTGTGGGGGAGTGTTCTTCCTCCAGCTTCCTCTTATCACCCTGGTTGGCAATGGCAAATATACAATGCGCAATCCACTTTTTATACGCATGGCACCCTTGTTTTCCTCTCTATATTCTTGGATTTTGACTTTTGAACAACTGTTAATTCTAATAGAATGGTCAAATCTCGAGTTGGCGTTTTAGGACAGGGTACATCAATCAGAATATATATTAAGGAGAGGATGGTCGCAACAAAACCGGAGATTGGGAGGGATGGACTGGGAATCCCTCTCTCCTTATCCACTCATCCGGTTCATGAAGACGTGTACTTGACCACTTGGCAATGACTTCTGAGGAGGCAATCATATCATCAGAGGAGCATCTTCCATACCAATTTGCCAGAAAAACATCACGCACATGTTCTGATGCGCTTTCTGAAAGCCCAGCGTTAATTATTAGGACCGCACAGTCTATCGCAGCTATGATAAATCGGTTAATAATTGTGGATGCCATCAGCTATCATAATCATGGAAACCCTTGAAACAGGATGCCCGTTAATGACAGATCTAAAATGCTACTGGAAGGAGGGGTTGGGAAATAGTCCCTTGTAAGCGCCCTTCACCGTCACCGTCGGTGGATGCTGGCTCTGTGGTATCTGTAACGCATTGAATATTTTGGGCCTGTCCAAACACCTATCTCTGATGCACACTTCCAATGTATGCAACCATAGGCGCTAAGAAGCCCGCTGCTCGGGTTCCAGGTGGATGGATGACAAAAAGGAAAAAACTCACCGACGAACCTAAATTAGGGAGAGGCGTCAACGTCACCCCACTTTCGATGTTTTGATGACAACAATGGACACATATGATAGGAAATGAAGGTAAACGCTTTTCAGGATTGGGGCCATTGCGACGGACGTGAATCACAAGACACTGACAAACTGATATGCATGATTTCTCTGTCGTGGAGCAACATTCAGCGATGCTATTTCTGCATTATTTCTATGTTTTATCCTTTCCAGGCTGGAGAATTCGAAGGAAAGTCAACGATCATTCTCACCAATAAGTATGAGGGGCGAGAGCTTTACCCCGCGAAATTCTGTGCAGAAAATCTGTCACTCTAGTTCGGGACTAATGTCGGTCATCAGACTTCGATATTTCAACGGCTAGGCTCGTACAGGAAACACCACCTATTGAAATCTTCAAGAATGACTGTGTTCGGCAGTCTAGCCTCTTCATTTCTCCACGGCGGCATTTTCCCTGTTAGATGAATATACAATATCTTCAAATACAGGCCAATTGGCGGAAGTGCTTGGGGATTTTGCACCTAGCCACATCAGCTTCCCGTCACCTGATTTAGTGTTGCTTCTGCTTGGACATAACGGTTTTCAATTCGTTCTTCTGATTGGAGGAGACCTTACTTCCTGTCCAGCATTCTTGCATGAAGAATATCAAAACCTCCTGCTTTCTTCCCGCCGGTCCAAATTGTGTGTTCGGGAATCTTCCTGCCGTGCAGGTAACACCCCATGCAGGATGTTTGGGACCATAAGTGCACGAAACGAAAATAAACCACAAGAATAATTAATTCCCGTCGATCCCGAGCCGATCCAGCCGACAAACTCAACTTCCTCGCTTCTGCGAAATATGGAAGCACAGAGTTTTCTTGCTAGGGGCTGGATGCCATCCGAATTGCATCCGCCCACCTCCACGCCAGGGCATCAAGATTTAACACCTGCCGGACGGGAGGTCTGACATAGTTCCTCAAAAATGGGCTGGATTGGTTCAGGCACACAATGAAAGATCTTCGACGGCTAGGGAGAGGTTTTGGCCTTATTGCTACCCTCTATTCAGAAGCCATCTAATGAGATCGACATTTTAATTGAGTTACGGAATCCCCCCCGAGGCTTGTTATTGTTCTTTTTACGCCACCCTTCCCTCTCAAGCTCAAATCCATGCTTTACCTATTACCTATCTACTAATCAGTTCCCCTGGCTCCAGAAAATAGAAAAGGTATTAGAGATATCACTAACAGGAACCGAAAAAACAATTAAAATTAAAATTAAAAACAACTTGATAATTATTGACTCCTCAGAGTCAGAGTTTAGATATCCCGCAGAGGCATCTATTATTTTAGCTACTAATTGATGGTTAATTGTAACTAACTCGCAGCTCAAGTAATTGTAGTCACGTGGCGTTCTAGCAATCACACGTTCTTTATCGGACTCAGCACTACAGGGATTGACCAGCCCGATGTCAAATCAAATCCGCCCAATTTGGTGGAGAATGCTACATCGTGGTGACCCCACCATTTTGCTTTCTCTCGCTCCATATACCGCTCATTTGTACAGACCGGATGTTAGGATGTGTGTGACTAGGGACTAAAAGTTTGCCAATCTCTCAACCAATTCTACACAAATAAAAAGAAACCTAGAGCTCCAACTAGTTACTCTCCGTGGGCAGATCGACAACTAGGGATCATACTGTGCCCTCCATCTATCTACCCCTATATTGCGTACAAGGCCCTTCCCGCCTCTTTTTGCACCCTTTTTTCTCTCAACACTACCATAGCATGTATAATGGAACATTTTCCACCTTACCACTCCTTCTCAACAGATTTTCACTGTCACCCCTTTTTCCATCCCAAAAAAAGTAAAATATAACTACTAGTAAATCAACTTTCCATTATCTCACCTGTTCCCGTTCCATCCCGTGTAGCACACAGGCGCCATGGAAAGGCAATATGTACCCAGGCCAGGGTACCCCGAGTGCCATGGTACGGAATAGACTAGAACCAATATCGAATCTTCGACCAATATTCCGTGTTTCTTTTCTTACTTGGTCATTCCAGAAGGAGCTTAGTAGTAGGCTTCCACTAGTTAAAATTTGTCGACTAGTTACTGCGAGTGAAACAACACTTCTTTTTGAGCAAATAATACATTCCAAATATCCATCGAACTAGGCGCCTCTGTTCTTTCTACGGCGGCAAAACTGGCTTGTTTGCAAAATCTACCATGTACCGTAACACAAGCATATGAGCAATGGCCAATCCATATAGACTTTGGCTCTGACTCTGTCCCTGGGGAGGAGGCTGGGAAAGGGTGGTAGGATGCAGGGGCTAGTTTGATACATGGTAATTCAATGTATAACATGACAAAGGTAGTATCTAATGTACATGTACATGCCCTCAGAGTTCAATTTCCCCTTTTCAAAAAGTTTGTTTTAGAGGATGCAGACATCAACCTTTGGAATAAGCAGCGATCTGGAGTAAAGAGCCGTACATCAAATAAGCTCACATATATGCCCGACTATCAGGGGTATGCATGGTAAGTGTACGGCAAGCGGTTTTGATTTTCGTGGGTTTCACAGATATAATAAAGAACGCTGAAGTGAGGGCGAGGGTTCACATGACAAAATAATATTCAAGGATACGATCACCAGTGTCCGGGATAAGCGCACGCCTAAAATGGTAGCGGGTAATCCTTGAACACTTATAATTCCTCCTTGATGAGGGGTCAAGGAATCTATCTACAGTTAATAATTTCGCTTCCTGTCTGTGAGGAGTTTCCTCTTCCAGCCCAATGGTGCACTCATCTGCTCGCCACAACACTGGAAGACTCTGTCCTCCTGAGTTGACTGTCGAGTTCACTGGGGCGACATAGTGCAAGGTATTCTCAATATTTCGAATGGTGTCTGACAAAATACCAATTCAGCATGCCCCACAGTGTATGTACGAAACCTGCTTTGGACTGGGTACATGAGCTGCCATATTCTGCATGCGCTCGATGGGGATTGGACGCCGGCTATGCTATTCCAAGGGTCTTTGGAATAATGCCTCGTGCACCCGAAAATAGGGCCAATGAGTTGGCCCACCCAACCTCGGATTTAGTTGATATGTCAATCATATCTTCGGGACAAACTCCGTGTTCGAAATAGCTCTCCGCGTCTTCTGAGTAATTGATTTCGGGGAGCGGTGGAAAATAATCGAGAGTTATAATAGAGCCATCCATTTCATCGAAAAGAGGCTGAAAGAGTCAAGCGAGCACATTCTAGCCAACCGATCCTAGGCCCATCTAGAACGTGGCGAAAAAGATTGCATACTGGGCTTTCCGGGTGGAGAACAGGAATGCCGGCCGTGTCTCCTTTAAGTCGGAATGTTGCTGAGAATTATTGTGGTTTAAAACAAGCATCAAATAAATTAAGAGAAAAAAAATTAACAAAATTTCAAAGCTCTCTCTCTATACCCTTTCGGCATGACGTCAGCCCAAAGTCGCTGGTAACATGGTTGGCCCGGAATTTGCGTTCAGGTTGTAGTTCAAGATTCCAAAGCAATGAATTGGATTTGGGTTTTCGGCCGGAATTCTTCCATCGGGAATCCAACCGAACGCTGGGCTTTTAAGTTGGACAGGGTCCACATGACACCGAATCCCTCCTTATTAGCCCCGATTAGACTTACTATTTCTCTGAACCCGTGGTATAGAGTGATGTACGGAGCAGTTCGATGTAGTTATAATATATGATGGAACTAGTTTGAGTGCGGTTTAGTCGAGTGGAATGCTTGGCAGAAGTTTGGCAGGCGGCTCAAGCTCTTGGCAGAAATCCTCCTCCGCGTCCCGACATTGGATCTCTTCGAGTCTCTCGCCGGTCGACATATCTAGACTTTCTCCTTTTCCGCACTAGGGGTGGTGGGTTATGCTTACTGTGATGGGATCTAATGACCCCGAAAAAAGTATCATCTGGGGAAGGCAACTTTTAACGACTTCAATTCGCCGCTCTGCTGGCGGGAAACATCACGCTAAAGTTGCGCCATCCCCATATCCAGATGATGGATAATCGCGCCAGTTCGGCCAGATTGCTACAGTCCCCAACCACGACGTCATAGCCCTGGACCAGAACAACCAAGCACAGAGTTTTTTTTGCTCAACCAAACTTCGAGGATATTCCGCACTTCCCTCGACCTGTGCATGTTAGAAATTGGTTTCCTGTCTCGGAAATTTCCCCGTCGTATGCAATTGCCGTTTCTCTTGGTCGATTTTATTTATATTCATTATTTAATAACTGTTTTTGTCATTCTGCGTTCCTTTGGATCTTCAAATTCCTCCATTTCCACCCATACTCTTCTCCAGATCGGGCCTGGCTCTTGATGTATTGCTAAGATTCCCTCATGGCTTCGAATACCCAGGCGACTGCCCCATATACGATCCTAATCCTAGGCGGCGGCATTGCAGGCATTGCTTCCGCTCTCGCGCTGTCTAAAACTCTCACTCCGGTACTTCCGAACCTCAAAATCATTATATATGAGCTGCGAGACGTTCCTTCAACTTCCGGTGGCGCGATCAACCTCACACCCGTCGCCCATAGGCACCTCGATCATTTAGGTGTGCTCGATGAGCTGCAATATTTGGGCCCTCAAGGGGGCGTGGAAGTGGACGAGATAGAAATTTTCTCCTCGCATAGTGGCAAAAAAATGGGAGCGGTCGACTTTGCAGGCAAAGACGGCAAGGGTTATGGTGGTTATAAGGGTCGACGAATAATGCGCATTTGTCTCCATCTGGCTTTGATATCCGCCGTGGAGAAACGGAGTAATATTGAAATGATGTTCGGGAAAAAGGTTGTAGGCGGCATCGAGACGGACAAATGTGTCACAATTTATTTCGAGGATGGCACTTTTGCGAAAGGTGACTTGGCTTTGGGGTGTGACGGTGTACATTCGGCTACGAGATCAACCATTGTTGATCCAGATAGAATATCGGAGTATACGGGGATTTCGTTTATTCAAGCCACGATAAAATCGGAGGTAATAAGGTCGTCCAAGCACTTCAGCGTCACAGCGCTCAACAGATCGAGGCATGGGACGATGTTGACGACCTATTGCGATAGCGAAAAGGAAAATATGTTCGTGGCAGCATTGGCTGAAGTCGATGAGGCACGGTTGACCTATGAAATATGCAAATATCAGGCATCGGATTCGTGGAAGACAAAGAGCACCGCGGTCATGATCTTGAGGGATGATATTCAGAATCGCTTCGGGAAATCAGCAATTCCGTGCATTCGCGAGATTGCAGAAAAATGCTGGGATTGGTTTCTGTATCCAGTGTATCAGATACATCCCGGGGGGAAATGGTATACGGAAAGGATCCTACTGTTAGGTGATGCAGCTCATGCTGTGCGTATACATATATATTTATCCCTCTTCATCTCATCATCCACCTGCCAAAAAAAAAGATTTTCCGTTGGCAACATATATCAAACTAACTCTGGTTAATGATATTCTTGTTTCGCAGATGCCCCCCAAAGACGAGTCAGCCGCCTACGCCCTGGATGACGCCATCCTCTTCGCCCGCGTCCTGACAAAATACATCCACGAACCCCTCTCGGAAGCCTTCCGCATCTATGAATCCATCCGTCGTAAAACCATCGACCACGCATACAAAACCGCCTGTGAAAATTGGACCCACAACAAAGATAGCGGCCGTCTCTCGAACCTGCTAGCGGAATGGATCACGCCTCTTAGTCTAATGCGGCAAAAGAAGAAGATTACAAGCGCGTGGGTATTTGATGCTATGAATGTTGATATATCCCCCCCGAACCCAGCGTCACGCCAATCAACGGCTTCAACAGTTCGTTGATGCTTTGGCTATTTCCCCGCTTGTCCTGTTTAATTTTAAAATTTTTCTAATTATTTTTTTACCCTTCTGGTTGGTTTCACGTGTCCTTTTACCACCGGAAGAATGAAGCAATTGCATTTCCCCCTACCTTTTGCATTCCTGCTACAAATAGGAGTGGTACTTGTTTATTATTCCACTTCCAATACACCTGTATGATACCATGTTTGTTTATATCCCCAGCAAGGGGTATAAATGGATATTCCATATGACTTTGTATTAATAGGGGTTAATATACACGTATGTCTTTCTATTTCTCCAGCTGGTAGTGACTTTTATAAGCCAATTCTCGCTAGAGAAAGCTAAGTTATTTGCACACACTGCCCTAGCCCGAGAGAAGCTGAAAAGGTGGCAATGGTTTATCCTGTTTCCGAAGAGATATAAATCACTTTCGGGGACAACGCTCCGCTAACATGTAATCATTGCCCTCTACTATTTCGTACCAATGAGCGTGAGCTGGGTCAACATGAAGGATCCGCGCCGTCACGATATGTCCCATCGCCAGGACGATTTTGCACGCATCATTACCTCCTGTCAACTGGACGTTGAAGTTCGCCAGCGCTCCTATGAAAAAGGTCTTCGTGCCGCATGCATATGCACTAGACATAGATACGTGTACCTATGTGAACGCCAGTTAGGATGGATTTCAGCAATGAATTAACATGCCACTTCTCTATCCTCCTCAATGTCATACATACAATAAATAAGAAGTGCCTTAAAGCAAGTGCTAACTCTCATATGTTCATCTTTTGTTTGCCCGATCCGCAGCTTTTGGGCAATCGTGCCAGAAACAATGTAAGATGGCATATGGAACTGCAAAATACGGAGCTTAATCGGAGTTTGCCAATGGTAGAAAATTTCCCCACCGCACTATAGAAATACTGGAATATTATATATATATATAGGCGCGCGCTCTATTCCTGCAAACGTAGGGAAGTTCAGATGCACAGCTTCCGGTGTCCATCATTTCTAGCTAGCAGAGGAGCGTCAACTTTTTCACTGACAGCAAAAAGTGGAAAGGCCTGCCTATCCATGGATAAGGCTACCGTGAAATGAGCTTGGTATGGTCCCTGAATGGCGTAACGGAGTCTAAGCGCGAGTACCAGCGGCTTCCCCTTCCCGAACCTCCTAGTAAATTTGCCACATTACCTCAAAAACGCCACTGAGGATCATAAGTATAGGAGGAATTGACTTCGATGGGGATGAGGCTAATAGATTAATTAAAACCGGAGCCCTAATTTACAGAAAACCAGAACAATCTACTTAGGGCTGATAAGGGTAGGGGGTTGGGGTGGCGTGGAGCTGATCGAATGAGTATCATGAAACTTTATATAGGGGATTAAAAACGTCAAGGGAAGGAAAGAAGAATAGTACTAGTATAAACGAAAATGATCTTGTTCTAAAGAGCCTCCTTCGAGAACTACCATCCAAGATCTATCGGCGTGTGATCAAACAAAATATTTAAGGAAAACAAACACCGAATTCTCTATAAACTGGTTGATGCCAAAGAGAGCTACATGACCTGATCATAGAATTAATGAAACATTTACCCGATTTCTAATTTAGGCTGTGGTTGACTTTTCGCCAGTGGAGGCCACGCCCTCCTTGGCGTTCGGCGCTGTCGGGGCGGGATTTGCCTGGATGGCCTGCGGTTGCTTTGTCTTCCGGATATCGACCCAACCCAGGCCCCAGCCAAACGCAAACGTGACTACGCCGGCCCCAATGCCAAGATACATGACATGGCTAATTGCCGTGGTGTAGCACTCAAGCGCGGCTGTGAGCTTATCGCCCGAAACGATGCTTCGGATTGATGTGATTCCGCTCCTGAGGATAATGTCTGGGTCGACGCCAATCTCATCTATGTGATTCTGGAGCTCCTTGAGCAGGCCGTTCGTGAAGATGGAATTGGCAGCAACAAGAAAGACAGCACCGCCCATGTTTTGACAAAAGATGATGATAGCCATGGCAATTGGGATCTGCGGAGGGGAGACAAGATTTTGGATGGCGATGTAGGGCTTTAGTTAAAATAAGGTTAGAACAAAAACATGATTTGGAATGTGGAGGAGAATATCGGGGAAGTGGGCCCACCGCCGATGACATAGCACCACTACCAACCCCATAGAGGATCTGATACCCAATCCATTTTGAGGGTGATGTCCTGGGTTTAATCATGGACATGAGGCCGTATCCAATGGCAACAGCTGCGCTTCCTCCCAGGCTCCAGGGAAGGTAATAACCCAAGATCTCAACTGCGAAACGTTAGTCTGATGACCGCTTTACAAAAGACGAAAGGGGATCACGAACTCATCATTCCAGAGAGCATGGTGAAAATGACTAAGCCTAAAGTTGTTGGTAGTAGATGCACGCCGCTCATTATAGGCCTGTTGCCGAGCACAGTTTGGAAGTAAATAGCGAGGTAGTACTCAGCCACCAAAATGGCACCGAGAAGGAAAAATAGGTTACCCGCAGCAGACCACACAATGTGCTTTCTGATCATGGCAAATGGTAACATGGCGCCGTCCCCCTGGAAGTACTCCCAGACAAGGAAGAGGATAAAGGCAATAACAGCGCCAACCAGAAGACCGATAACTACAGAGCTATTCCATGGGTGCTCAGTACCGCCATATTGCAATCCAAGTAAAAACATGACCGCCGCAGGGCTAATGAGCATAAAGCCTAGAAGATCGAGAGATTTGACAGCGGTGCCAAGGACTTGCCTTGGTGGCAGCTTCGTGGTTGGTTCCGGTATCTTGACTAGGGCTAAGAGAAGGGCGAGAGCAGCACCAATGGGAAGGTTGATATAAAAACCTACAAGGAAATACAAGGATTAGCCATAAGATGATAATGACAAGAGTCATTGAGGAAGAAAACGGCACAACCACTTACACCAACGCCAGGTAACATTCTGGGTAAATGCACCGCCAATGATGGGACCCAAGGCGATACCGAGCTGGCCAAGCCCGAGGTTGATGCCCAGAAACTGGGCTTGCTTCCTGGCCGGGAGTACAGCTGAGATGATGGTTAGGGCGCCGTTTCCAATACCAGACGCGCCAGCACCGGCAATGGCTCTGCCGACAATGAACATGGGCGACGAGACAGCGGTGGCACAGATGACAGATCCGAGCTGGAAGATAAAGAAGAAACCGAGAAAGGACCACTGTCCCCAAATTAATTTAGTTTGTTTTCGTTTTGGTCTTAAGGAGCAAAATGACCTACCTTGATGTTAAAGTGGCTGTAGATCTTGCCTGTGAGAGGTTGGAGGGCGGAGTTGCCGAGCTGGTATGCGCCACCATACCATCCGATGTCGACTAAGGAGCTGAATTGCCGTGTGATAGCTGGGGCAGCGGTCGACACAACACACATGTCGAGAAAAATGAGAAAGTAGGCGATTGTGATAGGACCTAGGATAGACCATGAAGCTAGGCCTGTGGGAAACTTGTCATCCTCCGTGCCATTCTTATTGGAGGCGATGTTATCGGAACCATCCTTTTCAACATCATTAGCCTCCTCTGGCAGGGCCTTATCCATATCAACCGATTTGCTGGAATCCGTCATAGTCGCAGTCGTAGGCCGTGGTCGTGGTCGAGAGGTTATGTCACTGGAGCTGGCACTAACTCTCCCCATCCTGATGTAAAGAATAGTGTTCGTTGTCGGCACGAAAGAGACAAGTGTAGAGTGCAGCCACTGGAAGTTATATAAACACTAAGATAACTGTATGACTTCATGGAGTAGGAAGTGAGCCAGAGCTGAGAACCGGGGCCGGAATCTTGTAGGGAGCAACCCCTTTGATAATTGGGGCTAGTTGCCGAAGGCCGGGCCGGAATCTTAAAATCCGGTCATGAGTCCTATCCCTATTGGTCGACCAAACAGGGGTATGTGATTTCTGTGAAGTTCAAATGCGAAGCTTTATAATCACTGGAGGGTTTGAGGGAGCACAATTGGCTGTAGTTTTCAACAGAAGAGCTCAGAATTTGGAGATCATTGTAGCCTAAAATGATAAATGTCCGACTGTTCATTACTGAAAGCTCCTTTTGCTAGGTAGATCTCGGTCGTGAGTGACGTGGAGCTTACAGACATAATCCCACATTATTCATCAATAATGTAAGTAGGCAATGGGTTAAGCGCAGATCGCCGCCAAAGCAGGGAAGTGAGGGTATACCTCTGAGCAAGACTAAACATTGTGTTAGATTCAAGATTGCATACCGTTCTCAATAGTACGGAAGACATGGAACGCATACCTGTATTAGCATTACAAATATCTTAAGGCGCTACAGAGTAGAGCTCGTTTGACCTTCATAGTCCGCAAAAAACTGATCCAGCCATGACGTGGGACTCATCAAGAATTCTGCATGATGGCCATGTGCTAACACATCTTTATCTGCTTCTGTAGCTGCTACTTGAGCCGTATCATCATATGTTCTGCTTCCTGCTTTATCTCCTGATATTTTTGCTCCCCGTGCGTCTTCTTGTTGGGCCAGAAGTCCTCTCTCTTGATAAGTCGGTTGAAACTTGCGTAGACTGCGGGCCAGTTGCGTGAATACGCCGTCGGCTGACGCTGGCTGCTCGCCAGCTACAGCTGCAGCGAGCTCTAGCCTGTCTGCCGTGCTGGATAGCAGCATTGGCAGATCAACAAGCCGGTGGATAGTGGCTAGATCCCAACCAGGCTCCCGGAGCGTGCTGAGTCTGTGCAAAGTAGCCAAGCACCGTGACAACTGAGTCCACTGGATAAAAGATACGCCAAGGAGACCGGGTAGCGAGATAGTCAGAAATGTTGACGTGCACGACTTGATCGCCAGTGCCGACTGCCACAGGCAAGAGATGCGCGTAGGCCCACATGTCGGGGGTGATGAGCGAGTGGACTCCTGGGCATGGATGGACTCGATAATGCACATTTCCGTGTAGTATGTCTGAGCAAGGATGACTATTCATTGGTGAGCAACGATCACTGAATTGATTGTATTTCCAAATAAATGGAAACCTTTACTGGCCTGAACACCTACTGAAATGCTGCTGGAATGTTGGGGGTATAGAAACCCTAAGCTCTTGAAGCTGCCCCATCAAGCGTTTGATGTATAAGAGAGCCTGCAATGAAAGACTCTCCGGTGGGGGCTGGTCGGGGAGTTGAGCTCGCTCCCGGACCTGGGCGGCTTTCATAGCCAGCAGCTGCAGGCGGACCTGAATGGATAGAGCGGCATCGGAAGCAAATTCTGTGGCGGCGCTGTGGCCGCTAGCGATAACGGCAGCAAGGCTCTCATCCATCTGAGGTATCCATCGCGGGGCATCAATCTGGGGGAAGTGGGCTGATACGGTCGACCCAAGCACAAAGCAGCCCAGAATGGCTCGCTGGCATTCGAGGTAGAACTGGTTATCGGTCGCAACGGCACCGGTTGCCCCTGTCGTTGTCTCCGGAGTCGCCGTCCAGCTGCCGTTCACCTCATTCAAGCCACCGTTTGTTTCGAAGGAGCGTACCGTGCGCGTGATTTCTGGTACTGCTTGGTCCAGAAACAGCAAACCCTTGAGCAGCAATATAGCCACAGCCATGAGTCGAGAAAGACTGCAACGACTGTGAAGATGCTCCCAACCCCACGTAATGTAGACAAGTAGACCTAGAAGTAGATCAACGGTTTGATGTTGTGGTTGCTCCCTTTCTTGTTGAAGAAATGCCGTCTCGTAAAGCAATCGCTTCAGCTCGAAGGAGCTTGCCCTCTTGTCTTCAGTCGATACCGATGTCACGCAAACAATGGCACGGAACAGAAAAGGCCGATCTTGCCGCAGTTGTTCTGCCGTGATGCGGGTTGGCAAATGAACGAAAGGGAAATGGTGTAGCATACGCGACCGAAACGTATCAAGAGAGACTGATGCAGTCGAAGGAGGTACGACGGGTGACACGAATGCGCCTGATATAGCCGAGGACTGCGGGGTGTCGCGAGGCATGCTGTTCGCATTGTCCATCGCCCACCAAGAAGCAGAGACACCGTCAGCGTTGGTAGCGGCATCACTTTTGTTTTCGCCGATAAAAGCGGCGCGCAAGTCCTCTGAATTGCCACCCCCTTGGGTCCTCTGTGTGATCGGATCGTCCTGGGAAGGAATGATGAGGCGGGATTGTTGCTGATGTGGTGATTGCCGCTGCTGCTCCTGCTGTTCCTGCGACCATCCATCGACTCTGTCGCCGTGGGTGTCGACGTCCACGTTGACATTACCCGTCTTAAGAAGCGAGACTAGGTGGCCTACGGTGCCCTCAAGCTGCGCGATGCGTGCACTTGGAGAGTTTTGCTTTTTACCGTTGCGGCGATATAGAGGATCGGCGGGATGGCATTCGCGCTCAAGACGATGGCACCTTTCTCAGATATGTCTTCGTGAGTGTTCGCACGCTCAGGGTTTGCAAATAGGAAAAAGTGATCAAAACGCAACCCAGACGGACCTTTCGCACCCATTGCCATCTGGGCGAGGGATACATTTGCATTTGGTCCTGAAGCAGTTAAGACATGCCTGACCGTAACGCGCTGAACGGCCAGCAATTCGTTCCTTCGTGGCCATTTCCCGGCCAGTCGGGATCAGTTATTTGAGATTGATACCACTCAATCCCTCGATAAACAGAAACGGTCTGAGGTTGAACTCCAGCAGAGATCGTCGTCGATGTGTTTGGAAGAGACAAAACACCCATCCGGTTGCCCACGTTTGCTCTCCGCTTAGTCGGTTTTGGAGCGATTTTCCAGACAACTGGGAAGTCACACATCTCTCATTGGTCGATATTTTCATTAAAACGAATATTATGCAGGGAAGCCGTAACTACCGAATGAGAAAAGGTGAAAAAAAAGCAGTTAATCATTGTCCACGTTTGGCGGCTGACAAATGGAAAAAGAAAGCAAATACAAGCAGTAACTTACGGCTTGCGCTGGAAGCTCTTTTCGTTTTCTTATTTTGTTTTATTTCTTTTTCTTCTTTTTGCTTTCGCCTTCCTTTCTTCCATCTCATTCGTCCTCAGGTGCACACGGGAAAACGGTGTGCTGCAAGCCTGCAAAGTATGAGGAATATGGTTGGCGGGTAAGGCTACTAGTTAGTGATTTCCAGTCGATGACATCGACAGATTAGAATCTAGAGGATGTACGAGTGGAATAACAGTGTTCTTTTTTGTGAGATTGGAGGTGTACGTGACTGAATTTTGTATTTGGCCCGGGGACATAACTTTCCTGGTATCTGGATCCTGGTGATATTTAGACCCCGATGGATTCGGAGCTTCTGAAAAGGCTCTGCGAACTTGTGAACATTTTCCCCAGTTGTTTCTCTGCCATTTCGTTGACATGCATGGAGCCTATTGCCAAAGTGTATGAGCAAATACTCAGTATGAGCGCCCAAAAGCAGCGCAGGAGCATACATTGTATTTGGTGCTGGCTATTCACGCTAAGTACACATACCTCATTACCATGAACTGGATGCGAATGATAGTTAAGGCATTGCAAAACCATCAATCATCGTTTTGAGAACGACAGATGAGATGTGCTCCGTTGACTGCTCTCTTTTTTGCCAGTTTTGTTGGCGTTACAAATTGCGAAAGAAAATTCAAGCATTGACCATGTATTCCTACGGTATTAATTAATAACTTGGTACTGCTGTGCATATACTTCCGAGAATGGGGATCGGTTCCTGTTCATCAGTATTAGTGAATAAGTAGTGTGTACGTAGCATCAACATAATCGTCATCATTATCACCATCAGCGCAATGTCTATCATTCAACTAGTTGAAAAGGGTAATATATATATATATATATATATATATACCTCAAATTCGAACGATTTCATCAATCCTCCAGAGTTTAAATAAAGAGAAGTGAATCGTGCAAAGATGACGTTCAGGGTTCTTCCGACTTACCCTCACAAATTCTGCTTCAAGGGAAAAGTGGCGAACTTGAGCTTCGTCCCTCTGCTAAACTCACCGCAGCTAGCGTTGGCCTGGAAGGCCTGGTGGTGAATCCAACACCCTTATTGGCTTCTGCCGCCAGCTGTGTCAGCGGTAAGTTGCGGGATTGGATCGCTTTCTGTGGAGTTACATCGATCCCGTTTCTCGCTTCCACTTCAAATCTCACTTTTTTGAGCCAGATCTGGAGGAGTTGAAAGGCTTTGAGCGGTTCAAGATGCCCCAATATCTACCAAGCAATTTTGTGAACCCTCGTCGCAATGCAACACATCTCCAGATAAATTGAATTGTTGGTGTTTGTTCCCTTTTTGTATGGCTGCAGATGATAAATCGTATAATAATAACATCCTTCCTGTCACAACTCCCGCCTGTCTAGCAAGAGGCTTTTCCATGACATTCCAGAGCATGGCAATCAATTTAACATCCCCGAACCAGCTGTTGGGTGGTGTTGACAAGGCGAGCCATTGCATGGCAAGAAGCTTTTTATAGCTTCTCACGTGTAGGCAACGTGCGACGCAAATGGTGTCCCGGCTCCAAGGTGAGTTAGCCCGCAACAAAAATGGATAACTATTTCTTCGTGCCAGTTAAGAAATGGGGGGTGACATTGAACGATACGCTGTTCATGCCCAGCGTAATGTAGCAACGGCGCGTGTGAGCATTTGGTGCTTGCCAGGCTGAACTATTCTGGCGTTGACTTCGGGAGGTGACAAAAATCCACACGAGCTCCCAGTAACATGGGCGCTTGAGACCAAGCCTGTAAGGTATTGATTCTCGTGTATCAATACGTCATTTATCGACTAGCTGAACAAGACGTTACAGTGGTTAGAACGCTTAACCCGGGGCGGTCTGTCTTCAGACTCTGGAGCACATTTTGTGGCTGAGATCACTGTTTCTCAATGGAATCTTCCGAATTTTCCGTGGAGAGTGAAATTGCGGAGATATCGAGTGGGAATAGTTTATGCGTTTCCAACTTCTTGAAGTCAAGCTATTCGAGCTCCCTCTTAACACAAAATACTTATGTGCTGCCCGGAGCGGCCTGGGAGGATAAGATCAAGCATGCCAGCCAGCCGTATGTTGCTCCTGGGCGCCCTAACCTCTCACTTTCTTGCTGGCCACACACTTTTGATTGTCACTCGATATTATTTGCCAGGGGGACGAAATCGTCGGGAAAATAAAAAATACCACTTGTTTCAAACTGGGACGTTTTAAATACAGGCGACCCTTTGCCAGCAATGAGCCAGTTGAGGATGTCCGGAAGTGGCTTTTGGCAGTAAGGAAACCAGTGCAACAGAGAGACGCTGCCAACTGGCTGGTGAACCCAGCATAGCTCCAGCCAGTGAGTCCACTTGGCATACCATTTTGGAGCCGTCTGTTCTCTAAACCCCAGCATACAGCACACCAGCAACATTCATTGGGCTGAGAGGGAGTAGTTCTGCGCAAGGTACGGAGAACCACCAGAATTTATAAGTACCCAGAGATTGAAGTACCTACATAGTACATTCCTTGGTACGGTACACCGATAACCCGCAGTCCCGGCAGGGAACCCTGCTCGAAGTTGGAGCCCACTGGAATGAGGCTTGCATGGTCTCCCCCGCCCGCCACTGGCCATCAGTGGTGCCATCGTCGTGATGGCGCCCGTACTGCATATGTACTGCTAAGCGGAGCCGTTGTAATCGAATAATACCGCTATCCCTCTGCCTGGGCACTCTCACTCCTCTTTACTCCTCTTTCTGGACTTCCTCTTCTTCCTCTCCTTTCTCGCTGTTCTGGTTCTCTCCTTTCAACCTCAACACCACCCATCCTCCACCCTCGACGTCCCTATCTCCAAGTTATCGCAGGTGCCGGAGTTCCGTCATTCTCCCGTCGCCTCCTCTAGGGCTGTATCCGCCCTTCGTTTGCTGTCCAGCCGCCCACCATTCAAACCTGCGGTCAGGTAGCTGATAGTTCTAAAGCCATCCAATTCTCAAATATCGGCTCGATCCAACACGAAAATATTCAGATCCTAGCGCCACTCTACACGACGAATACCCGCCTTTCCAAGTGATCAATCCCCGTCGATCGCGTGTGTATTCTCCGACCAACAACTCGTCGCCACGCAAGACCAGTACTACTCAATTCATAACCCAGCTCTCCGTATTCGATTCTGGGAACAAAAGGAATTTGAAACTAATTCCGGCGATTTGATTTGGATATCAACTACTTTCTATTTGGACCTGTTGATTTGTTGGGTGGATTGTAATCGTACCCGAAATTCCGACATCCTGGTTTGATCACGTCTTGGAGCACCTTATTTATTTGTGCACCCCCAACCTATAAGTATTTGGAATCCGCCTGAATGCTCATCTAAATCACTCCCGTTATCGATGCAATGACTGAACCAACGACTCCTGCGAAAACCGGCGCGGAGAAAGATGACGGACTCGGGAAATATATGAAGAGGGTGAAAACCGTATTGAAGGGTCGGAATAGAGCATCTGTCTCGAGCATGACCGACATCATTGGTGAATCCAGCAAGTCTGGAGAAAAAGCGACAGTTACTTCGTCCAGGTAAGTAACTTTGAGGAGCAATATTGTGGCAGATAGGTGTGGTTTGGTGTCAGTTGTCAATACTGACATATTTCGTTTCACTCTTCAGCAGCAAGCCAGCCGTCACCAGTGCGAGGAAGACTGCGACGTCAGAACCCGTCCAGGTTCACCAATGGAGCACTCTCCAACAAGAGAAAGCGCGTGTTTTGTTCGCCAAGTACGGATTGACCTTGGAGCCAGGTGAATGGATGTCGAAGCCCGCAGACAGGAACGTGCAGCGGGTTGAGAAACCAGTCCGTATGAGAATTCGACGCAACTGTCATCGCTGCCTCACCACATTTGGTGCGGACAAAGTGTGCGCTGGCTGCCAACACTTGCGATGCAAGAAATGCTTCCGCTATCCACCTGCGAAACCCAAAGAAGAATGCCATGAGAAGGACAAGTCCAAGGCTACGGGTTCGTCCAAGAAGCCTGTTCTTACGATTCCTTCACGCACGGGAGGTCAAGATCTCGTGCGGAAACCGATCAGACAGCGAGTGCGTCGCACCTGTCATCGTTGCCAGGCCCTGTTCGTTGGCGATGCAACCGTGTGCGGAGAATGCGAGCACATTCGGTGCAAGAAGTGTCCTCGAGATCCGTATGTTTTCCAGCTTATATTCAACCTGCCAGCACGAGGAAGTTCATGGTTCAAGAGACTAACTGTCATGTTTTAGACCGAAACTGAAGAAATATCCTGACGGTTACCCTGGGGATGTAGATCCACCTTTTGAGCGTCAAGAACGCGTATGGCGGAAACCGAGACGACGGGTAAGGTGGACATGCCACAGTTGCTCGAAACTGTTCCAATCCGGAGACAGAATCTGTTCAAGTTGTCAGCATGAGCGGTGCGCGGATTGTATCAGGGACCCGTAAGTTTCCTCCCTATCCATATCCATCTAAATGTGTTGTCCTTTTGCTCACCACCGCATCTGTTCCAACCCACCAGACCGAAGAAAATCAAACCTGAGCCCGATCCTGAACTTCTTCGACGAGTGGAAGAGCGGCTCGCTAAAGTAACGATTTCGTAGTCAACTTGGCTCTCATCACCCAGTCTTCTTGCTGATTATCATCCTGGCCATCCCCCTCCTTGTTTGGGTATTTCACTTTATATCAATTTATTCTCTCTTTTTTGGCTCTCCTCCACCCATGTTCCTTTCCTTTCTCATCTCGTACCCCCACGACCCCTTGATGACCCTAACGGTACCGAGCGAACAAAAATATTGACTTTGCCCCTAATAAAGCAAACAACCAAATCCGCAGCTCCTTGTCCTGATTCGTATCATATATTCTACAAGTGTTTTGCAGCTCCCCGCTACCCCTACACTACCCCTTTTACCTTCTATACTCTCACACAGTATTAGATAACTAAATACTTCTATTATCATAGCCACTGTTTCCTCGAGCCATCTATTGGTGAGTTCTTTATCTATATACACATATACAAGCCCTCCATGTCCTACACTATTATATTATTCCGTCACGTTTCCATTTTATCTTCATCCTTAACTTATCTTGCATATGGATCTTCATCGTGTTGGACAACCCTCATTTTCAATTTCATCATTCATATTTTCTCCTGGACGGACCATTCCCCAAATGCTAAGGGTAGCTCCCCCTTTATTATGTTTACTCTTCCTGGAAATATCCACCTTCTATTATCAAACAAATGGACCTTTTACCATCAGTACTCTCACCTATTGATATGATAAGATCATTCAGTTATTTATCATGCGAGCTTCGGACAAACATCCCCTAGCTTTCTCGCATTTTCTGCTCGTTCCGTCTAAACCTAAACACCAACCCATCCACATTCCATCAAATTACTGCCCCGTGAGCACGATATCCATAGCTGCAGTGTATTCTTTTAGCCCAAGCATGAAACTTTAGGAACTGTGGAAATGAAATGAGAAGTAACGTGGCTGAATTCTTCCTTCCATGACTACCGAACTCGAACGAGCAAGACGAGTATCGAACGTCCATTTGTGGAGTTAAGAAATGGAAATTTTCTATATGTCCAGCTGGTCGGAGATAGAGGCGAGGGAGAGGGTTAAATATGGTCGTGCTCTATTTAGGTATAGACGCAGGCGTATGATATTGGTTTGGTTTCTCTTTCTGTTACGATACACCACCACATATAAGACAAGCCCATTCATTATTACATGACTATCCACTTGTCCGGTGTAAGCATCTCCCGGCGAAGGAGGCAAAAAGCAAAGAAACAAGAAAAAAGTAACGAAAAATATGGAGTCACCGGGGAATTTTCATATGGTCCTCGGGTCAGTGGGGAAAAAGAAGGTCCAACATGACAGCAGAGGTTATCTTTGTATCAGAGATCCCCAACAGCCCAAGACTGCTCCACAAAATAAGCTGACACATGGATGGAGATATTTCGAAGGACCTTTTTTAGTTTGAGTTTGGGTTTTATTTTTTGATTGGTGGTGACAATGATATGTGGGAGCAAGGAGGAGTCGAGCAAAGCACATACGGAGAAACTTTTTACTTTATTTATTCATTCTTAAGTAGCAGCTGGCCGCTGACCAAGATAGCATAAAAAACAATAAAGGAAGAGAAACGCTTCATGGAGAATCGATCATCAATTTCCTTTGACATGCATGCACAGAGTCAAGTGGACTTGAACATCGAATGATCAAATATCCCCTCTGGGTCTAGCTCCAGAAACCTGCAACTTAATGCAACAACCCGATTCCCCGCGACAGGGGCGAGGGTGGAATCGGTTGCTTGGTTCAAAAGTCAACGCCTGCAGGGGAGAGGATTTGACTGGACAGCTTTGTTTTTGCGGGCTGAGAGCTGACAACCGCGTGTCTTCTGCGGGTGGCTTTGTTTATCTTGATCTTGATTTTTTTTTCTGGAAGAATCGGGAAGTCTTGTCAGGTTCTATCTCCAATAACTAACTGTTTTTTTCATTCTTGTCCTTTTATCCAAACAGAAATTCGCCGGTTTCATCTTGAGCTATTGCGCGTGAGTTTGATCCATGGCTGAGTCGCCAAGCAGCTGTCCATGTCCTCCGTATCATCCGCTTCAGTCGAAACGGGATCGCTCTTCGTGTATCAGCCTCCAAGTGGCATTCCAGCCATTCAAATAGTTGTACGGAGTACAACTTTGCGAATCATCTGCGATCATCTGCATCTGCGACTGATATTGCGATGCATAAACAAGTTCTGCTGAAACAATACTAAAACCCGGGACCTTTTTAACAGCTCAGCATCCAACCTCAGTCCGTCCTTGTATGGGAGAAACACATTACTTGGGTTGGTAGCAAGCGACATGGACAAAACTTTCCCTGACCAAGGCAGCAGGCAGTATTTCCAAGGGTTGGGTATATTGGATATTAGCACTGCCATCTGCCCTACTAGGCATGTCCTTGTTGTTAGACAAGTGGGTGGCTACATAAAGGACCAGAACGACAAGCAAGGCTCTCCTATATTCTCATTCGGACGCCAGACCAATATTGATCACCTTGGCGACAAGGCAAGGTCGAGTGCCTCTGAAACGCCAGCAGGCATGCCACCCCAGCCGCCGGTCATTCCTGTACCGCCTGAAAAGAACAAGATACGTAATTCTCATTACCATCCCAATGACTGGTGCTGTAGACTGCTGGCGGGTTCTGTTCTGAATAAAATGAGATTTTCTGCAATCGCATTGTCGTTCTCACTCTTTTAAGGGGCGCTTAATTTTTCATATTTCTTTTATTTTTTAAAGTTGAGTCCTCCAGATGCAATGAAGGCCATTGAGTGTGGAGTCGTTGGGCCTTGTTCTTCTATTGACTGCCTTTTTCGGGAGGGAGCTTTTATAGACTTGCACGGTGACCTCTGAGTTCCAGAATCCCCGGAACTAAACGTTCATTCGCGTCTTTTCTGGAACTGGGAAGCAGTCTGTCCTCACAAGAAAATCCGTTGTCAAACACGGTAGTAATAATCGGGCAATCTTTTTTAAATGGTCCTGAAGCAGACCTCCAACGGTGGAGTCTGGCAGTAGGGGAGCATGCATACAATTTATTTCTTGTCGCTAATCTGTTGATGTGATTGGCAGTTCCGTCTTTTCTTTTCCGGATGGCGCGGTTGTTCATGCGCAAGCCGTTTTTGTCATCTGTCTTTCTCTTAGTTGTGCAGGGTTTCCGACATAAATAATATGTATATCCATGGATTGCTATTATGTCTTGAACTCCTAGAGAACTCATGGTTGTGATCCTTAGGAAGCTTTCCCCATAATTCTGGAACGTGGAGCGCTGGGTTCTGGTGTCCGCTGGCGGCCCGCGTGGGGTGGTGGATCAATAAAATGCGAGGGACGGGCCGAAGTGCCTTGACCCTCCCTACCTTATTGTTGAATAAATGCTTAATTACCCCAAGACATTACGCAGCAAATACTAGGATATACAAAAACTCATTGGAATAAGTAAAGAATAAATAAAATGCGATAGACATGCACTTGTGTGCATATTGTTGATCGTCTCTGATAATAAAGACAGCCAATGAACCCTGAAAATGGGTGAGCTAATCATAAAAGATTTCGTCCTACCCCGAAATACGTTGAAAACCTTTCTCCTTCTTGCATCTTGGCCCTTTATGTTTTCCACTGCGGCCTTCCCCCTCTCGTGCTATGTGTTCCTGTTGCTATGGTTCGATTTATCCCAAGGACATGTAGTCGCTTCTGCAGATCTCATTACAACCTTGCAAACTTGGTCTGAGCGCGGATGGGTTGAAAATATTTCCTCCGACAGACCATATTCCCGGGATCTTGGCAGCGAAGCAGAATAAATAATAACACGTCCACTGCATACTAGTATGCACGTACGGTGTAACATGCGCAATGCATTCATTCAAAGAATTGCGCCCGACCCCACCAGCGTATTCTTCGGGGTTCTGTCAGAATCGAACAGGTGGCATTGCATATAGCTCATACAATATTCAATTGGGAGTCGGCTTTCCAAAAAATGAAGCGGCGTTGACGTGAGGATAGGTCGCTTCTGGCTGGCGTGTACAAAATACAACCATGAGCTTCTACTGTGTACGCAGTAACAAGACTGGCGGAATGCACGTGTATTCGACACCAACTTTATAGGAACAACCCCCGGCATACGCCGTGTCGATACAGGGTCTGGCCGACATCGGCAAGAAATGTGGCAAGCCAGGATGGGAAAAAAAGGATTATATTTTCGCCTTCTTGAGACAGCCTGCTTATGTGCATAGACGCTTTTCAGAACAGATAATCGTAATAATACCCTGCACTGTGTAAGCAGAATATTTATCAAAAACTTGCCACGCAAGGATTAAAAGTAATCGACCGCCAGCATCCTGGATGGGGTAGTTGTAAGGGTCCCAGGTCGATAGTCACACCTGATAAATGCCCTGTCCCGTCTCAATAAAAGTGCGCAATGATTTTTTCCCTTTGGAGAGAAACTCTCCCTCGCCTGCATGGGGTAGAGACCAACCGAAGACGAGACGGAGATTGACACGGAGTTTAAGTCATCAGCCTACAAAGCACAACAGCCCTTTCGAAGTGAAACCAAGTAGCTCAAAAGGATCATTTTCCGCCGCCTTGAAACCCATTTTCGGTCATTGAGACCTCCATTGAGAACAACTGTGTCCTACCTTATTAGTGCCCCAAGGAATATCCTTAAACTTCTGCGCATGAGCATGATTGGACGCCTAGCTAGGCCCCAATCTCTGCCGTTGAACAACGCATTGGGGCGCTCCTTATGCGGAAAACTGCAGCTCCGTGTTCTTTCAGTGGACACAAGATTCCAGCAATAGGGAAACTAATAGGAACGTTCCGCGGACTGGAGTTTTTCCTCCCAGAGTGGAGTTAGGACAGGACAAGCGATTGAAAGAAACACGCATTTTCTTTTTCCCGTCTGCTTGTTCTCTCCAAGCTGCATATTTTATGCAAGTTTGTTGTCCAAACTCGGAAAGCTACAGAAGACCACAGCCCATGCAATGTTATGGTTGGCGGGGTTATCAGCACTTGTTGACGCAGGAAGAAGCGAGGGGGAAGTGACTTTTTGTGTGAGAACACTTCTGCAACAGGCACTTGAATCGGTTAGAAGTGGCTGCATTTCCCGCTTGGCCGGGCAAGACCAGAAGATCTGGTATGGCTGATTGTTCAGATAGAGTAGTTATATAGAAGTCCTGGAAATCTGAGGGTGAATCGAAACATCGGTTTGTAGATATTCACTCCAGACCTCAATACAGTTTTTCATATCAACAAGCGGATTGTATTTTTACTAGTAATTTTCCAGCACGCCGCTGGTTACACCAGTTCGTCCCGATGGTTGGGTGCACCGAGACCCTAGCGACGGCTCTTCCGGGGAACGCAAGCCGGGCCACGCTTGTAATACGCTTGTTGGCCTCTGTATCGTCGCTGAACTCTGGGTTTGGAAGATCATAGGGTCTGTGCTGACCCGGTGACTCCGCGGCCCGGCCATAGCCTGGTTGTATTGTATCGAAATAAGCGATGTATGTCTCGTATGGTTATTACGTTCACTGCGTTTTGTTCTGATACAGTATGGGCTGGTACGGAGTCTGATGAACATCTTCGGCATCCCCGATACTTTGCTTTTTTCAAACTTGGAGAAATCCAATGGAAGAATGTAATAGCAGAAAGCCAATGTAATTGATGGCGGGAATGCTTGAAAGAATCACTTTCAAGTCCTTACCGCCAATTCATCGCGTGGCTGGTCTCATCATCGTTAGCCTCCAAATTACGAGTATGAACAATCTCAGAGTGCCATGCTGGCTTCACTTGGTTCGCCCATTTTGCCAGTAAATCCGAGAAGCCTTTATGCAGCATCTGCGACCTTCAGGAATTCGAAATGATGGCCAATTTTGGGAGACATCCTTTGTTTCTTGAGCATTATCCAACAACAGGTGCGCAATCTGGAACATCAATCACTCTCCACGTTCGACACGGAGATATTAGCGCTGAAAACCCTATCGACTCACACGATGAGTTGGTGCTATTCTGTAGTGTTATGCTTCTACACACCTCGAACACTTCTGCCCAGATGCTTCAAACTGCCAGCTCGTGGCTGGTGAAGGCTATCGCGAATCGGGACCAAGGACCCCCTCGTCAATACATCACCTCCAAATATATTTTCCCGCTTGGGCATAATCGACAAACCTGCATCCTAGACGGCTTTGGGCAATGAGAATATGATCAGTTCTACGATAGCCATGCGCCCATCATGGTATTTATGTTCAATGACTAGCGATTTCTATCTCACCTCCACTGAGAGATAAATACGAATTGCAGGCGCCTCATATGAATTGAGGTTTGCAGCCAATTAGTTTTCATCAGCAGCGATTATTTTTCTTTTTTCTTTGATAGAAGTCATTCTATCTATATTTCTAATTGCAGCAGTATTACCAATGCTGATTAAGGCCCTGCACCTGCACCGCAGGACATTTGATCGTCGAGCCTTATATCTCTTTCGGCAATCAGTTGGGATACGTTTTCGTTTTCGCCAGAACTCACGGGTTATGGGCTGAGGTTCTCCGGCCTCAGCAAATTACGTATCCTTCTCCCAACTTGCTCTGTTTAGTAATGGAGAATAAATGTTGATGCCGATGAGGAACGCTTTTCCCTCACAGATACAGATGTGAATATGAGTATTCTTGCCGAAGGGGGATTGGATTAAGAGAAGTGTGACTGCATTGAATCATCCAAGATATTGGAAAATTTGTGGGGAGGTGGACACAAATCACCAATAAAGTCCAACTGATTGGTTGAAAGAGATCTTTTCAATATTATCAGACCAATGTGTAAGGGGCATGCAACCCTTATATAAAAATCTGGTAGCTGAAGGCCTGATTCCCGTAATGCCGTACCCGGCGGGACTCAGGGGCAAAGGAATTAATGGCAAGAGCAAGGGAATATGCTCTTGATTGAATCTTAGGAGCTGTGGTATGGATGAAGTAGAGAAGCATACTTCCTAGCCGGATGGTCTGGCCATTCTCACAAAATTTCGTGTAGAAGAGGAAGGCATGATACCCATCTCGAAACGACAATGAAAATATCAGCTGAAATGCCTGATAACTTTTCACGCAGCTCAGATATACTGCAGGAGAAAAAAAATTAATTGATGTTGACAAGAGCGAGACTCGAACTCACGCGGGTTTCCCCATACCGGATCCGGAAATCTTTACTAGAGATTTCCAAGCTGTTCACGTGACTTGAACGGTACGCCTTAACCACTCGGCCATCTTGTCATGTTTAACATTGCCGGTGCCTCTCCTAACTTCTCATGTTATCTACAGTGTTGCAGGAGAATAGTATGTTCCCCGATCCCAACGGCCCCCAAACATGGACGTTTCAAGGGGCAGCTGAGCTGCTCACTTGCGTGCCATATAGCTTCAAAATATTGATTGCTTGTACCCGCCATTGGATTGAGCTAACGACTGGCAGCTGGTAGTACTGCTGATAGAGATTGTCTGCCAACTCAAGATTTCCAATTATAGCGACAAAATGATGCACCGTGATAGTCCAAGTCCTCAAGCTCCAGAGTTTCACTTGGCTTAATGGAGCGACAAGTGGCCGAAGCTAACGGCTAGCTGCAGGCTGCTTCTCCAGGCGATGGACTGGAGATACCCCATATTGACAAGATCTCGATACGTCTCAGAAATAAGTCGGTTGATAAATGAAACCGTTTCTCGAGAGCCACACTCCCACAAAGAATTTCAAATGTATTCGTGGAAATGGCTTCTGGAAATCTGATTTTCATTATAACAGCCTCTTGTGGAAGAGAACGAACGATATACCCATGACGAGGTAGACAGACTCCTTGCATTCTAGGGAATAAGATTGAATCCTCCTACGCCCGGGGTACGTGAACCTCAAGGGTCTCAAAGCCTGATATCGACACCCGAAAACCCCAAATTGAATACGTACCTCCGTGGTCAGTTACAGTTACATCAGTCGCCGCCCAGATATCCGGGAGCATATGGCATGAAACCCAACAACCGTCAAGTAACTCCGCCAGGCATTCCTTCGGCTAGGATACAAAAGATATGGAGATGATCAGACCACTAAGTTTCTTACCCCACATTACTGGACATTTTACAACAACCCTCATTCATTTAAGTGTTTAGAATCACAGTGTTGTGAGTCCGCCTGATCTGCTGGGAGTTTAATTCTTCTACTAATAAAATGACATTTTTTATCTTAAGGCGCTTTCTGTTAGGTCCACGCGTCGGCATATCAGTAACATCTCCAAGATAGCCATCTGTTTGTTGCCTATTGCTCATGAAGCCATCTTAGTTCCTTCGTTCCAGGTTGATCATCTTCTGCAGAAGCCAGGCCGTGACACCCCTGCACGGATGGGTTTTCTGGAGCCACTCAGTCTGGCAATCAGCCACAGGCGTTTCCATGGGCATTTATTTGTGACGAAACCTTAAAAGAACATGAAATGCGAGTCGCTACGACTCTGGAGTCATTTCTTTGAAAAATGCCGGCAACATTCTGTTGCAATGTCCACCCGGTTATGTTTTTAGCAAGTTTGCCGCTTGTGATACTGATCCGTTTGTTCTCTTCTCATCGGAAAAGTAGTGAACATGGAGGAAAAACAAGCTTGATACAATCCTGGCCAGAAAGCATTCCGCTCCGCATAAGTAAACATTCCAACCAGAACACCACCAAGCCCCACGGGAAGGCGAATTCCAGTCCTTCGATTATTTTTTTGTTGAGCAACAAGAGATCAATGACCGAAGCAATGTATTGGTGAACAATATCGAAGTATTCAGCTTTCGCTACATCTTCTCCACAATACTCTCTAAGTTTAGGGACCCAGACTGTGCTGCATGCTGAGATGCTGATATTTTTACTTCCCCCACAAGTGTAACATCCCCAGATCCCCATGCCAAGCCAAATTCTTGGGAGCTTCTGCAGCTGAAACCTCCAACGTTACAGCACCACTCGTAAATCACAAATGATCTCCAAAAAGGATCAAGGGTCAATTGAAAGTGAATGCCCAAATCGTGTACTTCTCTTAACGGCCCTGCTTCGCTGAACAAGGGTGGGTGTTCTGATCAAACCGAGCTCCGGCACAATGGGACTTACACACTCCTTGGTTGTTGCACGAGCATCCAATTCCACGCGCTTGGGTGACATCTTTAGGGCAAACATGAGAATGCCTGCACATCTTGCGACGCTACGAGTAAAGGATTTCCTGAATTGAAGGCTGACATATTCCTTAATTGCTAAGGCTGGCTTACCTCTGAAAGATGAGGTGTTGCTGCGATTCTTGGACGCTCGACAGGGCTGGAGCGATCTCTATAAAGAGTTATCCAACTTCCAGAATCCTCTTAACTTGCTTTTTTGTTATTTTATTTTTATGCCTTGTTAGAGAAAAACACATATAATCCTGCCTCCGGACCTTTTTTTTTTTTTTTTTGAGAAAACCCATTCGTCCGTCCTCTTTAATTTTTGTGCGTTCTAATATTACAAGCTACACTGAAAAGCAAGAGGAAAAGAAAGAAAGAGCAGTCATGAAATCCATAATCAGCACAATCGCCCTCATAGGAGTCGCCTCAGCAGCGACAATAGACGTCAACGTTGGCGATAAGGGTCTCAACTTTAATCCCGACATCATCAAAGCTAAACCAGGGGATGATATCGTTTTCCACTTCTTTCCCAAAAACCACGACGTCACTGAAGGGAAATTCGATGCGCCGTGCGCTCCTTCAGACGGCGGTTTCTATTCCGGTCTCATCAACGCTGACGGCAGCCAGCCTGATGCTACCTTCACCGTGAGAATCAACAATACAAACCCCATCTGGCTCTACTGCTCGACCCCCCGTCATTGTCAGGGAGGCATGAGTGCTGTCATCAATCCGCCGTGAGTACTTTACTCCATGTTTTAATTGTTATTCCTTTTCTCATTTTCCTTTGTCATTGTGTCTAATATTGCGAGAAAAAAAATTTTCAGGGATAATGATAAAACCCTTGACGCCTACAAATCCGCGTCCAAAGATGCCAAGAGCGTCCGACCAGATCAAGTCCGAGGCGGTATCTTCAGTGAGAACGGGGGGGCAAAACAATCAGGAACTGCCTCGTGGACGGCTTCTGATAGCCCAACTGCTACTGGTTCTGGTACGGGCACTGGTACTGGTGCCGCTAGCTCCACCAGTTCTCCTGGTGCTGCATCTGCCCTTTTCAGTGAAGGGACCGCACTGTTTAATGTATTTGCGGCAGTAGTCGCGGGTGGTGCGGGATTAATTGGTCTTCTGTAGGTGAAGAATTCGAAGCAGAGGTAGCCATGGGCGTCGAGCAGTTGCATTTACCTATTACTATATCATCGTCATTCAGGTTTTGGATCGAGTGGTTTTGTGTTCGTTTCTCCCTCTTATTGGTAGGGAAGAGAGTGGCCAGATCGCTGTTGGCATTTAGAGTGTGGGGAGGCAAAGGGTTGGAAGAATGTTTTCTATATGCAGACACTTCGGCACTCGCTCAACTTCCTATTTGCTTTGATACTTTGATACTTTGACCTTGCCGCATGTTTGTTTTCCCCGTTGTAGAGAATCCTAGAGAAGAAGGAGTCTTATGGACCGGCTACCTTGATTTTTTATTTCTGATGCTTGCTCTAAACTCCTACATATATCCAGGACGCGAGGGGTAAAAAAAGTAAAAAAACTATTTATCGCAAATACGATACTTAAGATATTTGTTATTCCCTGTTTTTTCGATGCTGTTTTGATTGCATTCTTGGTGGCTGTCCGTGGTGGACTTGAATCTAGCCCCATACTGCATACGTACCCCTTTCCTTAGCTTGAGAACACCAAGTTCAACAACTTCCAACCAGGCAAGGTTTGAGAAAAGTCACATATGTACTGCGTAATCATGAAAACGACCCAGGCTTGGGAATACATATATACTTTTTGCTTCTTGATCATGAGTATATTTCTTGGATCCAATTCACCCCGCTTAATAGTGTCGGAAATATCTGCTCATCAGATAAAAGGAGTATTTTCCTTGTTGGGAACACGATGTTGCACAATTGATATTAGCATCTATTATAAATTCCATAAATGGCATCGCGCAATGCAATTTACGAAGTAGAGTTGCACCTACGGCAAATGCAGATTGTCGACTATAATCAACAGTCTTCATCCTGCGCACATCGTTTTTGCGACAACATTGAGTACCACCGGTCACAACGAAATAAACGCTCTTAAAACAAATTAGGCATATATTCTCCGACTCATCGACTCCGTGCCCATACTCTGTGCATAATCAATCTCCTTATGCAGCGCCCGCCGATTCCCTAACGCACGACGAATAATCCAATCTTTGCTCCTGATCTCCTCTTCCTCCACCACCGCCCCGGTCTCGTCTCTCAGCGTAAGTGGCGGGATACAATCGCTTCCCTCCAGCCGCTTGAGAATGACATCATCTTCTGGTCGTGCAAAGTACACCAGGCTGTATCTGGTAGTCTCAGCCTGTGCACCGGGGGGAGACACGACCCTATGAATGTTAGAGCGTAACAGTCCGTTCGTGAATTTAACCATGGCATCGCCTAAATTTATGATCGCATGGCCCGGCAGGGGCCGCGCGTAACACCACTCCGCGTCCTGGCCTGGCGGCAGGATTTGTAGGCCACCCACTCGGTTGAAGAGGACGGTTACACTGCCGAAATCTGTATGTTGACCTATCGACGTGCGTCTGTCGTCTGCCGGCTGCGGTGGCGCCTTAATTATTCGTACCTGGTCGCCACTGATAGCGTGGAGGCGATGCATGTTGGCTAAGGTAGATGGGGGAAGGTGGAGACTGTCATTTAGAAGGTTCAGGATCATGGTTACGATGTTGTGCGCATTGATTATGAATGATTTGAAAAGTGATCGACATTCTTTGAGGAGGTCAGGTGCTGGTAGCGTTTCTGAGATTCCAAGAATATCGTCTTTGGAAACCTTGTTGCGTTTCTAGTTAGCTATTCTTCATTGAACCTACTGAATAATTTCAGATATATCATAATGCTAGCCGCCAACGCCAGGTATCTTGACACTTGCAAGTCCGGGTGACCGGCTTTTCTGAAGGGGCAAGGATACATTATAGAATTCATTCCTATCAGAATTCCCTTGCGGATCAACGACCGCTGCGCCAAGTTCTTTATATCCGAAGTATGAATTTTCTTTGCTAAAATCATACCGTCGTTTCTCGTCGAGGTCTAGCTCAAACAGCTGCTCTCCGGTGGTAAAGAGCTGATTGGCATCTTCGAGGATTTCGTGGCCGCGTAGGTCCAGATAGAAGAAGCCCAAGTCCTTGCATGCGGTATAAAAACGTTGCACTTCAGTCTCGTCATGGGCTATGAGCTTTTCCATCGAGAGACGCAGAAGCGGCGTGCAAAGAACATCATCTGGGAACGGAGGGATTCCGGTAAAGTTCTCTTCATAAGACATGGTATTTTTCGATCGTGGGGCTATTGGCAAATATATTGCCTGCGGGCAAATGGAACATTTATAGTTTAGGTTGGGAGACACTATTCAGGAGAAATAAGGATATATAGGACTCAGAAGATGGCCGCGGGGCTCAGCTCTCCCGCTATGTTGATTGCCTCCAATCTCCAGATTCGTTATGCGGCAAAAAGCAGATATGCCGAGGACCTGTTTTTTGTGGTTGAGTTTTGGCCAGAGATACTAGGTTTTGTGACCTTTCCAATCTTCATGGCTGCAACATTGTAAACCGCCAGAATTCACGAAATATGCTGCAGCGGATAGTCATACGCGCCCAAAAATGTCAAATCAGCACTATGAGTCCAGGCTGACTGACAGACACGTCAGGGTCCAGGCATTTTGCGAATTTTGCTCAATTTGGAGCAGAAGCATATCCATCCTCGTCTGAGGTCGAACAATTAGTCAAATCCGAGCGGTTCAATTGAAGCCGCTCGAATATTCTTGCCGCTCGATGAATTATCACGCTAAGACGAACGAACAAAGCGGGGTTCAAATACTACCCACTCGAAGCTCTGCTCTCCTTGTGGCCTTTTGATGATCCTTACAGCTCCACATAGCCATAAATCGCTCCTTACTTTCTTCTTAGCCATGATGCTGAAATCGCTGAGACCAAAATCCATGGAAAGATGCTGTAGGAACTGAAATAGCCGGCAAGAAAGTGGTTCTGATATGAGATAGCCAGTCGCTCACGGGACACTCTTGAGAATCAAGGTTTGCTGGCAGATAAACCCGGTTTCGATATATTCCAAGTGTTTTGGACCATGAAGATCATTGATTTTTCGTTGAGTCGCAGATCATACATAAACTGCCATGAGTACTACTAGCTCTACTGTAGCAATGCTTAATCACGTTGAGATATCTGGCTTTCTGTCAGCTGTTTCTATAGGTGGTGAGTGGTAGAAAGTTGATTGTGAAGCAGCTATACTCTTTGTATAATTAAACTCTTTGGAAATTTCAGTGTCTGAAGACATCTATGACATGGCAATTTGACTTCGAAGGTCTAGCCTGCTTCTGTTTCATCAAACATACGCTTTTGTTAGCATATGCCTGGGTTGCTCATTGACTTGAGCTCGACGGATTTCGTGTGTTTGGCGCGTTGGTTTGGTGCGCTGTTTAGTCAGCATCTATTTTCTCCAGCCTCAACCGTGGAAGTTATGCTTCTAAGGAGCTTCCACAACAACCATGGCGCCTTCAGATGCTGCTCCCAATACGAGTGGCGCCCATATCGCGCAGCAGCTGATAGCCCGCGCGCATTCGCCTGATACAGCTTCAAACATTTTCACGGAGAGAGTAAAGCGGAAACCCCTCTTCCTGCACTCAACGTCCCCATCACCAGCCGATAACCGAGCTCGTCGACGACTCCACCGTTTGCGGAAAAAGGAATATTTTTTGCGGAAGCAAAAGCCCAAGCCCCTCTCTGCTCGAGAGAAGAGAATCACTGGCATCTATAACCTTCCAAAGGATGAGATGAAATATGACATCTTCAAAGGCCTTCATCAGATGTGGATTGAATACATGCATGACGTGCTAGACCTGAATAGGGACAATCCCCAAACCTATATTAATCCTTTAACCCATGGAAGTTTACTTGCCAGCGCAGATTTCCATGGAGCTGAGCTTGAGGTCGTACGTAGCAGATGTGTTAGCCGCGTTGGCGTGAAAGGCATAGTTGTGAGGGACTCCAAATTTACATTCGTCGTAGTGACAGAGAAGGATGAAGCTAAGAGTATGTTACGACATCTGTGTGCATACTTTTTTTTCCAGCTAACATATCTCCTAGCAATCCCAAAGGAGCATACGATATTTCGTTTCCAAGTGCCTCTACTCACTAGTAGTCGCGAAGATGTGAAAACCAACCAGCCTGACCTTATTTTCGAGCTACATGGCAGCCAATTCGAGAACAGGCCGGCTGATAGAGCCAACAAAAAATTTAAGTGGAAAAATTTGGACTATCTTTAAGTTCTCCCAACGTCGGATTTCCAATTAATTACCACCAAATTCAATTTCCTGGCCTCCAACTAGCATCTCGGTCGAGGTTCCACAACGTTTTTTCGCCAATTAAGCACCTACACGGACCCTCATACTAAAGCATCTTCGAAACTATCTATAGGACTCCCACATATCTGTATATACTGGGAAAACAGCATACTGGAAGAGGAAGATAGCCCATGCTGAGCCCTAATTGTGTCACCATTTGCTGGACAAGAAAGCCATGTCATTTCTTTGGCCCGTGTGCCATGCAAGTCGCCCTGTATCTCCGTCGTGCGAGGGAAAAGATGGAGTTTGCGTTGAGGGATACAAACTTCACCCCATTTTTTTTTTCGATATTATGTCCGTCTGAAATTGGGAAAGTACTTCTGAGCCTAGAGGTTTTGTTAGGTGGGCATTTTAATCGGCGAGATAGGGCTGGCGACCAATAGGCTATGTTTATCACTAGAGGGTGGATGAATGTTGTAAGCTTCATTTCATTCTATCTTGATCCCATCTTTCAGGTAGCCTCAAATAAAACCCTACTTTTCCCTATTGTCCATAAAATCTTGCTTTGGTTAAGATAGACGGGAAAAGATCTATTTCAATGGAAAGCTGAATTTATTCGTGGTAAATGACTTTACATTGTTCGTCACCCCATCGATTGCAATGCAGCCCAGCAATCCCAACCATTGGCTGATATTACCTTATTCACCTTCACAGCCCTGGCCATTTGGGGAGGAAACGTACCTAGGTATTGGTGGAGGGAACCACGGAATTGTGGGAACCGTTTATCCATCGATTCGTCCTTGGGTATCATTATGTAGTGCGAATTTGAAGGTCAGCTGTGTTATACCACAATATAGGAATATTCCATGGACTGGACGGCGGCGTGGGAGTCTGCAGAGAGGACTTGACTATTATAAGCTTCGTCGAGGATGAGACAAAGGAAACAGTCTTGGTAGTTGCATGTTTTTATAACATCCTATCTACGACCTGTAATGGAAAATGACGACATCCAGTTAGTCAGGAGAGCAACCAGAGGCCATGAAAGTGATCGCCTGGGGGATTTTCCAATGTGGCAGGCAAGGCACAGGGCAAAACTCAACCCGAGAGGGAAATAGAGTCGATAAAGAATTCCAGTGGTGTATTTTGATTTATTTGAAGCCCACTCCTGGTTACGATGGGTTGATCAGTGCTTTTGCATCGACGCTACCTTGAGACAATATTGACATCCTAGAAACGCGCAGAAGGTTAAAAAGTTCAGAAAAGATAACAGGCTGACCCATGGACTTGCTCTTGTTGTATTCCTTTAACAGTGCAACGTGATCAAAAATGAAGCAATATATTTCAGGGGTTGGTGATGTCATTCGAATGTTTGATCAGTAACAACTCTTGTGCAGGCATTGTCAAACCAGAAACCAAAACAAACAGAACAGCATGATACAACAACAATTTGTTGAATTTTTTGCTAAATACTTGGAATATTTTAGTTGTCGTTGCATCCACCTTGATCTCACCATCGATAACTGTGCCAAAGGAACCACTGTGTATATTGTATATTGAGTCGCGCTATGAATCGCCATATACCCGTCCTAAGAAAATCCGAAAATCCCGAGTATCCTGTTCCTCAAGCGTACGATGCAATCTCCTACCATACGTGTTGTCGATGGGGTCATGCACCCCGAGCCAAAAGGGAATTGCGGAGGAAAATGGGACAGAAAGCAAAAGAATAAAAAGCACTTAAGGGTTGCATTGATATTGTTTTTTTCTCATTCCAATAGTAACTCTTCAATGTGATATGGCGTTTGCTTTGAAAGGCGTCCTAGCACTGGGCTTATAAAACGCGTAGTATCATATATGAAATTAATACTACAGAAGATTCGCTCTCAATGCTCTTCCATTAGTTCCCCCCCACCCCCCCATCCAATTGCGTTAACTGTCTATAGTTTACGACAGGCAGTCAATTGGTGTGTTGAATTGGAGGCATTCTCGCGTAAACAGGTATTTCGCTCGACCTATCCATAGATAGCCAGCCCAAGCCTACAGCATGAAGTTATCGTTGACCCTCTAAATTGCTGGTCAACCTCAAGGGTTTCGCGACATTCAGAGTATCTCCTGTCCATCACGGTCGCTTGGAGTGACACATCGCTCCTCATCAGCGGTTCTGGGCAAGCGGAGGATTAGGTCACGAAAAACCTATCAGCTTGAAGAAAAACAGCACACACCGTTGTCAGACAAATACCTTGGCAATAGGAGCGACAAGCCCTAGCCGACGGTTATCAAGGGTTGCATAAAATTATCCACAGATATTCTCCGAAATCACATCCCAGCCCATTCGAAGCTAAAAGTCCTCACAACATCGGGATAAGACTCGACATGACTGTCATTGAATGACTCTACACCCCCAATAAGAAAGCCCTTCTTAACCCCAGTTCCCAATCTACCGCCAGTAACTAAGTTCATGATGTCGAATTCTTCATCCCACTCCGCAGAGACAACTAGGAAGTGGGAATGGAAACGTAAAGGGTCACCGGGATAAGCAAGGTACTGGCACCCAAAACGGAGTCCGGGAGATAAGAAATACCCTTTCGAGTGTAAGTGGGCAAAAAGTGGATATGACGGTGGTACGTCTGGAAAAGTGAGAGGCTGAGGGGGTGGGGCCTTCGGAAATAAGCCATCAGATGTTGCGGGAGTAATTCCAAAAACAGCATCTGTAGTAAGGGGTGGCCTGGAAGGTGCTGGGACTGCGGATGAACTTTGACAAGAGCTGTGAAAGAGTTGTTCCTCAGACCCCACTTCAATGGAATTTTGAGAAGGCACAGGACTCTGGTTCAGTAATGATTCTGCCGGTTTATGTGTGTTTCTCAATTCTAATTTCTTGAGAGCTTCTTCTCTTTGTTGTTCCTTACGGCCAGCCTGTAGAAGTGCTGCTCGACGGCCTTCTTCCTCAAAGGTCTGCAGGTAACGACGCCGGTCCTGGTTAGTTAAGTGTTGCATGCGATCCTCATGGACTTTGGCCTCATCAACGATATAGGCCACACCTTTTTCTACAAGTAATCTTGCCTCCTCGGGCATGAGCTCCAGGGGAAGCCCAAGGAAGACATTCTGTTGGGGAATTTGTGGAAGAGTCCCTATCAATACGCCACAAATGTGGTGCTCCCGACGGAGATATGTCACTATGTCGACTGAGAAGAGGAAATAATGTCCGGATACCAGAGATATGGGAATTGGCAAGTCTGGAATGCTTCCCATGGTGATCAATGGGTCATTGACCCGGAACAGCTAAGAACGATTGTATGTATCTGAGTAAACTGGCGGAAGCAGTCAGCCATTCCCAATCTATGTCATGAACATCATTGATAATGTACTAGCAGTGTGCGTGCAATGAATCATAAAAAATTTTACGTTTCTCGTCACTTGAACCCAGATGTAATCGGGTTATCAGGGGATTGACAGATTTGTAGAGAATTAATCATCTAAGAAAGGGTGTGTTAGGGGGTATAATTTCACTTACGAGATACACATTGTCATGAGCGTCGAATGGTTGACCACCTCAGCTGCATGGTGAATTGGGAAAATTATCGAGTTACAGTTGATGCCCGAAAAATCTTTTTTGAAGTTGAGCTAAGCACCTCATCATGTGACTTGGCTTCCAAGATTGAATTTGCCTGTGCAAAACTAAACTACTGGACACCCACTCCATAATCCACCTCTGGGTTTGAGGTAGAACTAGAAGTTAGAAGTACTAGGAGATATTAGAATTAGGGATTTGGATACTAAGCTTAGAAAATGAGGGTTAATTCGAGATTAGCGTTTGAGAAACATAGACCCTTTTTCTCTCCAAAGTACTAGAGCAAGGGTGAAATCTGGCGCGAGAATTGAATGAGGCTCAAAAAAACTTGAAGTTGTCATTTGAAAGCTTTTGAACCCTGTCCAGCTTTTTTTAACCCCATTCAACCACGGAATATACGCCCATTGAATTCAGAGTGCCTTGACGATGCCGCGCCATGTCCTGTTCTAATATTTAATATTATATGGATACAGACCATTGCCGTTGACTATTCCAATGAATGTCATCTTGCTTCTCAGCCTCCTTCTGCTGGGGCCGTTTTTCCTCCTTATTGGTGAGCACCTACACAATCGACCGCATTATGCATTCCCGAATTGACATAACTCGTGAACAGCATTTCTGGCATTAACTTCCTGTCTCGGGGAGAGCTTCCGTGCCCGCATTGCTGGTTTTTCTATCAACCCTAGAGAGGCCGCCTATGGTCGCAGTTACTTACGGACGATGACAAATAGTGGTTCTGCCATGTCCGAGCAGATTGAGCTAGATGACATGTTGAGAGATCGCGGAGACACTTATGACAGTGATGCTTCGTAATTGAGACATTGGTTACAGCATCAAATTGCCCGGAAACGCGGTTTGGAGATGATTAGAATTCTAGGTCTTCTTTACTCGGGCCACCTGAAGCGCTGCCTTGCTGTGCCTCATTATCTCCTTCTACGGGTGGTAGACTAAACGGCTTAATCACGAATTTCCTCCTGCTGAGAGTAAAAGCCCAATCGTCACCCAAACTACGCTCTCCGCCTCCACCTCCTCGTTCGTGCAAAACAGGTAGCCGATGGATTTTGAGCAAACCCTGTGGCGGTTCCTCCTGTGCTGTGGCAGCTCCCGATGTGGCAAATGGGTTGGCGTCTGAAAGGTGGGGAAAAGGTGCAAGCTCGATAACACCGTCGCTCAACAATTCAATCCATCGAGTGAGACCCGAGGTTCGAGGGTATAGGGATAATGGGAGAGTGATCATCGCTGTTGTCCGGCTGGAGTAGGTCGACAGAATGGCGCGCATGGAATGCAGAAACTGCAATACGTATTCGGGTTGGCTGGCGTGTGGGGGATATAGAGCTGGAGAGAGCAGGGATGGAACAATAATTCGGTGGATGATATTTGGTGGTGAAGTCGATATTGCGATAGACAGTTGATGGAGGGCAGATGTATATGGAGAAGCATTTGGTGTTGGGGATGTTGAAAGAGGGATATAATTTATAGCAGGAAGCAAGGAATGGACTAGGCGCTTCGTTAAATCAAACGTATGACAGAACACCTGTGGCGCGGGAGAGGATTGTGATGAATCCGGAGCTTTCTCTACTGTTGGAGCAGGGGCTGCTTAAATAAATAGTTAGCCTTTCGAGCACTTTCCTGTGGACTTATGGTCCAACAAAGTCGTGGGGAAAGACCAGGAAACACCAGCGCACCTCTTGACCCCGCAATTCCAGCGCCAAACTCTCCTAATCGCTCATATCTCCAGGCGATTTTCATTCTCTCCTCCGTTCTTTTACTAGGTTTATCATCTGCAGCTTCTCCTGTTCCAACAAGCCCAGGAAGAGCTCTTCCCCATTGCTCACCGACCCCGATGACATGAAGCTGATGCTCTTGAACCACGCCCTCCGCAGCAAAATATCTTAACAAAGCGCCCGCGAAATCAGTTGTGCCGCTTTCTTCAATCAGAAGGGAATTCCCTAGCACAAATCCCGCATGTCCTGCTAATAAATTATCCAAGGAGGGAGTGCCAGTAGAGGTAGTCTGCCTCCCATCCACAGGTGAGGCACGGAGTCCCAATGTCGCCTTGCGCGGCAATTGCGGAGGTTGCGAACCGGTGGCATTGGGAGCAATTCCACAGGATAAGCCTGGCGACAGCCCGACATTCCTTTTGCGGAATGACATGATAGCGAACAGAAGAGGATCTTGAAGGTTCTGCTGCGGTTCGTAGGTACTAGAGAAGTTCAATGGAGTAATCTATCTACCGCTGCTTTAGGGTTTGCAGAATTAGTCATAAAGCAGCACTGATATTATGGACAAACATATTTTTTTCGCAACTGCATCGCAAAGCTCCCAAGACCAGACCAAGCCTAAACAAAAAGCGTGTTATTTCTACAATTCCCCGGTAATACCCTCACGCACGTTAAAGCAAAGCCTCCACACTCCAAACAAAAAGACGCAAAAAATCCAACTATTACGGCCTAGGCCGCAATTTGCGGCTCAATCCTTCCTCAATCCCCTCCCTTCAGAACAATCGCCCCTCCATCGCCGCGACGATGTCCGACCCTGTCCTTTTTGAAGACACCTTCACCATAACAGCCATCAATGCGCAGAAATACGACCGTGTAGCGCGTATCAGCTGTACCTCCTCCGACAACCTAACCACCTTCACCCTCGATGTGAACACAGAACTATATCCCGTCGCGATGGGAGAGTCATTATCTCTCGCGCTTGCGTCGACACTTGCTCTCGATGGGAAAGATGATAGCGCAGGCGGTAGAGGTGCTTGGAGAGATGTTGGCATGGGGGAACAAACGTTGGCGAATGACTATGACTACGTTTGTCATGGTAAAGTGTATCGGTTTGAAGAAGGGAATACGGCAGAGAATATGTGGGTTTAAAATTGAATACTTTTTATATTCCTTGTATTTCTATTAAATTCGTCCTATTTTCTTTTCTTTTCATCATCTTCTTTTTTTTTTTTTGCTTTTCCTTTTATTTACTGTGGACGCGCTGGCTAATGGTATTTCTTTTTGATCCTCTGTAGGTCCGTTTTCGTTTCCTTTGGAGGTCTTTTGCTCTACTTGGAGGGCCCATATAAGAAGCTCAGTCCGCTTAGGATCGACTATATCTATCTTTTGATGAAAAAATAGTGGATCTAAACATATGTATTGGGGAGAAAAGTTTCGAGTATTTCTTGGTGGTTTCTGCGCATGCACAAGACCATAAGCAGAACCGAATGGGTTCAAATGAACTGAGACGCAAAATTCAATTACGGTCCTATTCTTTAGAGCTTGGGCATTGAGCGTGGGCGTTCTCTCGTTTTTTATAGTTGCCATTAAAAATAAAACTAAACTAAGCAAGGACTTCAAACAGAGAAAGGAAAACTGGTTGTGTCAACTCTATCGGGGCGTACAACCTCAGGCTAGGTTGCTGCGGAACGGAAAGCATCAAAACGAAACAAATGCAAATGGTTGGAATGGAAAGGGTTCCATTAGATGTTCGCGTATTCAATACGTCGGCGCAATCTCGAGCAGATCTCCTCGTAATGGTTGTCATCTTCTGGCTTAAGAATTCCGTGTCTGATTAGGAAGTCGATAATAACCACGGCGCAATTAGGCTTGAAGTTACCCTGCTTCAGCTCGATAATAACATCGTCGACTGACATTAGAGTGAACCTCTCCACCTCGCCATCCTTCGGCTTCAGGATGACATCTGGAGGAAGCTTGAGATCGTAGATATATTCACATTCGGGTTGCAGCAGGCCCGTCTCACCACCAGCCCTCTCGTCACGTTCGTATATATAACGTAGAACGCCGGCCGATATCGCATTCCGCGCGACTTCTTCATTGAGAGATGCTTCCTCTTCTGCCTCCCGCAGCATGCATTCAAACGGCCTTTCGCCCGTGGCCATCCCTCCAGCGACGCTATTATCCAGCATCCCTTTAAACGTTGATTTTGTCATTGAGCGCCTTGGGACCCAAACCATGTACGTTCGGTCGGCGTTCTCGACGTAAGCGGTCATGTGGATTCCCCAGGTGGGGATACCAAAGAGGCATGCTGCCGAACGCTCCATGCTGGCGAGGAGCTTGTTCGTCCCGGGGACGTAGATGGGATACATTTCATTGCGCCACCCCTTCCCCTTGAGGACTTCGAACGTGTTGCGAGCCTCCTGGAGAGTGTTGTTGATCAAGGTAGTCCGTTCCTCCGGTGATACATTTTCGGGTGACATGAGAGTTATGGTGCCAGATTGCCCTTCTACACCTTTGACCACTTTCCATGTTGGCTCTGGCCATGAGAACTTTTCGACTATCTCATTTGGCATGTAGCCGAGAATTTGAGAGTAACCATTGATTTTGAATTCATGGAAGTTGGAAACGTATGCCTTGTAGCCCGCGGGGTCATCCTGGATATATGGGAACCTAAAAACGAGGTTGTCAGTTGTTTGTTGTTCGTGTCTTGTGTGCAAAGGGAGTGCAGCCATACGAATTACACTCCTTGACTAGATCCAAGTAGGATCTGATGGGTTTTGGTGTCGACATTGTATGGCTTGTATGTTGAGTGTAGAACTAGGAATAAGTTGTCTTCAAAAGAACTTAGAACTCTGATTTAAGGTGGGTTCTTCTTGATGAGATTGTTGGTATCACCAGTAGATCCCTTCTGCTTATTGAGTAAATGGAAAGAGTTCCCTTTTTTATATCGTTCTGAGAGGGGCTTTTGTTGGGAACATTCCAGCTCGATTGTAAAAAACCCGCTCCGCTTATTGATTGCCACGACGAACAACCGCAAAATCCCCGTTCAGCATGTGGGCTATGTCAATACCTATAGGATTTATCTGGCGATAACCCCGAAGCCTTTGCTGACTACTGGTATTGATTCTTTCAAGGGAGTTATCTAGATGGTTGGTCACTACTGGAGCACGGCATCTCCCCCACCTGGCTCTCTCTCTTTATACTTATTCATATTTCAACTAACATCGTTTCACAGTATTTAGTTAAATGTAGGAATGTGTCCTCCCTGCTCGAACGGTCCCTCAGGAGGATCCCTCTTCGGACTTGGCATTCATCAAACACGCCGCTCATAAGGCCCATTGTCTCCTCAGATTTCCTCCTGCCCATTCGGCTTGATCCTTTATATGCGAAGGTCGGTGCCCGTTGTAGTTATCGCGGGGCTGTCAAGCACCCCCTTACTTCCGGGCGCGGGGAATAAGCGATTGGAATTTATTTATAGCTGAATTTACAGCTGCAGAGTCTGGATTGTTTGAATATGACCCGGATGCGAGTCGCTGTGACACTCCCGCCCCACGGATCATGATCATTGATACATGGCAATGTTCGTTGAAGGATAATCGATAACAGCGACAACAACCAGGAACATGCCAGTCCAACAGCCAAGTAGTGGCACCATCAAGCCCACACGTTGTGGCGTGTCTCACATCCTGTGTTATCACCGTTTAGAACCGTTCCGCGCTTGAGCACGTCTGTACCAGAACCGTGGCTTATTCTTAAACATGCCCACTCCGCGCTATCATCTCCTTGGCTACCGAGGGTTGGGTGTGCGATGTGTTTCAAGCTGCTGAGATGGGATCTCTCAATTTGTCGTAGATCTTTAGCTCCGCTTAACCTCCATTCTGAGTTCTTCTTACGAGGATAACTGGTTCGCCTGCCACTATGATTCTCATTTCTATTTAAGTTTGCGGCTTGTGGGGGTTGGAGAGTTACTCTCATGGATTTTATGTACATATTTATTTAATTAGTGAGATACAACTTTCAAGTTGCTTCTTCCCTTTAAACTAAGTATTCCATCTTTCCCCTTATTTCCCTCTTTTTTGGGGGTGGAGGGTGTGTCTATGGAAGCCGGTTGATTCTTATTTATTCTCGTTAGCATTTCCCCAACAAAGCTCGCACTCTTGTCAAAGCCCGCAGTGCTACGGCCTCCTCGAACAACCGCGATCGTAGTCGATGGGATACTTGTGATTTTGATGTGTGCCTCAATCTATCGTCTCTATAATAACCGTTTTACTCTCCAGGCGAGTAATTACTCTCTTTTCATGCGGACCTGACTGCTCCGATCCCCCGAAACTCAGCGCTGGTGTCGCCAGGCCGATAACCTTTAAACTTCTCCTGAGCGCTGACAGATATTCACTCGATAGATAGATAGGTATTTTATATATATATATATATGTATATGTATATACATACTGCAATTCCTCAGCTTCTCATCTCTACGTACCTACGCTCATTTTCACGATTCTGCTGTGGGTTGGTGTGTCCGTGCTCCGCCTTAGCGCCGCCGATTTGCAATATCCATCATTCTTTAAAAGTAATAAACGTTGTCACTGCGGCCAGGTTCGACAATTCACGTATTGTCAGGTGTTATAGTGCGTCCTAGAACGTTGCCTCCGTCAAATTTGTCACGTTTACTGGTATCTTCAACCGCTCCGGTCCTGTGCGCGCATGAGGCCGTGGCGGGCACTGTTTTTCAGCCGTCCGCCAGCGCTCCAGGTACGATAAGGGATACTATTTCCTAAGAACAATTGGGTTCCTTAGTTGCTTAAATACAATCCGATGGCACCAACCGTTGATGAAAACCTCCTTCCGCCGTCAGAATTCGAAATTCCTTTGATGAACTTGGCTGCGCCTGCTGCGGCGGTAGCGGCTCCGGATAATTATCCATTAAATGGCGACTCCTACCCGAAAGCAACGAAGGCAACTATTAATTTCAATACCCAAACACAACAGAAAAAACTGAAGAATACCATTGGTGGAGACAGGACGAGTCCTGCTCCAGTTAACGCTCCACCAAGGACAAATATCTCGGGCCAGACGAATACACAAAAGCCAAAGCGTGTGCGGACTGGGTGCTTAACCTGCAGAGAGCGACATCTCAAATGCGACGAGACGCTTCCACGATGCCAGAACTGCCAAAAGTCCGACCGGTTGTGTAAGCGTGGCGTACGACTAAACTTTATCGACACCCATGTCGCAGCACCCCCGTACGCAGCGCCATTCGCCCATGATTGGCAGGTCAACTTCCAGGACGAATCTCGTCAGATTGCTTCAGAATATCGGGGAGGCTTTGAGAGATATCCTCGCGTAAAGAAAGAAACTCCTCCCCGAGAACCTACAGCTGACCTGCCCTCGTACGATTTCCCTGATATCATGGGTGGCCCATCCCTTTCGCATCAGAGCATCCCAGACGCTACTCCTCTCCTTTCTCACTATCCCGAGTCGCAACAACCGGATATCAGTGAGCCTGTTTTTGAGCACACTCCACGAGCGCACCACCATACAGGCCCAGCATTTTCCGACCACGCACTCCGGAATTCTCCATTTAATTCTCCGAGATGTCATTTGATACCTTCTGGCAGTATTCAGCATTGTCTGGAGAGTCCAGAGGAAGTTTTGCTCATGCAGGTTTTTGTGGAGGAAATTGGGCTGTGGATGGACTCGATGGACTCGATAAAACATGTAGATTATCTCTTTCCATTTCCTCCCTCCATAATGCTGATGAATTACGCCTACTAATTTACACTCAGTTTTCTCACATTTTACCGTACCACGCTCTTGGAGAGCCCATGCTTTTAAACGCGTTTATGGCATGTGGCGCGCGGCACTTGTTTTTGGTCAATCCATCATACAGCGAAGACAAGGCATTGTATTATTACAACACTTCAACGCGTGATCTCCTTTCCTGTTTACAGGACCCCAATCGTGATACAGTATTATGTGCTACGACGGCGGTAGCTCTTAATGTTTACGAAATAATGTGTGAAAATGCGATGCAGCGAATGAACCATATCGCGGGCGCCCGCGCTCTCATCAAGGAGTGTCAATGGGATGCCACAAGCATCGGAATAGGAGGCGCTTGCTTCTGGCTTAATGTTGCCATGGAGTTGTTGAGTTGCCTCCATTTCAACTGGACAATGGCTTGGGACCCGGATACTTGGGATATAAATATGAACATGTCACCGCCGGAGAATAATATCACAGGCAATGAAGAGCTATGGACCCATCGGATGGTGTATATCTGTGCAAAAATTGCCAATTTCCGATCAACGATTCCGCATTTCCGGAACCCTGATCCGACAGCGCATGATATGCGATTGAACGAGCGAATCCAGGAATGGAATACGTATAAGGAATGGTGTGACGAGTGGGCGAGATGCGTACCGCGCTCAATGATGCCGCTTGGTTACGTGCAGCCTTGGCAAACACGTTCGAAGTCGTCCTTCCCGGAGGTCTGGTAAGTATTTAGCATCTTTGTTGAATTCTGGCCTTTGCACTAACAAGCCCGCCCCTTCCCAGGCTTATTCAGCGTACAGCTATTGTAGGCAGGCTTTTTTATCACACAGCATGTTGCCTGCTTGCAGGGATTCACCCCACGGAAACCGAGAATATGACGGCGATGCAACAGAGCCACGCCCACGATATTTGCGGAATTGTGGCACATGTGAAAGACAGGTACGTGTTCCTTTACTTCATGCAAAAACACCGCTGACAATAGTCCGCTTACTTTACAAATATAACAGAGGCGTCGCCAGCGTTTCCATCCGCTGCCTTGCCATTGCCGCGGAATGCCTGACCAACCGACTAGCACAGGAAGAAGTCTTGCGAATTTTCGAAAAAATTGTGAAAGAAACAGGTTGGCAGGTCGACTTTCTGCGCATCGAACTGATGGAGAAGTGGGGATGGAGACAAAATGATAATAACGACAACAACGATACTATTAATATTCATAATAATGATGATGATGATAATGATAATGATAATAATAGCTCCCTCCCGCAACAACATGGGCAGCAACCACCGACTGTCTCAACAACGCCAGGGCCATCCGTACCGCCGTCATTACTCCCCTCGTCCCTTCTGAATCCTGGCTCGTCTAATCCCGACACAAGTGGACGCAGCCCAATTCCGTCCCGCCCACGGATGCCTCAGGGAATCGTGAACCCTCTTATGGCTACTGCGGACTTTTCGTATGAGAACCATCCATACCAGAGCCATTACGTCGCGCCGCATAGTCACAATCAGATGGAGTATTCGCATTACGAATCTTACTGATCTTTTTACTTTTACTGATATTTTTTGCCTTTTTTGACATCTAATATTAATTTTTAAGACAACTTATCCTTTCTTGACAACGTGGATTTGAGATACCAAACATTATTTTTCTTCCCCCTCTCCCATTCTTATTTGGGGAGGGTGGGATTGTTTTCTCACATGGTGAGCTTTGAGAAGTCTTCCTTCGTTTGGTCGTGTATTATCATTTTCTCTTTGCCAAACAGGAGGCTTTTTTGGCTACGATGCTGTTATTTGTTGTACACTACACTATAAACTACCCTGTGTATACTCTTAGATATTTCACATATAATATGATATAAAATCATACGTGCACGTATTCTCATCGTTGAAATATCATATATTTTCGTTTATCTGATTAGCGGTGAAATACTACTGCCAAAATGTGTCCGTACTCTGCTTCGTGCTGCCAAATAACATCGCTGACTAGCTATCAAAAATGCAGAGCTTCATGCAGATATATATGCACAACACCCTCCCCGCTTTTTGCAGATTCTGATTGGCTGGCTGATCGGACAGGAGTTCTGTATAACATCGCAAAGTGCGCATTGCCTTGACTGTCCGGGTAAAACAAATCCATCGTTCTTTTTATTTTTCCCTGTAGCGAGTTAGCCGCCGCACCTGTGGGACGAACGATCTACCATTGGCGCCTCTTTTTTTTTTCCAAATAATAAAATAAATAAAAATAAAAAATGGCGCCTATTTCTCATTACCAAACCATCGTGAGAGTTACCCCGCTATGTTGAGGGTTTGCGCAAGAAGAACTCTCTCTCCCTTGCTCTTCTTCCCCCCCCACCGAATTATCCCACTTCCAACCGCCCCGTGTATGATGATAACGGAAGAACCCGAGAAAGAAGGGAAACTTTTTGAAGTCGAAATATGGATATAACCTTTTCTCCTTCATTTTCCCTTAGGACCCGTCGTCGGTGAACTATTAAACCTCCGACACGACCGCCCCCAACTTCCTTTTTCTCTCTCTCCTTTTTTTTTCCCTCTTTGCTTTCCAGAATAGTTCTTTTCTTTTCCTTTCCTTTCCTTTTTTTTTTTTCCTTTGCTTTGGAAAGGCTTTGGATTTCATTAAAAGAGGAAAACGAATTCATTCCCTCCCCTCCCCTTCCCTTCATTCATTCGTTCGGTCGTGCATCTTGTCTATTTCAATAAAAAAAAAAATCTTTCTACATATACATACCATCCCAAGAGGTCAATATATATATATATATATATATATATATCGAGAAGCGAAAAAGAGGGAGCAAATAAAAAAAAAAGAATCCGGGAAATTTTTAAAAAGAGGGGATAAAGAGAATGCCCACCCCCGCCGACCCGCTCATTCTAGAACCATACTCCCTCTACATCCTCCTCTTCGGCCGCGGCGAAGCTTACCGATTCCATTGGGGTTTATTTCTCACCGCCGCCCATCCCACATCATCAACAGCAGAAGGACAAGAAAACAACCCAGGCGAAGAAGCATCAACAACAACTACAACAACAACTACTACCACTCCAACAAACCCCACAGGCACCCTCTTCGAACTCACAAACCCAAACCCATCCAACGAAAAGCTCTGGACCTACAGAACCACCCTTCTCACCAGCTTCACAAACAGACACAACCCGCTCTGCGCCCTGAAGATCTCCAACGTGGAGCCGCTCCTCCAAGCGGACTTCCATGCCCTCCTGGCCACGATCCCCGTCATCCCATATTCCCAGCGCTTTGGCGAGGAGACGTCGTGCCGTGTGTGGCTGAAGGAGGCGCTGTACGAACTTGACCAGAGCGGCTTTATCCAGCTTGTCCGGCCGGTTGAGGAAATTGAGATGGAGGTGCAGCAGATGGGGATGATGTGTTGGTATTCTAGGGCTGAGTGGGCGGAAGGGAGGGCGAGTTTGGTGGTGGAGAGGGTGGCGAGGAGTACGGGTTGTATATTTTGAGACTGGAGCGATTTATGTATGGGCATGTGGGATGGGAATAATGGGGATACGAGGTGGTGTAGGGTAGGGCAGGGCAGAGCAGAGCAGAGTAGAGTTGGTGGTAGTGGGGTTTGGATTTGTTCAGTTTGTTATCTTTGATTTGATTTTCTTTGTTATGGGAGCCCTCGACATTGTGTGTTTGATGGTGTGCATTTTTAGCCAGTTTGACTTTTTGTGCCATGTTGCAAATTCTGATAATGATCAACGAGATAGAAGCCCCACGCTCATAAGGGGAGGGAAGCCTGGAGAGAAAAGAAAAATGTTGCAATGAAGAGCAACGATAGAAAAAAAGAAGTAAATAGAAGAGTAATGAAAAAATGCCTCGCTCCAATTCCCAGAAACAGGACTGATATCCCTTTGTCTTTTATCGATTCGTTTTCAACGAAGATGTACTGACCATAAAGCGAGATTGCGGGGGGAGAAGATCCATGCTGCGCACGTGCAGCAAGCAATGCCTTCGAAGCAAATCAGTAGCGCTTCGATGAAATTTTGAGGTGAGCGCGCGATGTATTATGTTCCAAAGGTGGAAACATAGATGAAAGCTTGTCGTAAAAGAAAGAAAAAAAAAATCACAGCATTGTCAAATGTTCTTATTATTAATTTTTTGTCCCAAATTACATTGCCATCTCAGTGTCGTTATCTTTTGCTTCATTATCATCAACCCCATCTCCTAGCGCACCACCGGGTATCCTCCCTTCATTCAACTCCCGCTCAAGCTTCGTAATTTCCTGTAAACTCTTTGCTTCCCGGATCATTTTCTCCACTCGTTTCCGCTCCTTTTCCGTAAGTTTAACGCGAATTGGTCGCTCGCCGGTTTGTTGTGACGATGTATCGCGTGCTGTTCCTGTTCTAAGCAATGATGTCGAGGGGTCGAAAGTGCGAGATTTAATGCCCATAATTTTGGAGGTTAGAGGGGTGGGGTTTGAAGGGGTGCCAAAAAGGTCCGCGGCACGGTTTCGTTCCACGTCCTTGACTTTTCGGTAATCGAGAAAGCGTACTGTGGGCAGAAGGAAGATTACCCAGAGGCGGTAATTCTGTAGATCCTCTCGCCGGAATTTGGTAGCGTGGTTAGCAAAAGAATGAACCAAGGAGGAATATATTTCCTTCTCCTCCATCCGCAACGAAAAAAAAAAAAAAAAGCCTATCAAACCAAGATAGAAAATAGCTAACCTCTTTCTTTGTCACAGGATTCTCCAGTAGCGATAAATGTGTTAGTTTCGTCAAAAGTTTCAATGGCTCCAGATCCGCAAGCTCTGCAACGCTATTCGCCGTAAGGACTAGGGTTGTTAAGTTTGGGATCGAGGATGCTATCGATGGGTTGATATGCGAGACGCGATTGCGGGCGAGAAGCAAGGTTCGGAGGCGCGGGGAGAAAGGGAAGTTGGAGATAGAGGAGATGTCATTGTCGGTGAGATCGATGGCGTCATGGTCCTGCGTAATGGGTTAGCCAAAGGGAGAGGATTGAATATTTTTTTTGGACGGGGTGGAGAATATGTAGCCTGAATGGAATGGAATGTTCTTCATCCGCCTTACCTTCGCAGCACCCATATTCTCAATAGCGGGAATCTTATGGCCTAATATATCACCCCATCCCGAAGAAAGGAAGCAAATACGATATCAATTGAGCTCATTATCAAGTATGTGTATGTTTTCACATATTGTAGTAGTATCTGTTCTTTTCAATACGCACCTCGAAGATCGAGCTCTCGCTCTTTGAGTGGGTTGAGGTAAGAGAGGGAGTTCTGGATCAACTCTACTGTGAGTCGCATTGTGGAAATAATATAGTATTTTCTTTGAACCGCTCGGAGAGTATGAATGAAGGAGGCGAATAAGGAGATCGTATCTCTAGGCAATATTGGAAGGAATTTGTTATCCGTGGATGTTGGACGTTTGTGTTCATTGGAAGGTCTTGTTGAATTGTGGAAGTTCAAAATTTCCTGTTTGAGAAACCCAGAGCAGTATATCACGTGATGCAGATCATTGAAGTCCCTGCACAGATTTTATGCGATGGATAGACGGATTCTTTTAGTATTGATAAACCTCCTAATTACAAGGTTGGGAGAACTTTTCCAAGAAAATTCATCCATATATATTCAAATTTCAAATTTAATTGATCAGTTTATCGAATAGAAATACGAGAAAGTTGGAACCAGAGGAACCGAAGGTATTCAAGGATGAAGGAGGGAAAACAAACCAACAGTATACGGCATGTACATTTTTGGGTAAGTAGTGTAGCTAATATAATAAATTGCGAGAAAAGGGTAAAAAGAGGGCTTTTGATGGCAAAAAAGGGGGAAAGGTGAGTGTGCGCGATCGAAGAAGTTTCAATCCTGTCCAGCTCAGTCCTCCTGGGAATCCCTCCCTCAGAGGCACATGCTCCATTCAATGTAAAAATGTATAGTTAAATGCAAAATTTATTTTCGCCAAAAAACACCGCGGCTAGGCAACACTATTGCAAGCTCCAGAGAAGAAAGGGGTACAAAAAAGGGGGTGGGCGGCATGATGTTGTAACTCCAATAATCAATGTTGTACATAAGTATTACATTGAGAGATGCAAAAAGAAAATTAAACAAAGGAAAAGGAAAAGAAATCGGCGGCCCCTCACCCCCAGAAAAGGTCCCGGTTACACGAAAGCAAAGAAAAATGGAAGAAGAACAAGTGAAGAAAAGAACACCACGGATATCACTGAATGCGATGGCGATTATAACTATTAAAACAATCCTTGAGAAAGTAACAAGATAAAGCAAACGAAACCGAATAGGGGCTCCTCTCGAAAAATCATCAATCGTAGTCATCATCATCATCATCTCAAGCAATGTCCCTTCCTTTAATGATGTCTCACAGGGCTAGCCGCCCTCGACCGACGACCATTATTCGTCTGGCCCAGTGTGGAAGCAGCGAGGCGATCCCGACTCTCCGTCCGCACCGCTAGCCCACGACGATCCATGTTGCCCAGCGAGCTAATTATGGCGGTGGTATCGAGGCCGGGGGGATTGCTGAGGCCGATACCTATGCCGCTGGTACTACAGGGATTGTTATTGTCGTTGTGATTGTTGTGATGATGATTGTGGTGATACATGCTATTGGTCGATTTCGTCCGGACGAGGATGTTGTTTGTATTATTATCGTCGCTGTATGTGTTTGTGAAGGCGGGAGTGAAGGGGGTGTTCGGGAGTGTGGGGGGTATGGACATGGACAAGGATATGGACATGGCCTCATCGTCTGTTGGAGAGGAGCTGGGGCTTGGTTCGAAATCGCGCCCACCGGTTTCGAGAAGGCTGTCATAGGAGGCAGTGAAAGAACTAGTTCGTTTTAAAGAAGTGGATGAGAAGATGCGGGGGAGCATGTGGTTGAAGAGTTTCGACGAAAAGGTGGCCCCGCCACCGCGTCGTCGGTAATAATTGTGATTGTGGTTGTAATAAGGACTGTGGCTTGATCGTTTGATAAGTCTTCGGTACAGTCGGACGCGGCCTCCACGGCCACAGAGGAAGAAGATTGCTATAAAGACAATTATTAAGAGGAAGAGACCTGGAATACGATGCGAGGAGTGGCCGTTGAAGAGAGTGTCATGCCAATGCGAGGATACGATTCCAGAGGCATGCGGATGCGCGGCCGTCCCATTATTTTGTGTATTTGAAGATTGGGATGGCGCCGGCGGCGTAGGAATAAGATATGGAGCGCCTGGTTGTTGGAAATCTTCAGGGATGCGGTTTTTACTGCCGACCGGGGGGTTACTACCGAAGCCTACAGGGAGACCGTTGGGGAGTGGTGGCACCTGCGATGAGGCGTATAACACGGCTATTCCCAGCGTCCAGCTCACTTCCGTCGAGTCGATCTTGTGCACGGCTTGGAAAGCGTCTAGGTAGCCCTTTTCCTTCGACTGCGTCAACTCCCTATCTGTTCCATTCTGTTCTCCAGGGGGGGTATTTCCAATGCTAACGCGTGGAATACCGATCCCATCGTGTAGAATGCTTATGAGCCATGAAGCCTTGAAACATACTGCACATGCCGTTTCTTGATCAACCTTGTTCCCCCACTGCTTGCTATCGACCTTTTGCTCAACAACACCCCAAGGCTGTGAGCAGAACTCTTCCACGCGCTTTATGTACGTGTTGAAATCGTAGGTTCCATCCTGATGGCCCATATCGAATATCTGGTGGGTCGTATGCCAGAATTCACTTACACCTATGAAATGGTTGACGTCAAAGTCAATTGCGGGTACGTGCACACCGTGTAAAAGGCACGGCTCTTCAGGGCATGGCGCATCCTTCTCCAGTAAAGGGTATGTGTTGCGATAGCACTCTTCGAATTTGCCAATTCCAACAAGGTAAGGTTCCACGCCGGGCACGGGGCCTGCGGGGGGTAGAATGGTTCCGTCATGGGCCATCCGTAGACCGGAATGTAGACAAGGATCCGGGCGCGCTCTGTTCTTCTCGTTGGCAGTAGCTTCCAACAGCGCTTTCACATATCGACTCCTGGCTTCGCGTGCACCAAAGCCTAACCATGATGTGACAAACACCCCATATTCCATAGGCAAGCCATTGAGGGTCCGCAGGCGCAAGAGGGTTAAATCATTCGCATGTTTCTCTGTCTCCGTCGCATTTGGAGCGAATGCGATCTGCGCCGAGGCTCCACCCATGTCCAGAAACCCGTACGTATGATGGCCCTTACCATGATTGTGAGCCCTGCTATTGTCAAAGCCGCCCATTAGATAGTTAATCGCAATCCATCCATAGAGTCCCTCCGTGTCTCCCTCAATTACTTGCACATGCTGTCGGCAATCCGGGATCAGGAAATTGGTACTTCTGCGAATATAGGCGCATATGTTATCGAGAATGGCCCTTTGTTTCTGTTTTGGAAGTAGCCGCATGCCAGCGGTTGCTAGGAGGAAGACTGGCGTATCTGATATTTCTTCATCGGGGATAACTTCTTGGGCATGGTCGAGGAGGGGTCTGAGGTGTTCTTCGCCGATGGTTTCGGGATTTTCGGCGAAAGTTGAGATGCCTTAAAGCGATGATTTTTGGTTAGCCTTTTATCACGAAGCGGAATTTTACCGATTTTTGAGTCCACTGCATACCAGGATGTATCTTCTTTACCCATTGATCCTTGGTGGTTATCTCGGGCAGAGATGCCAGCTGTTTCGCAGAGGCAGACTTTCGCGCCATCGCGCTATATGGCCATTTGTAGACATGTGCACGAGTCCCCTGGAAATTCCCCAGTCAGTAAAATTGGAGAGTGGATATGATCAGCAAGAAACCAACTTACGGATGAGCCAGCATCCAAGACGACGGCATATCTCGCTATATAAAAATATACTTGTTAGCTAAACGTATTGCAGTAGAGAATATGCGGAGCAGGAGTATAGAAAGCGTCCGTACATATCCCCATCTGGAAACTTCTGTCGATATCTCTCTTCCGCTATAAATGTATGAATATATTCCTTCTATTTTCCCTTGCCGGTCTATTTCAAATGCATCTCTCCAAAGATTCCCATGATATGGAAGATTAGGCGGAGTAGAGAAAAGAGGTGTTCGTGTATGGCGTCCCTTTATTATTGTATATACGTATTGTAATGTTCGCGAATTTCTTAAAACGGGGAAATGGGCAAAAGAGGGATAATTCGATGGTTAACTAGCCAATGGTGCCAGATTTTTTTTAACGAGCGTAGGATATGAAGATGAAGATGAAGAAGTCGCAAAATCGCACGAGAGATCAAGAAGAGAAGAGAAGTGGAGAGAAGTGAAGAGCAAAGACGAAGACAAACGAGGCTGAGAGCAACCAGAAGTGGAGGAGAAGAGGAAGTCGGGACAAACGAACGAAAGAAATTACCCGAAAGGGAAAGAAACGATTAAAAATAAAACCAGGGGTGCCGATTGGGGATTAGTCAGTGGTGGCAGGGTAACGGCCCGTATGCGATGGACCGTATTAAATGGAACTTTGGCCACGCACACCGTATTTGAGGATCCAATAAATAGAAATATAATTACCGTGCCATGTCCAATACGGATAAGCGTCCAGCCACCCATGGCTATTTCTCGCCGAATCCTTGGCATCCAGGGTTTTTTTGAAAAGCATGACGCGTACTCCGGACAGCCAATCAGAAGTGGATCACGTGATATGGCGGATTGCAAGAGGGGTTGAACCATAGTTGGTGATGATGATCTATCTAGGTAGGACCTCCAACACAGATTTCAATATGAAAATGCTCGCATTTACAATCTGCACAACTGCGATCGAGTGACAGTTGGCTGTGGTTCAAACAATTCTCATCTTAGTTCAGTTTCTCTGCAAAACAACTTGAACCCAGGGAGAGACAGGGACAGGCAGGGAACGCCGTATTATTCTCGCGTATAGATTATATGTATAAATAAAGTCCAGTCAATACGAAGATATAGTACCCAGTAGTATGAAAGATGTTATCATGCAACCTCTGACCTCCAGCGCCGTGCTCTCCGTTCAATTGTGATTTTTGTCAAGCCGCCCCATGTCATATATATTCAGCTCAGAAGGAGAGCTGCTCAAAAATACCAATGATGACGGCTATCTCAAATCAAGAGTGAAAAAGGAAAGAAGAAAAGAAACAAACAGCTTCACCACGTATATTACATGAAGACAGGTCGTTCTCCTAGAAGAAAAGTGAAAGGGCCATTGCAAATCGAGACGTAACTAAAGGGAAAATAGAAAGGTTCGTATAGTATAGTGACCGCTCAGCGATGTGTGTATAGATATACTATATGCAACTTACGGATTTATAAATCATGTCATAGACGAAACCCCTGATACTACAAAATTGCTCCTTTTCACAACTTCGAGCTTGCGCCCAGGGCAGTTCTTCTGAGTTGCTTGGTAGACATATCCAGGTTTTCCGCAGACGACTCCTCTGCTGCGGAAGCAACTTTGAATACCTCCCGGCCAACTGCGTCAGTCATGGTGAGCACGCGAGAGGAGACGGTCGCGCCGTCTCGTCGGTTTTTCCTGTTGTGATGACGTCAGCGAAATATACAAAAAATAGGGAAAGCAGCCTTTTTGATCTTTGTAAAAGAATAAAAAAGAAAAAGAAGGGGAAAAACAAAAGAAGGTGTAGTTACATACCCTTCACGTCGTGACTGGGCTATCAAGCTCATAAAGTCCCACAACTTGCCGCGAGCTAGGATTTTGCCTGTCGACGGATCACGTTCCGGCATCCAGCTGGGAGCGAGTCTCATGGTGGCCGCTTGGCCTGTCGTTGTACCCTTATTTTTCGGCCTTGCGACGACAATGATTCTCTCCTCTTCGAATCGCAGAAATGCGTTCTTAAGGGTCTCTTTATTGACGGCTTCGAAATATGAGAGGTCGCCTTGGTGGTATAGCGTTTTACCCAACTGTTGTTGATAATTAATATCAGGTTTACGTATGTATAGAAATGCAGATTTTTTAGGGGTTTATCGTTACCAGTTGAGCGCTATCCTGAGCCTTTTTCAGATCAACCCAAGCAGACTTGGGGCCATTATTGAGGGGTGGAGTTAGCCCCATTAGTGATACAGCTCCAAGCCAACTTGCTTCGATAAAAGGCCAGATTAAGAAGCAATAGAAATCAAAGTTTTCTCTGCCGCATTGCCGTTCCTCGAAACTTAACTCGATATATGTCGGTACGCCAGAGGAGTCTCTAGTGATTTTTATTACATTATCTCGTTCAAGTCCATTAAGTGTCTTCTCGAGATTGTGGGCTAAGCCGTCCGGTGGGAAGATAAATTCTCCTCGGAAAAGCTTGAGAACGGGTTAGCTGAATTGTGAAGGCATTATACTTACTCTCAAAGGAATGAAAGCATAAGGATATCTTCTTACCTGGGATAAGAACGTCACCTGGGTAACTAAGTCGTCATAACTGCTTCGTTGGTTCATTGGGCCACCCCCTTGCTTTACACGGGCATACATTGCGGCGGACACGAGCGCTTCGGTGATGAAGAGGTGAATCGTCATATTCCTGTAGAAAGAGAGCTGGAATCGGTCCACAGCGTAGAAAGTCGGTTCGGCAAGCCCGCTAATTTCGCCCACTAACTTTGGCCCGAGAACTTCGATGGCTCGATCTACCACTTGTTCCGTCGGAGCCCTGTAAAAATGTGCTACTCTTCCGCCCTTAACACGAACCCGTTCGCAAAGCCAATTGACGCGGCGTACAAGTTCAGTTTTACCAACGCCACGCCCTCGGAGAGTGAGGAGAACTGTTCCAACGAGCGCTGTCGGCATCACGACGGAGACACCATTAATGTCTGACAGAACGCGATATCCTAAGGTTCGGAGGAGGCGTCCTCTTTCCGCAACCCCCATTTTCACTTGTATTACGCTATTATTAGGGAGATTATATATTCTAGCACACTGTTCCGCGACGAATGCTTTTAGGCTCCATGGCTCGTGGAATCTGACGTCAACTCTGCCGAGCTTGAGTGACAGGACAGACGAAGAATTAAGGAAATCCAATAAATTTTCCTTTTGTTTCGGTTGACCAAGGAGTTCACTTATATATGATCTGACCAGTAGCTGATTTTAGCATATGCTTTTCTTCAAGGCGCTTGTAGTTTGAATATATATACATACTCAGTCTCGATAACCTTATCGTACTGCGTGCTCACTGGGCAGATGATTGCGTCTTCGACTCGACCGGAGGCAACGCTATCCAAGATAAAGCTGAGGATGCCGAATTTCGGCGTTAGGAGTTTCCCCGTCCTCGACCGACCGCCCTCCACGAAACATTCAAAATTGAAGCCTTCTTTTAGAAGGGTATCGACATAAGCCTGTACAAGCGTATGGTACAAGGGATCATCCCCAAATGTCCGACGGATCCACATTGCGCCTAGACATATTGTTAGTTCGTAGGAGAGACAATACATGGGATGGGGGCTGCTAGGAACTGTATAACATACCTGTATGTTGCAAGAAATTCCCGAGTAAAGGAATATTCAAATTATCTCCAGCCACAACCACGGGTAATCCAATTCCCAGACGGTAGCAAATAAGCTGCAGGGATACATAATCTACATGGGATCTGTGGCAGGGCAAAAATACAATAGACTGCTTGTTTTTTGCTGCAGTTTGCGCGACCGACCTGAGACGGAGGACTTCCTCACTCGAAACGTGAATCCCTAAAAATCCTAGATAAGTATTCTTATATTTTTGGGCTTCAAGTAGAACCAAAAAAGAAACGTACCTTGATGATAAGCTCGCGTAAGCAACTGTGTACAAAGATAATACGCTCCCCGTACAAAATTCTTGCTTTCCATTTTGCAAATCATATTCTCCATCATCGTATCGACGACCTCTTTTAAATTGGACTCAATCTCGTTCTTCCGTCTTATTCGATGGCCATCGCCATCTTTCGACTGTGCGGAGTCCAGCAATCCTTGCTCTTCTTCCACCTGCGATCGTAGCTCCGCCAGTTCAGTAATCTTCGCCTTCAATAACGGATTACTCATAATATTTGACTTCATTTTCTCGGAGAAACCAGGATAGAATATGGGCTGGCCAATAACGTTATCGTAGGCTCGCCATCCTGTTCCTGACACAAACAAGCTGACTTCGCGCATGAACTCAAAGGGATTCTCTCGGAAGCGTGCCATGTTCCGCACCAGCTTCCGTTCAGTAATGCCATCTTCGACATCTGGACCGCCAGTGAATCCTGTAGGATGTACAGTGACCCGATCTCCGACAATCTCTAGATCTGGGGCCATACGGCCCCCATCCTTTGAAGAAGACATGATGCTACCTCTGTGTTGTGGAAGCTATCAAATGCTCAGAAAACGGGTGTCAGCTTGGCTTCGGAGAGAGGCGGCCGCCATAGTCCGCGTATTGAGCAGCCTCAACGTGCAAGGTCGAAAGAAACCGACTCTCTCCTTTTTAAGAAGAGCCTACCTCAGGAGACGCGAACTGTTGAGCTTTCTTGGGTCACTTTGGTCCTCTCTAATGCCTCGGCTGTTTAGTCACATGACATTCTCGGCAAAAGCCATGACCTGCTTTGAATGAATGATATCCACTGACGATATCTAGCAACGACATCTGCGAATGACATCTACCGATGATATTAATATGACTTCGCACTTTTGCTCCGTCCTGCCCAACTGCATGCTTCATGAAGTTCCTGCGATAGAGTGTTGTGCCTGAGCTGTTCAACCCTTTGAAGCAATTAATGATGCCTTTCATTCCCGGGATTTAGAGGTTCGTTTGCCCACCCCTAGAAGGGGGTTGCTGGAGGCAGGCTGCCCCTAGTATTTATAAATTCTCACTGAGATGCAGATAATGTTTGTAGAATGTATCATTCAGAGAATGATACATAAATATAGTATGACTAGTGACTGATTGCTTGAGATAATGCTCTCCTTGCTGTAGGCTACATCCTTACAGAGTTGACAATAATTGTGAAAAGCATGGTCTCATGAATGAATCCACCACTATTCAGGAAACTGAGTCAAAGGCTGTTGAGTAACTATCAACAACTGACTTACTTACGGCCGTACCCTCTGGCCCCAGGGTGAATGGCTAAAGGGCAGAATGGCAACGGGGGGTTGTTTCCCGAATATAAAATGGCGATGCTGGCACGAGAAGAACTAACCTACTAAGTTAACTATTCAGATTGACAAAATGAGCGAGACTCTACGCTCTGTTCTCTTTGGAGAAGGTTGGATTTACAATTCATGAGATGATAGCCAGATTTTGTTCCAGGATGGCACAGGCACAGTGAGTATTTCTATTTCATATTCCCAGGATCTGGAAAAGAGGTAGCGGGCTAAATGTTGGCCAAATTAATATGCCGGGCAGAACTGAATATCTGGATTGCCACCGAGTTCGATTGGAAGCCTTTAAACCCGGAGTGCCTTGACCAGGTCATCAGATACCAAAAGACCACACTGAGGCACACATTTCTTGTACTCTATATCTGACGATATCGACTACGGATTCACCATCCAGACGCTAATAGGATGATTGCTAATAACATGATGTCTAAAAAGAACTTAATACATTTGCTCCACAACTAAAAGTTTAATCATGTTCACTACTGACCTGAAAAAAAAGGCTCACGGATACTTGTAATACAAAAATCAACCCCCGATTCCATGGATGAAGATAAATCCCAGAATCACCATAATAGAAATAGGGAACTCCCATAAGCATCTCCTCAGATTGGTTGGACCATGGACCTAGCCATCTCGAGCTTAGCACTGTCCACAATACCTCTGTCCACAAGTTTAGCAATCACTCGGACGGTCCAGCCTTGACAATTTTCCACAACAGCCTGTCGATTTACTGCTCTCGGAGGGGGTTCATTCTCAGCCACCTGTTTTACAATGAGCGCCTGTTTGTCCGTGACGACGGCAAGGTTGTATGCATTTGAGAAAGACGCCGACTGGAGGATGTTGGTTGGGCCGGGTGAAGGTTGATAACTCATGCATTCAGCATCTCCTTTGACTTGGTAAACTGGGCCGGGTTCGTTTTCGCGGGCGACAAAGAGTGACCAATGCTGGGGTTCGCCGTCAGCTTGATTCTCCTGGATAAGCAAGAGGCGCAGTGCACGGTCTAGTGTAGGCAAGTTGCTTTCGAGTTCCTCGGATTCGATCCATTGTTGCGTCCCCCTTTTGCGCCTGAACTCACGGCCGTTGAACACGCAATATTCGGAAAAGCCGACGGACTTGAAAGGAGTGCCTGGGGGTGGATAGTTACTCATCCGGTAAAGCATTAGCACTAAGACACGAATATTCATGATATGGATGCGGTCAAAGGGCCACAATCTTTGAGGAAATATTTTAAAGCCTTGGATGTATATTTGTGTAATCTTTAAGATGAACGTTGGAACTTTTGCACCTGCGAAGGGACAGTAAATCAGAGGCCATTCTCAGTCCTTTTATATCTGTATTCCTCCGCTCATCATCGTGGCAGGATTGATAATAACACAGCGGTTACAGAGTATAGGCGCCCCCAACTCATCTCAGAGCTGAGGAATCTTGAAGCCGCCAATATACGCTCTTGCCATCTGTAAGAGCATGGGAGCATTGAGTAGGCTACTGATCCGTACCTTAGCATCAGAAGGCGTTAGAGCCCCTGGACGTTTCATCACAGAGAGTCATGAGTCAATCGCGCTTTCTTAGTGGAATGGACTTCCACCATTTCTGGTTGCATCGCATGCATGAATTCCGTCGCACTCCGAATCGGCGGTTAGAATGAGGGGAGGCTCGCAGTGGTTGTTGGCTGGGACGGGAAAACAAATATTCCGAACGTCTCGAGCCTGGTTCCGTTCTGGTTGTTCAAGTCGCTCGCAACATATTGGTTGATGGGCGTCAAATGTTTTAAATCATGCGACGAAGAATAATTCTCTTTCCACTTCTGCGGAAACCAAGGGCAAGTGCCCGAAGCCATGGCGTCCAACGCCTCAATTCCGGCCTTAATAGTGTCCAAATCAGAAAGCACACAAAACCTTGAGGATGGCGTTCCATTTGCATATGAAAATCTCCATGTGGGCGAGACTTATCTCAAGCTGGATAAAACGCTCTTCAGAATTACGCCTGATGCAAAGAAAGGACCGCCATTAGAGGGGGATGTGATTACAGTTCTAAGCAAGCAAGGTGGTCGGTTGGTTCTTGAGCGAGATTATTCTTATGTTTGCAAGGGCGGAACGGCTGTAAGGCGCTTTGAGGTTGAAGCCATGAAGCTGGTAGCAAAGCACACCTCCGTCCCTCTTCCTGAAGTTATTTACAGCCTCATCAGTGATCGCAGTGGCGAGATTGGGATGACAACTATTCCAGGCACTACACTAGAAAGCTTATGGGATAAGTTGAACAGCAAAACAAAAGAGTCTATATGCCATGAGATATGGGATCAAATCGCCAAACTCCGAGAAATCCCACAACCACCTGCCTTAAAACAGTTCTTCCAGTGTCTTGCCGACGGCTCGCCAACTCTCGACCCTCTAATCGAAGACCTGGACCGCTGTGGAACCCCCTTATACACAGACGAAGACATCAGAGCCCGAATCTACCAACGCTACCTGCATTTCGGTGGTCTGCGATATAAAAATGAGCTACCAGACATGCTCCCTCGATCATCCCGTACGGTTTTTACACACGCTGACATTGCCCCACGAAATATCATGGTTGATGACCATTATCGCATTACGGGCATCCTCGACTGGGAGTATGCCGGCTGGTACCCTGATTATTGGGAGTATGCGCAGATCATGAGGCCCGCTTGCCAGACGGGCGATTGGCAGAAATGGATGGATCTCACTGCGCCCCGTAAATGGGATATCTCGGGAATAGCAGCCGCGAGACGAATTCTATTTTGATAACCGCCACAAACTTGCAAATAAATGGTACTGCTACCATTATTTAGCCGACAACACGTGGTTTTGATTGAGAAGTGGTCACCTGTCAACCCATTCGCCCGGTTCATCCATTACGCCCGAGAATTGCTGATTAGTGGCTCAAGATTGTTTAGCTAGAGTTTGATTTCAAAGCTGAACTTGCTGGATAATTTAAGAAGTGACGTTTTGACTCAACGGAGCAAACTTTATTTCAAGACAACAGCTATAAATTGAGATCTTTGCCCAGAGTCTGATGCTTCGAGCAGCGGCTTTCCTCCACAAGACAAAAATAGAGTAAGTGCCATGCCTGGAAAGACGTAGCTCTTACAGAAATAGGAGAATAACCCCCTTCCATCCCGAACAACGTGAGAAAGCTACACGAAATATCAGAGGTCGAGAGGGGAGGCGGGGAAGCAAGGGAGACTGGAGAATAAGTGTGAATAGATGAAATATCTTATTTGTTGTAAATTACAACGAGTTCGGTAGTGTGCAGTACTGTAAAAATTCTCATATCTTTTGAATGATCAGTATGACTACATTTAACAGTAAAATGACACCCCCATGTGGTTTTGAGGTATGCTTTTGATCGCGGGGCCGAAAACGCGGGCATCTTGCAATCACGGTTCATTGGAAACACCCAAGGAGGCCATGCGCCATTACCAAGGTTCCAGAGCGTTTCCAGCTGCGGTTTATATATTTTCCTTTGCATCGGGGACACAGCTCATGCAACTTTCGCTGGCTCAAGTTTTTTTTGGCTGTGTACAAACACCCTCTTTTCTCTCTGCTCTTTGATCTCATCTCCGCCATCTTGTAGTCTCCCGCTCTTCACATCTGCCCCACATAGTACATTGTGGACCTTTACGTTTTGTAATTTGAGTGGCTGTCTGATTCATTTTGTCCTGGCATTTTGTGTTTGCATACAGACACATTTCAGGCGAGTCACCAATTTTTCATAGATCAACAAGGAATACATTTAGACGCCTTCACACGCATTCGAAACGAGTGGAGACCTACCACCGTGATCACTACAATTTGATTGAAATGTTGGTTGTAGTACATTTAATTAAAATGTCTTGTTTTGCTTAAAAATCTGCTATTTGGGCCATAATCTGTGGGATGGTCAATCTTGTTACTGTTGTGGTCGGAGCTTGCTAACTAAATAGGGGTCATCACGTGCGATGGAGGTCCGGCGCATACGCACGTGACAATGCCTCACCATCCATTTCGGGAGCTTGCACCGTTTTCAACATTGATGTTCAACAGCATAAAACTATTTGCGAACAGTGTTACAGAGGACAACAATGCTGTTTGCAATTGTTCATTTTATATGAGCAATGGGGTTTTCCATTGCCCCATAATGTAAAGCTGTATATATCTTACTGTCCCTCCTTTCTCTTCATGTTAATTGTCCAATTTTATTCCATGGCTTCCATTCCTTGACTTTAAACATCCATAAGGTTTATCAAATTCCTACCATGGTTTCACGCTGGCTGAGGAGATTCTCCTGTAGGTCTCTGGCTCTTTCCTCCGATGCTTTGTTCCAATGGCTTACACCGTATAGCAACGCCGTCATGGCGCTCTAACACCCCCAACGGGGCATCCAACACCCGCGAGGCGCCCTTTTCTGTGTTTCGCGATGTGCCCGCGCTGCGGCAATATCGAAAGCAGTTACTTCTGTCCAAGAGAACCGTTGGTTTAGTCCCGACTATGGGTGCCTTACATGATGGCCATCTGTCTCTAATCCGCCAAGCAGCTATCGAAAACACAGATGTGTTTGTTAGTATCTTCGTTAATCCAACCCAATTCGGAGTTAATGAGGATCTGGACAAATATCCAAGGACGTGGGAGGCAGACATCCAAAAATTAAAGGAATTAGATGAAGAGCTGGCACTCGCAAGGACTGGTTCGGCGCGAGGACGCATCTCTGCAATTTTTGCCCCAACGAACAAGGCCATGTATCCGACACTGCCGCCAACATCTGAACTGGATGGATACGGTTCATTCGTTACCATCACGCCTCTAGCGACACTGCTGGAAGGAGCTTCGCGGCCTGTATTTTTTCGTGGAGTGGCCACCGTCTGCATGAAATTATTCAACATTGTAACGCCCGATCGAGTCTATTTTGGCCAAAAGGATGTGCAACAGACTGTCGTAATCAAGCGGATGGTGACGGACTTACATGTCGGGACTGATGTGAAATTGGGACCTACAATACGAGAAGAAGATGGTTTGGCAATGAGCTCGCGGAATGTGATGCTTGGTGCAAGACGACGCAAGGTTGGACTTGTACTGTACCAAGCGCTCAAGGAAGCGGAAAGGGCATACTTGTCGGGCAAGCGCGACCGAGAGGATATCCTGCGACCCGCAAATCGACTTGTGGAGTCCATTGCACGTGAACAGGAAGCCCTGCCACCTTCAGAGCGGGCAACATTCGAGCTCGACTACATTTCGCTCGCAGATGTTGACTCGCTCGAGGAGTTGCAAGTAGTGGATGTCTCAAGAGGTGCCGTCTTAAGTGGTGCTGTGAAAATGCTGCCTATAGAAAGCCCGCAGCCTGGCGAAGATTGTGGGAATAATGGAGGTGATACCCCCGTGAGATTGATTGACAATATTATCATTTGATGCCAGCCTTAAATGATATGGATGGAATGGATGATTTCGGGTGGCAGTTTATTTTGAAATAGACTAGCTATGTTATCTATCGACTGATGAATTTCGGGTAGCCATCTAATGAGATTCTTGAATAATACCATTTCCTTCAAATCATCTGTTTTCCTTCGTGTACGCCTAAACGAGCAGCGAATCTTGGCACAAGTAATTTTTTCTTAGCATGTTTGCTCATTGATCAAACATCATCAGAAAATCTCAAACTCTAATATAATTTTCAACAGAACACACCGCAAATCTGGGTTGGGTAACGGGGTGACGGACGTTTTTCATCTGATATATGTTACCATGGCGGATGGCATGCTATTGAACTTCGATTTGGGTGATGGAGTTGTTAAAACCACGCAGAAGTTCAAGGGCGGAACATGGAAGGATCGGCTATCTATAAAGAAAATTGCGCTGCACCGCCAAAATAAATCCAAAGACCCCAACCACAAGGATCAGGGTCGTGGCGGACAGAAAGATGGGCCGGCGAACCCGAATAGAGTTGAGATATCATCTCCTCGACCTCCCAAGCGGCAGAAAGTCGACGGCGATTTTAAACCGTATTCGGTGCCATCGCTTCGAGCGAGCGGCCACATCCCTACGTCTACGAAACTCGGTAACAGTAATGACAGTGGTAATACCCAAGGCAACCAAGCTCACAAGAACCAGAATCAACCGCGCGAAGTCATTTCCTCTCTTTTCTCCTTCAATCCCACTCCTGTTTCTGCCGTCGAGCCACCGAAGCCAGAAGGAGCTGAGCCCGCCAAGCCCTCCAATGCACCCCTCATCGACGGAATTGATACATTCACCTCCTTGGGACTATCCCAAACGCTCGCAGCGCATCTAATGACAAAACTTGAACTTAAAGCACCGACGGCTGTTCAGAAAAGAGCTATATCTCAATTGCTGAAGGAAGAGTGCGATGCGTTCATACAAGCCCAAACCGGGTCGGGGAAAACCCTAGCATATCTACTTCCATTGGTTCAGCGGCTGATTAATTTGTCAAGAACCAACGAGGAGGCTTTCGAGCGGGCGAACCAAGACTCATCAGATAACACTGCTGTGCACAGAGACTCGGGACTTTTTGCGATCATCCTTGCCCCTACGAGAGAATTATGCAAGCAAATATTCGTTGTGCTGGAGCAATTGTTGCGCTGTGCGCATTGGATAGTTGCGGGTACGGTTATTGGTGGAGAGAAGAAGAAGTCTGAAAAGGCAAGGTTGAGGAAGGGGTTGAATATTCTCGTTGCTACGCCTGGTCGGTTAGCTGACCATTTGGAAAATACAAAGGTGCTGGATGTGAGTAATGTTAGGTGGTTGGTCCTTGATGAGGGAGATAGGCTTATGGATTTGGGTTTTGAAGAGGAGATTCAAAAAATTGTGAGGAAGTTGGATGAGAGGCAGAGATCAAAGGGAATCCCTGGTCTGCCTACCAAGAGAGTTACAATATTGTGCTCCGCAACTTTGAAAATGAATGTGCAGCGGTTGGGGGATATCAGTCTCAAAGACGCTGTGCATGTCCAAGCTGACCCGGATGACGAAGATGGAGAAATGAAAGTGAAAAGTACTGGTAGTAACCCTGAGTTTTCGGTACCTGCACAACTTAAACAATCCTACGCTGTGGTTGCTGCCAAGTTACGACTTGTTACCCTCACGGCGTTGATGAAACGGACATTTTCCAGGAAAGGTTCTGTTATGAAAACAATAATTTTCGTTTCTTGTGCGGATTCCGTGGATTTCCATTTCGAGGTTTTCTCCAGGCAAGATTCTGACAACAAAAGTGGAGAGAAAGAGGCCAAAACTACTAAAGCTTCACCGCCCGACACCAAACCAGCATCTATCCATGGCACAATTGCGAAATCAACAGCTTTTTCGAACCCTACCAATCCAGTTACAATATATAAACTTCATGGTTCACTTCCTCAACATATCAGAACTTCAACTCTCTCTGCTTTCTCCCGACAAAGTGAAGCAGCTGTTCTCATCTGCACTGATGTTGCGGCTCGCGGCCTTGACCTGCCAAACGTCGATTTCGTAGTCGAATACGACCCCGCCTTCAGTTCAGATGATCACCTCCACCGAATAGGCCGAACCGCAAGATTGGGACGCGACGGCAGAGCCCACATATTCCTCCTTCCCGGCAACGAAGAGAAATATGTCGAAACTCTAAAACAGGGTTATCGAGACAGCGGCGCTAAGATTTCCCACACGGATGTGAACGAGACGTTGAAACGTGGCTTTGGTGGAAACACTGAAACGACGAGCAAGGGCTGGGAAGACAAAGCAACAGAATGGCAGCTTGACGTCGAGCGCTGGGCGCTTGAGAACCCGACCGTCCTCGAGATGGCCAGACGAGCGTACCAGTCTCATATCCGTGCTTATGCGACACATATTGCCAGTGAACGGGACATGTTTAACATCAAGGATCTCCATTTAGGCCATTTGGCGAAGAGCTTTGCGCTGCGCGATAGACCCGCTAAGATCAATGTGCCTGGTCTTCGACCTGGTAAAGAAGATACAAAGAGGGAATTCAAGGCTGACAGGAAGGGCACTAGGGATGGCGTGCAAGTCAACAACGCCACAAGTGCCTCTGATGCGGTACGCAAAATGCGGGAGAAAGTAAAGGAGCATATGGCAGGCGCGAATGAATTTAATATCGCGTAGAATAATGGCTAAGGTTAGTTGCTAGCGTTAGTGCCGAAGTTCATTTTTTCATATCATAATATTAAAGTAGAAGAAAAAAATCAATAAATTGCATAAAATCAATAAATATCCCACAACGATATCTTTCCGTCTTTCGATCCGGCCGCAAGCCAATGTGTAAATTGTGCCTTGCGGCTTCGTTGCTCTTTTATTTCCGCTAGCGATCTGGGCTGATTGGCAAGGTTAACCGCTATGTTTTCCGTTTTTGTATGTGCATCGACAGCACTGTCAGCCCCCGCCTTCATGTTACCTATATGGATGATGGCACCCCTTTCCAAAGCAGCATTATTATTTTCGCCATTTTTATTCGGGCTCGCAATATCGGCAAACGCAACCGCATAACAGCCCCCATGGTGCCACTTCAAAACCGCCAACTCCCGCATACTTTTGCACGAGTAGACCCGAATCCTCCCATCCCACCCGGCCGTAGCAAATATTTTCGCATCATTGCGTATTCGTAAACTTTGTTGACCTGCATGTTTCGTGTTCAAAACTTTGAGTGGCGAATGCGTGCTTTCTGAAGTCGGCTCATATGCTGAATTAGAAGTGGTAGCGATGGGATGTTTAGCAAGAATTGCGTCTGCGGAGGATGATAAGAAGAAAGGATCTTTTTGTTTCTCCAAGGGGGAGAGAGCGAAGGAAAGAACTGGTTGAGAATGTGGATGGTTGATATATAGTCTTTCCCATCTCCATGATGGCCAATCACTGCTTCCTTTTTCAACAGCATCTGGTGACCTTTCCCTATGTATCATAACCCGGCCATCTTCATAGCCAGATAAGAGACATAAATTCCCTTGGGGCGTTCTGAAAAGCTCAAGAGCCATGACCATTCCCGTGTTTATTGATGGATCAGGAGATATTGTCGATACGCGCTTTTCGGACGGTAAGTGGAAAATATCTATCCCGCCAGAATTAAGGGCGTTGGGCACGGCGAGGAAGAAAATATGTGGCCTATTCGAACTTCCAATTTCTGGAAACCCAGTATCTTCTGTACTGGGACTTATCTGAGAACTGCGAGGTAGCTCATCTGACGTCAAGCTTTCATCTGGGAATATGCGACATAGTGCAAATGCACAAAAATTCAACGCATTCACGGATATCGAATGAAACAGCCAAGGTTCATTTAATGGATGAGCACTCTTTGACTCATCAACGGGTAATTCTTTGCCCAATCCTTCTTCATCAGCGAAATTGAAACGCCAAACTCGGAGCTTATGATCTCGGCCATGTCTATTCGTACCATGTCAGAATTGTACAGCAAAATATATCAACAGTCTAATCTGGAACAATGTGTAATAGTAATATAGAGCATAGATTCAAAAAGCACAAGGTGGAGTAATATGAGTAACATACGTAAATAGCCATCTTTCACTCCCACCTCCTTCTCCCGCACTTTTTGCATCCTGCTTTGAGCTGAACTCAACTCCTTCAACCCCAAGTATAGCAGACCCATGGGCTCTCCACGAAGCAACAGCTCGTTTCGTCCTCATATTCCACACAACTACCCAGCCTTCCGCATCGCCAGAGATAAGTCTTGAGTTCCCGCTATAGAAACGAAGGGCGTGGATTGGCGACCCATGGCCACGCAAAATGTATGTTGGAGTGGCAGACGGCAGTTTTCCCGTTGTCTGCTCGGTCTCACATAGAACAGACAATGGGTTTGAGGATGCTGAAGGTGTTATCATGTTAAGTTTGCAATGAATATCGGAATAACTGATAATTTCATCTTATGACGTTGTGAACATTTCACAGCATTTTTTGTTCTGGACATGATCTTATCTTATCAGATCACTATCTGTGGTTGAAATAACCATTTAAATCGCCGCTAAATCGGTTTAGGAAGACCCATCCTTGGGCAATGAAACCCCCGCAGATCTGTAGACGTTTCCCGAGGTCCAGTTATCTTCGAAGAGATGCTTATTCTGTCCGTCCATAGTATTGAGAACCAGTTATCTGATATATGCGGTATGGCTTAACTGAAGTGTGGTGTCATTGACTGTTCTTAGCTGTCTATTGTCTTGAACAATAAAGCCCTGTACTCACAGCAGGCATATCTGATCCCGGATGCGATTTACACACAGACCTCAGTATATTGGACCAGCTCTCAATCTATCTATTTTGTGGAATTCGGCTTCTTCGTTATTGCCTCATACATACACCGCTACCTATTGCCCTAGGATACATCACACGTATATAAACATGGTTTCTCACCAACATGTCCATCCTCCCTTATCCAAAGCCCCTTGGCGGCCCCTCTTCCAATGCCACATATCAATTCTCACTTCCCCCGAGTTTTCTTTAGCTACTGTCTATAGAAATAGTAGCGGTTCCGTCCACCCTCGCGTGCGCACGTGCGTATTTCGTGGATTTTGGACTGAACTTGATTTGCGAGAGACGGCTAAGGAACTTCTCCTAAAAGACGAGGAAAGTAATAGGGGTGGGATAAATCCCAACATATTCGAAAGTGACTTGTTGACATTTACAACTGATATCAGAATGGAAAAAATTGCTCAAATGGCTTCCACTGACGGAACCGATCGCGGAAATGGAGGTAGCGGCGGAGGCCCGATTGAAGCTGTCTTTTGGGTCAAAGATGCTATGACGCAGTGGAGGATTAAAGGCAGGGCATTTGTTATTGGAAATGAAAGCTGTGACGCAGGCGAATTGTGGTCGCGAGAGAATATTCAGCGATGGGTACGACGTAGAGAAGGCAGCGCGGAAGAGGATATAACGAGATGGACTTGGGAAAAGGAGATTACGGCTAATTTTGCGAATCTGAGCCCCACGATGAGAGGTGAGTGTCAGGCGTGGGAAGGTTTCTTTCTCATGCCTCTTCTTATTTCTACTTCATTTCCTACGTTATTGCCGTGAGTTACATACAACCAATTGTTTGTTCTGCATGCAACATGCCTGATTACTGGAGTGATTACCCATTCCTTTACATATCTAGCCAGCCAAAAATGAAAGAGAGAAAACATTCCTTTTCACCCAGATGCTTAATCTAACTACCCTTGTTATCTCTCCTTTTTTCGCAAATGGACAGCGTATGGACAGGCAATCAACCTCGCACCATATCAATGAATCATCATTCTAATAAAAAAACATAGGCTCTTTCAAAAACCCATCTCCTGGAACACCGAGATCGGAGCCACCAAGTGATCCTTCGCTCAAGCTTGGCCTAACATTGGATGACATTCACGATCCGGTGGCAAGAGCGAATTTCCGTGTCGTTGTCATTGTCCCTGAAGAGGTTGAGAGTGTCGATTTGACATATCCTGAAAATTTCAAGAGGATGAGGTGGACTCTAACCAAACGCATTGAGAAAAATGAAGACTCTGGCGAAGCTGGCGTCGCTACTTGGGAAGAGACTGAACTTTGGCCCTGATAAGAGATGACTATTCTTCGTTTGATATAGGCATGAAGAGAAACACTCGTATTCTCCGGAGAGTATAGGGAGGTGGAGATGGACTGTGAGAAAGATAACAATCCCGATTGAGACATCCACTCTTCACCTCTGTTACGTCCAAGCATGGCTACAGATACCAGCCATCCCATTCAGCAAAAAAGGTCTTCCTATCATGAGTCCGGAGTAATATTTCTTTGTGTGGACACGGCCAAAATAGCCTAGCATTGTGTTCCTGTCATACCCCTTCTCATCTTATGAAGCCTAAAGAACTTCACTGACATTAACTAAATTTATGATTGCTTCTAGAAGTGTATCGTTGCCTACATTTTTCCAGCGCTGTTCTACTTCACAAATCCTTAACTCAATCCTCTTGATATCGGAAAGAAGCCAGACCCCTTTTGTCATATTCCTTTCTTTCTTCACCACCCAGCAAACAAGCCCTAACCTACAATCAAATACAATAGGAACTCATTGGCCTCTCTTTCCCAACTACAAGCCATATTCCCTCCGACAAAGCCTTTCTCCTTACCTTTTACGCGCATTTGCAAACCTGCATCTGGCTTCTTTCATACACGATGATTTACGGAATTAGACATCCTGCGTCGGCTTGCAGCCCGACACGCAGTCATGTCCCTACCACCTGAGGCCAGCAGTCTCAAAACTAGGACAATCCAGACCTATTTCAAGACCAGTAGCCATTCCTCCCCTGAACTACTTCCGTTCTTTCTTACCAAAGGTCATGGGGATAACCAATATCTACCATATCATGGTAAACCCTTAGAAAAGGCAGTATCCCCCATTCTCGTTCCCTCATTCGACCCACCATTACACGTACAAATATTATCATAAAATACCTTTTTCCTCAGCCTTCTTCCCCTCCATACGCCTTCAAGAAGCTGTTCACAATTATCAGAAACCAAAACATGTGGAGTTGCAGTGATACCGAACCGGAAGAAGACGACACCATGGCCCGTCGATGTTCATATTGCGGGCGTTTTGGTAACCCTGAGAGCATTAACGAGGAGACTGGCCTCTGCCACAAATGCAATAAAGACATACAGCCTTCATCAAAGAGTGGTGTTGCTTCTCTTGCTGGCAAGAGCGGTGAAGGCCCAAGCAAGGTAGCCGCAGCAGTCATGTTGCAAATGGCAGCGGTAGATGTCAGTGACGATTCAAGCTCCGCTGGAAGTATCACCTCCATTCACTCTGATCAGGACCACGATGACGAGGATAATTCCTGTGTCGACAGAAATGGAGATGGGAACGAGAGCAAAAATACGAAGCCCAATAGCCAGGAGCTCAGGAGCCGTGGCAGTAGCAATGTGTCTAGCAACCAGGAAATAGAATCTGAACTGTGTGCGCGATGTTGGAAAAACCCATCGACAACCATCCTATACAATACACCTATATGCGGCGAATGCTATCAGATTGCACAGGAGAAGCGGGTAAGGATATTCCTCTGCAGTCTGCATTGCCATACTCATTCAAAGAGCTAACACAGCTCCCAATTCCAATACACACAGGAACACACTAAAGGGACAAAGGTGAGAACGGAACAAATTTCGAAAAGTTTCAACATGAGCACTGTTGCCTTTTCTATTTTTCATCCCCCTTTTCCCTGCTCCTATGCTCCACAATCTTGATTGTCATGAGGAGAAAGGGAGCGGAGCCTCCCTCAGCCAACAGGTGGCGAAAAGACGGCTAAGACGGTTTCCTAACAACCAGAAACGCTTCCAACCGCCGACCCCTGACCTCCAGCCCGGAAAAAGACTGACGCGGGTCTGCGACTCGTGTCGCCGGAAGCGAAAGCGGTGCCAGCATCGCCGCGTGGTGGACGAGAACGATCGTAAGTATAAATAATAGCTATTTCACACATACACATACCCTCAGATTCACAACAAAACAGAAAAAAGAAAAGAAAAGAACAAGAAAAAAAGCAAAAAGCAAGAACCGAGGACATTGCTCACACAAAAGCGAAATAAACAGCTGATGCGGACTTCCGAAAGCGGTCGAGGAAGGTACAAACATCGACCGTGACGAACGGCCGTGAGGGGAGGAGTAGAACTAGCTCATCCTCCGTGATCGAAGTCAATGACACGGGCATGTGAGCTCGAAACTCTTTCTCAATAATACCTTACCTAATCCTGTTCTCTAACCGCATGCATGTATGTAAATACATATAGTCATTGTGTCGGAAACAGAACAAGACGCCATTGCCGCTCCACGCACCCGCGATACTACCACCATAGGCACAGGCACAGGCACAGGCACATCCACAAGAACAGTCAGCACGTCTTCTGACAAAGGAGCCTCCATGACGACAATAGCCGTGGATAGCAAAGGATGTTCCACCAGTAGCCTGCAGCGGGCGGTCGAGGAGTCTGTCCACGTCGTGTTCTCTAGGGAGATGGATAGACTGGTGGGAGCGGCGGAGGAGAAGCTGTCAGACGCTGCCGTCGCGCTTGACGATATCAAGGGGCATATGACAGCGTGGTTGGAGCGTGTAAACGAGGGTATATAGCACCCTTACTCTTATTTCCTCCTTCGTGTTTCATTCCGTACCAAGGGGTTGGTGGAGATGTATGACGAGAAATGCTGATCGCGTTTTCTTTTTGGAGGTTAGATCGGGGTAGATCCCGGTTGGCAAAGGAGGAAAAACGGGACTGAAGCAGGGGCTTGCCTTTTTATTTTGGCTTTGCGTTATGTTTGTTCGGTTGGTTCATTTCTGGTGAATTCAGAAGTGATACTGGTAGTGTGGATGGGAGTTCTCACTATCTTTCTCTCACCCTCTCCTTTTTTTTTTTTTTTTTTTTTTTGAAACCCCTATGATTGTCAAGTTCAAGATAAATAAACGGAAATAGCCCCTTGTTTTGCATCTCCAGAGATGAAATAGTGCATTCTTCATACGTGCCAGGTCCCAGCCCTACCAAAGCGGATGAATTTTCTTGTATAATGAAGCGATAGGCCAACGGAGAATTGATTTGCTTGTAGGGTCCGGGCGGGTTATAACTAGTTAATCCCCTCGCTGCGTCCTTCTGTCCTCGTTACAAGCACACCATCCCACCCAGACAATTTGTCCGGAACTACTTGTTCTCCATGGCGTTGTGCAGAGATGGCGCGAACTTGGCCCCTGGAGCAAAGGAAAGCGTTGCGGCCTTTGTCGCTGCTAACATATGCCACAGTTACGATGTGGAGAAGGGGGTCTTACCATTCCTGATAAACGTTATTGTTGAAGGACTCTTGTCTTGTTAGGATACGGGCTTTCCTTTTCTGATGCAGGGGAGCTTTGTCCTGTGTGAACCAAGCGGGTGAGGGCCCTAATGTCGGTTGGGCGAAATCGGCTCCTATGCCTCTTAGTCGTCCTTCAGCTTATTTTCTCGACGAAGAATTTGATCACCCAGGATAATGGCCCTGTCATCATTGCGATGATGGTGTTCCTGTTGCTGCAGTTGGCGAACCCACATATGTAAGTGTATATACGTATATACTAGACATAGCATGGAGAAAAACACCATCCAAAATGCCCCGACATATTAGAGCCGGTGCCATTTTAGCTACATAAGAGAAGAAAACCGGCGTCCGTATCTTTTTTACCCACATGTATATTTCCCTCCTACTTCCCAACACGGCGATGTGGGAACGGATTGGGAATAGCGACGTTCTTCGGTAGCTATCGCTGGGTGACCTGCGACTGTCCACGACAGCGAGAAACAAGAGCGAGGCGAAATGGACGGGAAATATAGATAGATGTATGTATATATACATAGGATGTACGCTCCCGCATTTGGTTTGGTTCTTTTTGGATTTTTCGAATAGGAAAACTGGGGGAAATTCAAGGGATCGATCCCATCATCCTTTATACATAGTTACAAAATAGGGACCATTATACAAGGGACATGCCAGCCTTGGTGAGATTGAGATGAGTCTTCAATCTCTCCAAAACCGTGCGGCGGAGGACTCGATATGGCAGCACGCTGTTCTGCGTTGCGGAAGTCCTAAACCTGGCACAGCTGTTTTTTCGCTGGATCGCAGCAACCCAGGCCATCCCCGGGTGCGGTAGCTGCCAGGGCACTGAAAACAGGAGGGGACCCGATTGCCAGGGGAGGGTGAATTGGATGGATAGATACATAACTCCAGTCGAGCGTGGGATAGGAAGCGAATTAAGAGACCCTCGGAACTTTTCTCTTTTCTTTGGCGGGAGAGTATGGAAGTCTGCGGTGTGATATATATATATAGACATGCATAGGTAGATATAAATTCACACGGAAGGGATTGATGTAGGGAGGATTATATAAACCAGGTTCAGCCTGATCAAAATTATCTGCTTTTTGGTGCTTATATATAAACGTATATGTATTGATTCCCTTACTCTCTTTGTAAACAAAAAGAGTTTAGTTTATATATGGGAGGAAGCATTGAATCAGGTAATGGATCGGGGATAGTCGTTAAAATAGATACAGAAGAAAGCCCCAGATAATAATACAACTGTGAAAAAGAAGCCGGTCTATGAGCTACATGTAGCGGCTCAATGACCAAGATATCGATCTTTATTTCCCCTTGGATCCTCTTGTTAAAGATGTTTAACAAGAGTCAATGATTTAAACCCAACGGTTAAGCAAAATGATAGAACGTAAACAGAGAGTGAAAATGCATCTCCTTCAAGGAGAAGATGCCATCGGAAGACTTCAGCGAATATCACACAAGTCGTAGTGAAGCTGGTAAGGGTATGATCCTTGTTATTTTCATTTCTTTCTTTCTTTCCCCCTCTTTTGATTATTTCTATCAAAGAAAATAGCAGTAACGGCTCATCTGGTCAGCCATGGATAAAAAGCAGGATGATACACTATCCATGAGACAGGAGAATCCAGCCGGTAGAAATGTTGTATATAAACCACATGGATCCCTAGGAGCACTTCCGCAGTCAACAGCACCACGTTGTCCCCGCTCGCATTTGAGTAGTCTTATGCAGTCAATAGGGAGTGCATAGCTATTGTACCGTACCTACATGAGCAGCCTGTACAATGGACAGCCCTTTGCCGTCACGTTGAGAAACGACAGATGGCGTAGTGATGCAAAACGCAACCGGTAATCATGCTCTACACGATAAGATGTAGTATGCGATATGCGCGTACCCTTGAGGTCGGCATATATCACGAGCGAGCGAGCATGCATGTCTTCTTGGTAGGGTGGAAGGAGGGACGGATTTTGACGTGATAATCTTTCAACTCTTCTCATGGCTAGTTACAAGTATTGCAAAGAGCGGATCCCCTTCCCCACTTTCGCCTTATTCCCCTGACACATATGTGAGGGAAGGGTCAGAATGAAAGATATCATTTCAAACGTCATGTTTTGGGATCCCAGACATCCGTCCGGCATTCAATTCGAGGACGGCGAGTTAAAAGCAATTTTCTCGAATGTGAGATACAAAAAGTGGGATAAAGTGATAATGAGCATGAATGAAACGTTGCAACAGCATGATTCATTTCGGTATGCATGGACTCCGAGCTTCTCACACAAGGATAGCATGAGTGTGGCATAGCCTCCGTGAAAAGGGGAAGGGAGGTAGGCGAAGCATGGCTTCACCCAGGTAAATAAGAGCAATGATATAGCGATCAATCCCTAAGATGGAGGGTAGTCAAGTTCGTCGAATTCTCCGTAGTAGATTTGAAATCATGAGGGGATGCCAGTGTTGGGTTAGCTCCCTTTGGATGGAATAACCCACAAATTACCAACTTCAAATGCCAACAAATTCCAAGGATAGCTTCTCTTTCTGTTCGAGAAGGACCAGGGACAAGACAGTCGACGTCGACTACGACGACCGGCATCTTGATGTGATTATTTTTCCTCGGCATCTGCCATCATCGCCCTGGCAGTTAGTTGCATCGTAGCTTTGTTTCGTCTTCGTCTTCCTCAACCCTTGCCCTGCCGGAGGTCCCATGGGTATAGTTACCACGAGGCAACCCCAGCAGCTACGAAATACAGTACGACCTCAAGCAAGAACTCCTGGTCGAGTTTGTTTGCTTCGTCACAAAGATTGCTAGGAGCCGTTGGTGATAATAAGGGGTTGTTAAGTCAGATCGAGGACAAGGATCGTGCTGTGTATTATGGAGCCACAACTGCTTGGTTGACCCTCTTCCCTCCCAACCCCCCATGTATGTACAGCGTATGTATGATGTGGCCGCAGGCGGCCAAGGCAAGGTTATGTGTTTTTTATTTGTTTTCTTTTTCGTTCTCGTCTCTGTTCCTTCTTTGGGAAGCTGCACGAACGGGAGGAATGTTGACTATGACGAAATGAAGACCGGTGATGAACCAGGGTTCGTCTGAAATCTTCAATGTCGTCAAGCGCGGTTGCCGTCAGTTCCTCATAGGTTCAACAAGTAGGAGGAGTTGGGTACGTGCGTCAAACGTGACAAAATGAGAATTGAACGGTAATAATAGAATAAATAGGAGTATTTTATTGGCTCTGTTCTGATTCCCAGTGATATAAATTCGATTAATGTTGTAACTATACTACATAAAAAAAATAGCAATCTAAATAAGTGAGGTGAGGGGGGGGGACGTTTTCTTTCGCTCTCTATTTTCTTCTCAAATAGCGATCTCGATATTTTCTCGTCTTTCGAGTAAAGCGGACATGCCAAGGAGAGAAATGCTGGCAAAGCAGGGAATCCTTGAAGAGGGGCTCCATTCCTTATCATGCCTACGAATATCGAGACGAGCTTGCATATGCAAGGAGGGAGGGAGGGATGAGGGGTTAGAGATAGTTCGTACCAGATATGCCAATCAATGTATGTAGGAGGAAAAAAATGCAGTAACTTCTACTTACGTACGACGCATCATCTCCACAGCCTTTTTGCTCCAGATGGGCCGTGCAGCTCGGATGCAATCTTGAATTCTGCTCGCCGCGCGGGCCTATCTTCGGCTTTCCTCTCCTCCTTCCTCTGTTTCTTTCTTTCTTCCTGTTTTTCTCCATGCCCATTTCTTCGGTTTGGGAGGCATCGAGATTCTATAGTGTGCCCTTTTTAATCTTTTTAAATTCTATTTTTTTTTTTAATTTTTTTTGTCTAGGGCGAGTGCAAAACGAGAGGAGGAAGATGGGGGAAGAGAAAGAAAGGGAGGGGGATGCAGCGAGAGTTTTCCGAAGAAATGGGGAAAACAAGATTTTCAATTGCAGATGTATGCAGTATTATTGGAGATCTGGGACTCTTGGGAGGGACCCTGCGGAGGACAACAGCAACAATGATAGAAAATGACCATGAACAGTGAGACGAGACCAGAGGCCGAGCCGTTAGAATGGGAGGTATGGAGCTTTATGTATACGCATTATTAAAACTCAGGGCTCTAAAAACAAAAAGCACCACTCACGGATGAGCAAGAGGGCTTCTTCAGCACGGACTTTACGAAAGGAGGAGTGGCTCTTCGTGGCACTGCGGCTGTTGTTGGCTGATCGGAGGCATAGAGTTCAAGAAGCGTGCATTAATTTTTGAACAACGCAGCAGCAGCGCTTGGATTTTGTGTGGAGGAAGGATTGAGGTATCGATCATTGCTGACGCTCTGCTGGGCAAGTCAGAGTGACGGCCTGTGGTGGGTTTTGATTTGAATGAGTGGTCAATCCCTCTGTCAAATGGCAGTTGCAGAAGATCTTCGCCCTTTTTAAAATAAAAATTTTATTTTTGTTTGACATAGTGCCTATGAATCCATGATGCGCAGCGGGTAAAAATGTCCCTAGCAGCGTGCCCAGCCTGCCCATGCGAATGAATGTTTTAAACCACCAGGCAAGATTCCGAATGGGTTTGAAGTTATTTTTTGCCATACGATTGTTGTCTGGAGGAAGTTTCCTCACAAGGATATAAGGATACAAGGATGATGGGTGGTCCAGGAAGGTTGAGAGCCAATTCACCGTCTGAATTTTGAGTCCTTTTCTTGAGGACTTGGTACTAGCATTGTTTGTCCAAAGCGCGATATTTCTGTTTGTATGTGCGTGTTCTGCCTCTACCATTTCTGTGCTTGTTCAAACAAACAACAACCTTCTTCCCATATGGAGGGGCTTCATTCTGCCCATGATTGATCGCCCTTTGCATTGACTGACAATTTCCCTCCGCAGAGCAAGCTTCCCGCAAGCCCTCAGGCCACGCAACGGCAGACAGGCGGGAACAGCTCGACGAGAGCAACAGGAAAAGGGAAACGAACTTCCATGAGTCTTGCATCCCCCCACGATCCGGTGTTTGCGAGTCAGGGGGGCTGGCTAGTACGTAACGAACATAAATGACAGAACGTAACGCGAATACCGTATTTCGTACGTCCTCTGGACGATGCAAACAATCATCCGCAGTCCAGGATAGGCACAATAGGGCACGCCATACAGAGACCAACAGCCAGTCATCGTGCGCCCTGCTCCAGCAGGCCCAGAGTGGTAAGGCGTGTAATCTACCGGCGCTACCCCGGTCCTTACCTGCAGCGGGCCTAACTGTCCTGCTTCCGCGGCTGGCTGGCGATGGCTGCTCGGGGTTTGCTGCCCCCAGCTTAGCGGGCCCAGTTGGGGAACCTCCATATCCCGGGTCCATAGTGTGTATTATTGGCATCAGCAAAATGCCCTCAATTACAGTACCATGTGTAAATTACTCCTGCAGTCAATATCGTACGCAGCATGTATCAACCAGCCGGGGGCTGTTACAGCGCTATGACGGGGCTAGTTAAGGCCTACCGCTGGCCCCCGGGCAGTCTGGCCGGGGGCAAATCCATGCCTAGCGCCGACTCCACTGGGCGACCTTGGACCTTGCACTGTTCGGATACGGTATTGCAAGTGGACTTGGCTCCCGTGCTTTGCTTGGGGCTTTTTGTGGGCACGACACCAACCAGCGAAGTGCCTGCCTTCATTATTTGTTCCAATCCAGGCCTTCTGTCCTGTTTCTTCTGCCCTCCTCTCCTCCTCTCCTCCTCACCCACACACACACGCACCAACATATCCAGAGAGGATACAGCATACCCACAGACACACATACCCGCGTACACACATACACCCATACACACACACTGCCTGACGGAACTGACTGACGCCGCACCGCTGGTGATACCATCCACCGTCGTTAATCCTTATTCCTCTTACTTCTATCCCATTATACACATCCTTCCGCTCTGGACGACCGAGACTGCGACCGGTAGGCCTCCGATGTGGTTCCTGGAATAAAACGAGTCAACTGCTCAACCCTCCCCTTCCTTCTTGTCCCTCTGACGACCCGAGAAATTCATATATTTTGATCTATATAATTCGATGACTTTACGAGCTACGACAATCTCCTGACTGTGATCATCTGGATCCTTATCTCGCCACCTCGCCTTCTTTTTTTTTTTTTTTTTACACCTCTTTTGGACATGATGGGTGGCCGTACTGTGGATGCGCTACAATGCTTCACCTTCATCACAGACAACGGCCCTTCATGGGTCACTCGAGTTACTGACCTGGCTGTATACACAAAGGCGAAGCATGCTGAATTTACCGCGGAATATGCCAGACTCGCGGCCGCTGGTGAGGCAGTTACCAAGCCTCGACGAAGGAAGAATAGTTCGGTCCACTCCATTCGGCCAGATGACATGCGCCCGTCGATAAATGCTGCAGTTTCCAAGCGGGCACATCAAAGTCAAGATCAGGGCGCTGTAGTCGTTGTCGTCGAGGAACCCAACCAGGACTACATGGACCCCATCACGCTGCTGAGAATGTCAAAACACTACCCAAATGATTCGAATCAACGGAAGCGGAATATAGCGACCTCGAAATCTGCGGGCACGGACAGGATCGTGCGGCCTCGTCAACTTGTCATTGTCCATTATGACTCGGAAACTCAATTGTCGTTGGAGAAATTGGTGAGGGATATTGGAGGTGCGAGGAATAATATTCGCAAGGGTCGGATGAGTCAAATGATGAAGTCCGGGTTCGGTCTGAAGTTCTTGGATTCCGCCAGAGCAAAATCTTCAATGGGAGGACTAGGAGCAGGAGCCCGTAGTCCACTCGATCCGCCGTCGAAACTCAACAGGTCACCCAGCAGGGAGACGGCATTTGATCTCGTCGATAAACAGTTGGAATTGGCCCAATCTCTATGCGAAACGGCCGCTCATCAATTCCTACGGTGTGGAGATTGTGCTGTGGAGTTGGAGAAAGCAAATGAACGACTTTCCACTGTGCTTGACCTGGCGAAGGTGGAGGTGGAACGGTTAGAAAAGGAGGCGGAGAGGGAGAAGGAGGAGGAGGCCGCGAAGGCAGCTGCTGAGGCTCTCCAAGCGGAGGATGACGACGACGACGACGACGGTGAGGACGATGAGGATGGGAGGATTGCTCCAGGATCTGGGCTGATCATGAAAGCAAACGAGAAGAGGACACCAGACGGTTCAGAAGCGGCCATCGAGGTCGACGATGGCTCCTCCGTATCCTCTATTTCCATTGATATTACCGCCTTCAGGTCAAGCCGGTTCAGGTCTTAATCTGGACCTTTCCAGAAAGCCCTTGTTCATACTTCTTAACCTTCGATGTCGATTTTCCACATGCACACACACACATACACACATACAAGGATAAACATATATACGGCCCTCCTACCCATTCCTTCGAAAAATTCCGCTTTTCCGCATACATCTATATAAAACACAACTTTCAAACGTTCTCCTGATTTACCTGACCAAATCTCCAATTGGAAGATACCTCGCTCAACCATTTCTCAATTTCCGCCATATATGTCGGGCTGGGGTGTATTCTATTCATTTCCATTGACGACATGATTTAGTGAAGGAAAGGCAGGAAATACGTTTCTCACGTACCCGTTCTCGATATATACAGACATCATACCATTTCCATATCATATCATATCACCCCTACATGTGCACATACATTCCTTCGCGTTTCCATCCATTCCTGTTCTCATCCCTACTCAAATCTCTTCCCGAAAAATTCTTCGCACAGTATTACTTTCATTACCGAAACAAAGTCACTATTCTTTCTCCTCTCCTCACTCATTGTCATGTCCTTTTGTTTTTCTTTGTTTTCTATTTTGCCTCCCTTTTTGCTGTCCATTTGTGTGTATATGCATGCGTGTGTGCGCGTGTCTAATGAGGGTATTTTGCTTTTTCTCTTTTGTCACCTTTTGTTCGACGGACAAGGAAGGGAAGGAACGGACATACCTACACCTCCCGATCCCTCCGAAATCCGTCGCCTTTGATGATAGCATTTTCTTTTCTTATACATATATTTTGCTCTCTATTCGTTGTTTATTTTTTATTGATTTTTAGCTCAGGGTACTATACTATGCTGTCCTATCCTATGGACCTAGTTATTTATTTATCTATCTATCGATCGATCTATCAATCTAGCATGGCGTTTTCTTGAACATTTTTCGTTTATCCTTTTTTTGTTTCCTATTGATATCGCTGGGGTGGCATACACTTAAACTATTATCCATATTTTATCATATGGACGATCAAATCTCTTTGGCTTGAATTTGTTTTTGTTGTCTGGCCTTCCTTCTCCTCTTCTTTGTTTTCGTCCCTTTCCTACTCACGCCTCCTTGTGCGCCCGCCGGGGAAATAAATTGTTGACGCTGCAATCCTTCTCATTTCACGCCCGATTTCTATTATATCTTCTTACTCTTTATCCTTGGCTTTTTTGTTTTCTCCTTTTTTCTCATTCGAGGTGGTGAGAAACTAACGACACTGTTTGAAGCGCAGGAGGGAAAAGAATGAAGATACACATATGCATGCTACTCCCTTGGGGCATATATAACTTCTCACATTACCATAACAACTCTAACACAGTGAAATGGTAAGGGAAAAGCGTGAGAGCATATTTTGACTCTTATTTGTTTTCCGGGCAGCGGAGGGAGGCCGCGCCTGGATTGTTCCTTTCTTGATGAAGTATTTCAAGCGAGTTTTTCTATATATAAATATTGTGCTTTTTGTTGGTTAAAAATCGTCCTTTTAGTTACGGAATATATCGATATATTTCTGTCTTAAATTATTGCTCTACATCACTTTACCCTCACCCCTTGCCGTGACGTCAAACCAAAGCTTATGTAGATATTGAGTTTTCTTTCTTTCTTTCTTTTTTTCCCAATGACGAAATAATTCATATATTTATATCAGTATATATCGACAGGATGTATTATATCCGCAATGCTGTAGGTGGGTAGGAGGCAGGAAACATATTTTCATGTCATCTGTGGTATTTATTGTTCCGATGGTTTTTCTTTTCTTTTTCTTTCCCCCCCTCTCTCCCCTGGGATTTCAGCTCGCTCTGATGTGATATGTCAACTTCCTTTGCCAATAGTTAGCTGCGGATTCAATGATCTATCCGTCTTCTACAGATTCCTACGTATCAAGGAGATAACTAGTGAAAATACTCTGAAACGTTATGGGATTTTCTTGTCTTGGCTTTCCTGGTTTTATTTATTTATTTATTTATTATTATTATTTTAAATAAAGCACAGGCAAGGCAACCCTTGCTCTCTGTTCTGTCCGGCAAGATGCGCGCGATTCGATTCGGATTTGTCTCGAGAGGCCACTTGTGTGCAACACTTCCGCTTTGATTTTCAACGGCGGGAGGGTTCTGGTCTGTCTTGCAGTGACAGATTGCATTAGGGGAGGGGGAACCTGGTTCAATTTTCGTCTGGACAATTTGTTCCTTTCTGATGTGCAAGCGGTGAACAACACGCAGACATAATACATAATAGTAGTAGTAGTATTTACTATATTAGTTGCTGGTGGTGGACCTTGTATATATAGAGCGCGCAGTATACATATCTATCTATCTATCTATCTATATACGTCAACTTCCCCGAACGAATGAAGACTCCTGTTGTCAGGCGTCGTCATGCATTCGGAATTTGTTTCAGAGGAAACGAGCGAGCCATGCGAGAGGGGAAGGGGTGGGGTGGGGTGGGGTGGGGATGGTCTGTCTCCTAACTATCTCTTGCTTGCTTGCCGCCATGTTGACGGGCAGGCTGACAACATGAAAGACATCAAGACGGGTCGCGAAACAAACTAATATCCTCAAGATATTTTGATAGTTCACGTGGCATTCTAGCGAGCAATAGAGGGATGCCAACAGGCAACGTATTTATTTTTATTTTATTATTTATTTTTTCGTTGACGCCATCGTCTTCCGAATACGGGGTGAGGATTTGCTCGACGACGCCTTCAGTAGACGGAATCATGCAATCATTGCCATCATAGTTTCCCACTCCGCAAGGATCCAGATCGCCCAAAATTCGGGCCCCCGAGAGCCTCATGTCGTTGCCATCATCAACAACGTCTAATGCAGCAATTTCGCTGCAGGTGTTGGGCGATCCTTTCACTAGGACTCGATTCTTCATTTAACCAAACCTCGACCACACATAATGACGATACGATGGTATTGGAAGTGGTAATGGTAATGGTATTGGTACTGTGTTTTCGTATTGTATTGTATCGCCATACATTACAGCCCCGCGTCTAGCGCCAAATCCGGATCTCCCTCCCCACTCAGCTAAGGAAGGGTACCTAAGGAACATCGCAGATGCGCAGCCTGTTCGTCCACCCGCGCCGGAACGCTCTTCCACCCGCATTTAGCGTCCCCCCAGCCAGCCAATGGACGCACACGCCGGAGACGCCATTGCAAACTCTCTCCGGGACGCAAAGTCTGGTTCTGGCGGCGAATCGAAATGCGTTTCTTTGTGCATCACTTCGATACTTTGGCCATTGAATGGTTGATTGAGTATTTATTGATTGCGATCAAAGCGAGTTGCGTCACGGTGGGTTTTAATCTTTGGGTTCTTTCTTTCTTTCTTTCTTTCTTTTCCTGTTTGCGTTTTCGTTTTTGATGGGGGGGTGGTGTTTTCGGCAAGAGTTGCTTTCCGGGGACTAAGACGTGCATGTATCATTACACCATATCATATGTGACGGGAGGAGAATATTCCCATCATCGAAGAGGTGTCAAAAAGGGCCTCCTGCATTTCCGGAATCTTCCATCGCACAATCGCCTGCCACAGAGCGGCAGAGCTCCCGCAACCGCAGGCTTTTGCCGCCTGGTGCCCCTCGACCGCCTCAGGGTGATGGCGTTGGAATGGCTTGGATCCCAATCTGTCGGATTGCTACAAGTTTCCCTATTTTTCCCGATTTGCTCCATATCGGTGCCTACGGCTTGATTCCCCCCCTTCCTCCCCACTGCTGAAAAATTCTTTTGTTCGGACAGGCTGAAATTGGTGAGGTGAGCTTGTAGTTTGCGCGGCTGTGATGCGATGCGATGCGATGCGACGCGAGAGCGCAAAGACGGCTGGCTGGGCTATTCGGTCTGTCATGAATAATGAATGGCCCTGAATGAAGTTGATCTTGATCCAAATCCCGATCTCGCGACAGATGACAGCTGCATGTTTCGCTCTGTTCCTGCGGGGACGACGGAACATGCGCTGCACTGCGCTGCGCTACGTCTACTGCAAAAATTGATGCATTGAAGTCCCCGATTCGACGGGTGACGGGTAGGGTGTGGGGGTTGGGTGGAACTCGCACAGTAAAAAGCGTGGATTTCATAGGACGACGCTCTTGAAACGGAGGCTGGGAAGAGAGAAACATTTCAGGCAATGGGCATCAACGAGCCTTGGAAGCGAGGTCGCGGCTGATGAATCGGAGCTCCTGTTTGCCCTCCGGGGACGCCCCCACTGCAAGACATCAGGGGTGTGATTTCCTTTTCTTTTCTTTGGTTTGTTTGTTTTTGTTTCCCTCCAGGATATATATATATATATATATCTATTCATTTTCAATTTTATATATATATATATATATGTCAAGACAAGCGCGCTCCGCCCTAGGACCATATTTACCATTACTGGAAATACATCGCTAGATTGGCAAAGGAAAACTACTGTGATCCGCGTGACACAATCTCCCCAGGAGTCTGTTACAGTTCAATACAAACACCCGAAGCAGTCAAGCAATGCACGGATGCGATGTCTATCAATTCTTCTCCACAAAGCTTGCTGCGTATTTTACTTCCTCCTTGCGCATCTGTTTTTCAAACCCATCTGAGCTGCTTCTTCTTTACGCAAGCTCACCGAGAGGACGGTCTATTGGAGATGGAGAAGTCTAATCAGCCGACGAGCCATCAGACATAGGAGTTCTCATGATTCCATTTTCCTTTCTTTTCTGTTCGATTATTTGCTTTTTTCACTCTTGGCCAAGGGGGGGCGTTGTGTCGTTGGTTCTCATTAGCTGAATCCAAATCTTGGATCCCGAACGCTTGTTGTAGCGCTCCACGCTACGGAACACTAATCATACAACTTCGCCGAAGTTCACCCATTCTGGTTTCAGCTTCCTCGAACAAGTCTGCCATATCCAATTTGTTCAACTCTTGCCCTACTTGGACAATAGCTAAGAACACCCTCTGAATTTTTACTACTCCGTAAGGGGGAGATGGACGAAACTCAAGCCAGAACTAGTGGATTGAGCGCTCCGGGATTGAGAAACATGTCTATCTCTTGACCTATGTATGCCATGTTTGTGCTCAGGCCCATCAGGGTGGTTAGGAAGGGCCAAATGCATTGAGGGTCTTCATGAAAGACACAATGCCCATTGCGTGGATACCTGAGGTAACCGATGGCTCTTGCTTAAAAGGGAGAGTAGATCTTCATTCTCATCCTTCACTGTTCGCTGCGGTTTGTGTACCATAAGTGGTTAGGTAAATTCCTACTCAAAGTGGTAAGATATTGCTGCTCCATTCTATATTTTACTTCACAGAGCATGACCACTTTGGGTACCGCTTTTTCCTCTCAACTTGCTGGCGTTTTCTGCCACGCAGGTTTGAATAAATATGCACGCACGCAGACATCCACCTCATCACCCTTCAAGTGGACTGAAATTGTTGCAATCACCCTGAGGCTCAGCATGCGGACTCCTACTCTTATTCTTGACCAACTGGAGAGGATGACTGGCAAACCATTCTCTTCCTCTCCTGAGGTGAGCCAGGTTTTTCTGCCTGTTTCAAGTGGGTCGACTCGCCAAACTTCACCGGAATGATCATCATCACCCTGGGTCTAAAACATTCCCCCTTACCCATTCTCAGCTGGAGGATGGCTCTACAGAGCCTAGTATCAGCCAGGCTTTCTTTCAGTTTGGCTCTACCTTATGCGCAGTTGGTGTTTCTGTGCTTGTTTCTCTTGCCAGATATCTTGTCAAATCCGCGCTATTTCGAGTGCTTCCTGCCTTTTTGCCTGTACCATTGAAGGCCTCGATCATTGAAGCAGCCTCAGAGGAACACATGCTGCCATGGACGCTATTACACAGGTTTCGGATATAACCTCCGATTCCGATGATACCACCGGGAACAATATGATTACTAATAGCAACTCTGACAATGGCCTGGATGACTCTAACCTGAAGCAGAGCGGTTATTGCGAGCCCATAAGCCACCTCCACCCCCGCCAGAGCAGTACCTCCAGGAAGAGCTAGAGGTCAATACTTTCACATCTCCGGCAGCGCCGCCATAAGTCCGGAGCCATAAAGGGAATTGATCATGCTCGTGATTATTGGGAACCGTATGGTTGTTCAGGCAGGTCCTAGTGTATCCTGCTAACATTGGCAAAGATACCGTGCCCATATTCAAGCGAGATGTATCGTACGCCTTTGGAACTCTCTCGGCACCGTCGCTGAAAGGCTTTCTGAGCTGGGCCTGTGACCAGTGTAATGGGAAAGATGGTCGAAAGATTTCAGGGATTGGGACTGTTAACTCCCTAGAAACACTTTGGAAGCAGTTTTCCCAAGTGTGCAAGGTTGACACCAGTCATCCCATTGATGTTTTAATCATCGCGCAGGCTCAGAATGTGATCACCTTCGTTGCTGACAAGAAGAAACTTAGTCAGAGGGAGCGTCCAAAGGGCATCATGTATGTTGACAATCTTGCTGAGTTCACGCGCATGATCTTGGCTACTACCACCAACATGCTCTTCCTCATTGGACAGCTGAAGATCCAGCTTATCTTGTTTTGTCATCTTGCTGGAATAGTTAACAGGAAACCGGCCAGAAGCTCTGCTGGAACTCCACTACCAACACCTTCAGTTAACCCTCATTCACAATCTCCTCGACGGCCCTCCACAATTGACCATCAAATTCAATGCTGAATTTACCAAGGGATACCTTGGAACGAAGGACCAGTATGAAGCTCTTTGCTGACTGAATAGCTTCTGCTAACTTCTGATGCAGAAACACATCTTGACTTCCGGAGATCATCTCTGATCCCACACTCATTTTTAGCCTTCATGTTTTCCTCCTCGGCATGCTATTTCACATCAAGGCCTTTTAATCCCCACTAATCACTGGTCCTGAGACACTCTATGACCTGGGAGTTCTCAACAGCCTTAATCAGCAGAAGGTGCCTCTCCGGAACAACCTTGATGACAGGTTTGTCTTTTGTCAAGCAGTACGCGAAGGCGATGCTGTTCATCTAGTCCATGAATTAAAGCCCAGCTCCTCTTCAGTGAGGTATAGGATGAAGAAGGGGGTGGAGAGATAAAGCCATATGTCATCCATGACAGTGCAGCCAACGCGCTGAATGAATGCCGTAGGTTGCTTTATGCCAACATATCTCACCAGCTACCATTTCTAACCAAGCACTATGAACAGCAGATGTCAGTGATTCGAGCTCGTGATGCTGACTGTTCGACTAGGTTGCTTTCCGCTCTGATGAGATTCTCGAGGAGGCTCCGACTCAGTTCAGATGAGCTTCAGGGAATGAAAGCCCTTGAAGCCAATTGGCACCAAGTAGCTATCTATAGTCAACGACACATACAGTTATGAGAAACAGGAGGAGACGTCTCGAACTGGACATAAAGAGGGAGCCTTCCTTTGTTCAGCTGTAAAGGTTCTGGCGGAGGAGACCAAGTTTGGTATAACCGCAACGAAGCGCGTGCTTTGGTCCTTCGAAGCTCTGTCTACGCAGGATGATCAGCTGGATAGTAGTAGGCGCATTAAACATTCATCCGCTGCAACCAGCATTGTGCAACCCTACCAGATGATTTCAAACTCAAGGGGTTGTCTACCATGCGTCACCAAGTTAGCCTGACTGACCGCTAGTGTTTGTACAGAAAGTTATTCGAATACTAGGCCAAATTCGAATGCTATTTGAATACTATTCGAATATTCGTATTCCGTTCACACCCTGCTGACGGCCGGGGTTTTGATCCCGTCACCCCACTTGCCCGATTCTAACTTATCCCGATTTCTTTTGTGGATCCATTTCCGTTATCCTGTGTCCGGAAAAGAACTAAACCACCTTTCAGCTCCTCTCTTGAGGCATACTGTCTAAGTTTAATCATTGTAAAAATTATATATATGTATATATATAATTCAATTTCTCAAAGATTCTATCATAAAAAGCCTTCCTAGGCAAGGAGGTATCTTGTACTGATGTGGTATATGATTGGCTACTAATACCCCTTCTCGTGGCCCTTGAGCTGTCGTCTCCTAGCGCGGTCGGTTGAGTCACTCGTGGGGTCAGCCGAGGTGTATTCTCCCGGACTTATGCCTTCTCGTACTCAGAAGGCCGGAGCGGTGTCAGTATCCGATCAGGATGAAAACTCAATAAACTCAATAAAAGCCCGTTGACCAACTTCCCCACCAAAATGCCAGGCAAAGTCAATCTTCCAGACAATCACCACAATGGCCAATCCGCTCATTAGTAATCACCTTGGCAAGAATGCCAAGTACACCCAAGCCTTCTTAGAGCAGAATGGGCCCGGAGACGCTCGACCTACAGCTCTTGACATCCTCAGGGACAACGATCGGATCGGTACCATGAAGGACAAGGTGAGCATTGCTGCTGTTGGAAACTGGACCTGGAGCTGACCACAACCAGGTCTTTCTTCTCACCGGATCCTCTGGAGGAATTGGCATTGAAACTGGTCGTGCCCTCGCTGCAACCGGTGGTAAAGTGTATTTGGGCGTTCGTGACTTGGAGAAGGGAAAGGAAGCTCTGAAAGAGATCCTCGAACCTGATCGTGTGGAGCTTCTTGAGCTGGACACTGGCTCAGTGGAAAGCGTCCGCACCGCGGCCAAGACCTTTTTGTCCAAGTCGACCCAGCTCAATGTCTTGGTCAACAATGCAGGCATCATGGCATGCCCAGAGGCCAAGACAGTGGATGGCTTCGAGTCGCAGCTTGTAATCAACTATCTCGGCCATTTCCTTCTTTACAAGCTACTCGAGCAGACGCTCTTGTCCAGCTCCACGCCCGATTTCGCATCCCGCGTCGTCAACGTCGCTTCCGCTGGCCATCACATGGGTTCCGTCGTCCTCGACAACATTAACCTTGATGGTGAGTACGAGGCGTGGAAGGCATACGGCAATGCCAAGACGGCTTGTATTTGGATGACGAACGAGATTGAGCGCCGATACGGTTCCAAGGGTCTGCACGGCCTCTCGTTGATGCCAGGCGGTGTTGCCACAGGCCTGCAGCGCCACGTCGACCCGGAAACGTTGAAGCAGTGGGGTTCGAGTGAGCCCGCGCAAAAGTATGTCAAGAGCCCAGCACAGGGTGCCGCCACGACCATGACGGCCGCATTCGGCAAGGAATGGGAAGGCAAGGGTGGTGTCTATCTGGAGGATTGCCAGGAAGCTGGGCCGATCCCCGAGGGTGGGACACTGGCGGTCGGTGTTGCACCACACGCGTTCGATCTAGAGGGCGAAAAGAAGTTGTGGGACTTGTCTCTCAAGATGTTGAACGTGTCAGAGTAAGGCGCAGGAGGTACATCTACCTGCTGGGAATGAGCATGAGATGTTTTTAAGAAGCCATGCGGAAGAATTTATCTAGCATCTGCCGTAGAACGGATAACAAAGTAGTCTGTCGGCGCATTCCAAGTTGATTTTAAAGTACTGCTTGGAATTAATTGACGTGCCCGCCGTCGCGTCGTCCAGACTATGTCTGTAACTCGTGAGATCGACTTTCAGCCTCATTCATTTATTTCTCTATCAGCTTGCACTCCTCACCTCAAATATAATACCTCTATAATTCTTTTAGTCTCTTCGATCGCCTGCAATGTCCTGCCGCGGTAGTGGTCAAGCATGACCTGATTGAGAGGATGTGACGTTACCGTGCCGCCATCCACAATTGCGTTGTCGGGCAGGAAAATGAAACTCCCAGGTTCGTTTTCTATCGTATGGCGTACGTGAAAGGGGACACGACTTCCTTTCGGTACTGGAGCTGTACGTTTGGTTTTCCTGAAGTTCCGAGATTGTTTTCCGCCGCTTCGACGCGTTGTGGATGGTGGATGTCACGTTGTTGAGCTCCTCCTGACACTCAGAGACAGCCATACTGTTTTTCTGAGAGTTCCCAGCGGACACCACGTGGAGGTGGGAGCTGGTCGTCCGCCGGTAGGCAGCTATGCAGCGCACCACTAGAGAAACTCCTGTATGTGCTTTTTTCCTTAGGAATTCAACTCTTCTTACAAGAGACGCCCTGCCGTGACACGTTATTCTTGCATGAATTGCTTGCTTTCCACCTGAGCTTCCTCTATCCATAGTCTTCCTATCAGTTCTGTATCTCTTCCTTGTTAGGTCTTTCCTGACCCTACTCAACTTCTGTCTGGGGGTGGTTTGGATGGCGTAGTGGTAATCGCTATTCATGGAATGCTTTCTCAAGTAGACACTTGGTGGTGGGGCCAAGACTGCTGAGACAAGCCTCCAAAAGGATATTATTACATCTTAATGGATATTGTAGTCTCCAAACAGTTTCATCGCTGGGAGACCCGTGGTGCAAAACTGACAACTGCCAAATCGAGGCAAGGTGACACAGCGATCGAGGGGTAGCACAGACATGCGTACAAGCGGAGTTCACGCACAAAGGAGCGAGATATATATGCTTTCTATGCTTTCTAGGAAGCAGTGGGCAGGCCATTGAGAAAAGCCCAGGATTCAAAAGCACCTTGCCGTTAATGGCAATATTGTATATCAGCTTCACACAGCATGGCACTGCTCAAAAATGCGATGACAACTGGCCAACCGCCTGGACTCTAATGATCACCTTCCCGAAATAGCTGTAGGTGGTGGGGGCCATCTCTGGAGTAGCCAATGTCAAAGTCTTCCACCCAGTACAACCGGGCGATTCGTGGGCAAATTCGCATAACCTATGCAAAGGAGCTCGGTACAAGAGCGAAGGCTGCACGTCGATTATCCAGTCGAGGCTCCTACGACTGCGACAACGTTGGGAGAGTGCTCCCTTACGCAATGAGGACCTTATCTTTCGGCCACTCCGGACGTTTTTAGAGAATCCTGTCATCTACAGTACAAGAGTGGACAGGCAGAGATGAGGATCCGCTCCTGATGCCAGTTCATCTCCAGGCGAGTCACGCATCACCATTTGAAAGGGCCATTCACAGTTGCTGGTTGGTAAAGACGGTCAAGCAGGTGTCAGCAGCTTCCCGGACGGATAGCATGTTTTCTCCTGTGAGATGTGTGCCTGAGCATCGTCAGTTCGGATTTGTGTGTGTAAGCAAGAGAGAAATTTGCAAGGTTGCATTTCAGATTTGCGTACATAAGTATCTAGAGCAGTTGTGCTGGCCCAGGTACGAATTGAGGTCAATTTTTTATCGCAACTCCATTTTGATAACCGCGTTAGGGGATTCATTATCCCTATGTTTGTTTCTTCTTCATTATTTTCTTTTTGTACCCTTTCATGTGATTTTTCTTATTTGGATCTTTCTTTTGGAGGACTCTATCAGGTTGCTATTGGATTACTGTTATGACGCAGAGTTTATATCTAGATGTCAACGGATGAGGATCTAGGCATCTAACAAAAACTGGACAGCAAAGTGCCTTCGTCTGTGGGGGAAAAACAGATCTCCAAGTCCCTTTTGCCTTCTCACCCATGAATGCTATCGAAGCCTGAAAGGAGCAAAACAAGGGGCAAAAGTGCGCTTGACTGCGGTACGGAAATTTGTAATATACTATTGATGAACTCGCACCATGGACGGGTATTGACAAGGGTTTTAACGGCGAACTGCTATTACCTGCGGATGGCAGAAAATCAGAGACTTGCTTGCATGTGAACCTCAGTAAAAAATGGAGGTCAAACCGCCATCCCGTCTGTTTCACGTTGATGCTTGCGTTTCACTTTAGTACCGCTAACATGGAAAGAAGGGAGGTGCACAACGCTCTCTGCTTTCGTTCAACATCCCATTTAGTAGTAATGAACGCCTCTCCAATTGGGCTTTGGCCATGACAAGAAGAGATGGTAGAGAATGATGAAATCTTTGGCAAGGGAACATGATCTCAAGCTTGATCATGGATCAAAGGGTTTTGCTGCCCCCCCTTCTCCAATCAATTAGCACTCAAGTCCCAAGTTTTCTCGCCTGATTAGTTGCAAAAGCCGTTTCAGGATATCAATCATATCGTGATGACTGTATGGCAGCAGAAATCGATATTGGGTTTTCGAAAGTCTTCTTTGTTTGATCCTTGAAGGGACATAGTTCTCTCAAATGCCAATGAAAGTATAAATCTTCCTTCTGCCTCGATGATCGCTCTGATCACGGCTTGCGGAAACCTAGTGGCCGGAGCTTAAAATTGTGAGCCTCGGAACTTATAATCGACGGGGATTTGAGTATGTGAAAACTCCACCACTTGTCCCGAATAGTCCATGTAGACGAATGGATGGCGGGGGATAATAACATCGATATTATTGCTATTCTTCGGGATTCCAGTGATCACAGCACGAATGGCAGCGTAGGGGAGTGAAGCAACAAGGGCAGATGACCGTTTTTCATCGTATTTCGCAGCCGTACTGTCACCCTGCTATATGTTATATTTCCCCCACATGGGTTGTAACGTGCTGTACAAGTATCAGGTCGTGTTTTCTTTTCTTCAGGAGTGCAAGCATCACTGCATCGGGCCGGGATGTATCTCTTCTTGTGGTTCTTCTCTTTTTTGAACCTTGCACGCTGCACACTGCTAGCCCTGGTCCCGGTTGGGCCGCTGCAAGTCAACTCCCGCAAATGCCGACTAACTAGTGCTGCATGGAGTAATTTACGAAAGCGCGTCCGCAAACAAATAACTAGCCAAACTGATATACTGGTTGGGTCGAGCCTTGTATGGCAGCCAGCCAGCCAGCCAGCGGATTGTTTGCTTCTCAATGGTGATCATTCAACATTCCTGAACCTTCGTGATCTGTTTTCGGAGAAGGTGATCAGCCGAATCACTCCGGGGGTGGACGATCTGCAACGCCGTCACTGTTAGAAAATCCGCTGTTCGGAGTGATGACCAGAAGAACCCCCATCTTTCAATGATCGACGTGTGAAGGAACAAAAAAAGAATGAACAAATAAATAATAGAATCAGACTCAGGGTCGGAGACATCGAACCGAATGTCTCCAGCATAACGTGTCGGTGTCCACATTGCGCTGATGAATTCCTGGTCGACAATGATCCTGAGATTGTCAGCGGACTGATCACTGAGCAGCTATTGTTTTTCCAATTAAGTGAGCCGACTGAGAGAAGGATGTGGGCATCTCGCCTTTGAAACCCGGAATGGCGGTTGGCAACCCGATTCTATTATGTTATCTCTCTACAACCTCTCTTAAGCTTGTGGGAGAGTCGCTATTCAATACGGGGAAAAAGGCACATCTGACGAGCAAGGAGGAAAGAAGATTAACTAAAGATTAGATACGAAACTAATCCACCCCCATTCTCTCTTAATCAGGACTCAATTTTCATGTCTTTCTTCTCACGACATCGGGATTTTCCTTAACCATCTGCAAGTGCTCGACCTTCTTACAGATTACTATTTTACCCCCGAATCTTCGGTATTCCATTTCCTTTGCAACATCGGGGTTCTACTGGGTTGGATGAGAGCCATTCGCCATAATATCAGTTGTGATTGCTGCGAGTATCATGACGAGCGCGCTTTGCCGGTGAACGGTTGGTATTCTCGGTATCAGGCCCGCGGGTAGAGCGTGTCTTTGTGATCTGTTATTTTTTTCGGCTCGGGGAATTCACAGTCAGTCTCAAATCTATCTTTAAAAATAACAAATAAAAATTTAAGTCTAGCTAGACTTCATTATGATCGAAATAAAAGCCTTAGGGCACCCACAAATCTCGGTCGAAGTTCCCTCAACCCACTTTCCAGCATCAGCTTTAGCTGGCCGCAGCGTTTCCTCGCCTTTTCCAAGTCATTTCGATACTTTTGAGTGTTCCGGTAAAGATCAGCCAGCTCCTTTTTTTCCTTCTCAATTTGGCTCAGCAGGTGGCCATCATGAGTCCCTTCAGCAACTCGTGTTGCATCGTGTATGGCAACTTCCTTCAGTTGGATTCGCTCCAGGATCTCAGTGCACTTGTTGCTACACAGACAAGTCTGCTTATGAAATTTCTCGATATTGGCCATCGCCCAATCCTCGAACTCCGCATACTGTTTTGCCTTGATGTCAGCGTCAGGCTGATTTCTCTCGCGTCGAGGAGGTTCGCCGGCCATTTTTTTCTTTTTATTTTCGTGCTGTATATTTCTTAGTTCTGTTTTGATTTCTTTTTTTGAACAGCTGCGACTGAAAGATTCGGGGTACTAACAGAGAGGGAACTGGAGAGTTGACCAGTATAACAAAAATGTCCACAGGAAGGATCGCGGAAACCTGAAGGCAGGAGGGTTGCTAAATGGATGTAAGATTTCGGTGTGGGCTTCAGCACCCAAGAAATATATTGTTACCCTCTCCAAAACGATTCATAGCAGGGGCTGGCCAGTGTTATTCACCCTGAAGCATTGTGTTAACATTTCTGTTTGCCGCTCTTCTGAGACATCCTTCGTAGGACCTGTTTGCTTTAGAAAGTATCAGTGTATGATATCCTTCCTACAAGTCCAAATATTGCATGTCTTGCTTGAAAACAAAGGGATTTTCTATGTGAAAAACAATGAAGAGTATCTACGATTGAATATCAGCGCATTCTCTTCAGAATAAGCTATTACAATGCCGGGTGGGTGATGCTTTATTCACCTCCTTAGATGACAGGGGCAAATCAGTCTTTCGTTGACATATCTCAGACCACCTGCCAGCACACGGAGTGATCAACCTTAATCCTTTGATCCATGGGATAGCTCTCCATATTGGAATGAAGGATCCATCTAGAACGACAACCTGCCACTTCATCTCCAGCGAGTCCTAGGTATTTCCCAACAATCCAATACCGACCAGCCAAACCAGGGGAACACTCTATCCATTCGAATCGATCCCCTGACGCTTGATCCCCATGGAGTTTCGGGAGAAGCATGACCATCTGACTGACGATCTATGAGATAGTCATTGGAGGTGTATAGAGAGTATTGACCTTCCCTCTAGCATCCTATGGCATTGTCCCCAGGCTTTGTCTTGACAAAGTTTTGATTTCTTGAACTGCTGACCTATGACAACAGCACCTTGACCAGATTGGCGACGGGAGTGCTTTGCTTCAAATATGCAAACTGGTACTTACTCCATTCTGCATTCAGAATTTGAACACATACCCGATTCCTAGCAGAGACAACGAGGGGATGACGCTGCCCAACCTGGGAAGCGGGTGAAGAAAAATTTTTTGGGGTTGGGACACAGCATCAAAACAGCAACAGAAACTGCCATCATGGAGCCTCGCAAGTACGAGGCCTTTCCATACCTGCGCGAGTTCAGTTATGTGATGGCTGAGCTGTCGACCCTCTACTGGTCCTACCGACCGAACGTGTTCTTTTGACGGATTGGGAAGAGCTATAATATATCAGCCAAATGCTTGATCCGCTCATATCTTATTGAACTGGCCTTCTTCAAGAAGTTCAAGTTCCTTTGCAGTCGGTCTATCCTTCACGTCAAAGATTCATGATATTCGTGACAAACTCTCTATCTTCATTTACGATCTCCAGTAAGAAGTAATTCTAATTCCCGGGAAGATTCATCGCTCAACGTGAGGGATGACAATGCCCAATGTCTACTCACTCACAATATCATATACGATGTTTGATAGGGTCTAATCTCGTGGTATTATAGAGTTTCGTATTTGGAAAACTTGAGGCCATTGAGAAGAGGCGAAGGCATTCGGAATAGGCAGAAACAGAACATGTAGAATTTAGCCTGGACAAAGTTCATATCGATCAGCAAGAATCGTGCCTTAGCTTGGTGCTCGGGGATTCTATTTCTCTAAACATTCCCTAAAATCGAAGCTTGCGCTGCGAATACGAGAATATACCCATATTTAGGCAGTAGTCGCTTAGTAATTTTGCAATCAACGCTACTCAGGAGACACAATATATATATCACAGGTACGAAGTAGCAGAAACCATGAACAACTCTGGTTCCCCCTTTGACTTCTATGGTGCCTTCCCCAGCCATGAGTGACAATCAAGCATATGCAACCGAGATAGCCCGATGGCGAGTAAAGTCCGGATTCTGGCCCCTCGGCGATCTGATAGCGAGCACAGTGGAGGTCCTTGAATATGACAAGAATATAACTTCCAAAGAGGCAAAGAGCCTGGCACGTCAGATCGTCATCCCGCTCTGGAACCAACAGCTCGCCGCTCAGCAATCGTGGCCCCAGGACGAAAGGACCATCGCAGAAAAATTCGCTGCAGCATTCGAATCCCTCGACAAAAACCACAGAATACCAGCTCGCATGAACTTCACCTGTTGCCGTACATGCGGTGTCAGCGAGATTGGCATGGATCGAGACGAGGAGGACGCAGTTGGTTATGCGTTTTTCCACGAGCAAACGACCCAATGTTTCGTCCAATACCCCGGAGCAACAGTCATGGTTTATTATGGCACGTTTCCGGGACGGGGGGCGGAGTGTCTGGATGTCGCCAATACAGTGGTGCGGGCCCTGGAAAGGGAGGGACTGAGCGTGAAATGGAGTGGGGACACGGCTAAAGCCATCGAAGTCGATTGTGACGAATGGAGAAAACGACTAATCGAGGAGGAAGACGATTTGAGTTATTACTATGATGAGTACGAGGAAGGGGAAGACGAAAAATAAGAGATATAAGTTCTGAAACCAGATGGCCTTGGTGAAGATGAACTGGGCGGGATTATGGGAAGACCTTTTATTCTCAGTCGATATGAGTACATACAACACTAAACGACATTTTCATTGTTAGCCATGCTTTCCGCACAACAGGGAGCTGTACTCACTTCTACTTCCTTTGTTTTTTTAATTCTGTCCTAGCCTTTCTCTGCATCGCGCATGTATTATGCATTTCCTATCCTTATCCGACCCCTTGCATGATTAATTGAGGTTAACTGTGGGGTTTGAAAGCTCTCCATATCAATCCGGTAGAATTGGACTTTTGACCCCACTAGGCTCAAAGGAGAAATCCCCTATCAACACAGTCTTCAGTTCACAATTTTCATGCCTTTTGGAAATCTAAAAAATCCCAAGTGAAGCACACACAAATCTATTATATTGCTTCCCATCTCGGCAATCCAATGCGGTAATTATAATAATTTAGATTAGAGAGCAGAGTAAATCGACCGTGGAAAGCCCACGAACGTCAAAGAAAAACACAACGGCCCCTTTCCTCGGGCGAAGAAGAGTGCAATCGAGGCATCCTTCGATTACTGAAGTAATTTGAGAAACAGCGAGAACAAGTTGGGGGAATGAGATGGGTTTCTTCGCCGATTTTGTTAACAAGTTCAATCCGCATTTTGCGTCTGTCAATAAATACTGCTGTATTTCTCCCTGCCATCATATTTCCCAAGCCAATGATCAAAAATCGAGCAGTTGCATGTCCCAAAATAAACTCACATTTCTCAGGGATAAAGATATTTGTTTCCCGTTCAGTCGGAAAATGAATCCAACGGGATTCATCCGTAGTGCCCTTAATTCGGCGGAGTGGATGCTCATCACATCGTCTCGAAAATCCAAGGGGTAATTTGTAAGACAGGATCTCACGCATTTCGTTTTCATTTTTGCGCGTGTTGTCTGATTAGATTAGTTATGGGCATGCGACATGTATCTTTGGGGTTGTCTGACCTATCTTGCGTCCTTATATTACTTATTTGAGATATAATATGAGCAAAAAGCAATACTATATTTGAAATAGACTGGAAATAGGACCACGTCCATTTTAATCACCTTGAGAAGTGCGAAGAAGGGTTGGTATAAGACTGAAGAATGTAAATATTGCTGTACTGCGTTATCCTTCGGTAGAGTTTTGGAAGATGATAGTTGCTAGGAGATAATTCGCGACGTAAAAGTGCAACTGTTTGATCCACTATTGGACAGCCAGCCGGTCAGTAAAATAGATATAGCCCTGAGTGATATACACACACCTAACGACAGTTTCCGCCTCTCTTCCCCTGAGTGTATATCATTTTTACACTTTCTTGAGCAGCAATCACGGCACGTCTATTCATCCAGCGCGTAGCATACGTTGGGTTTGTTGCCCCTATTCATAACACGGAGAGAGCCTCACATATCCGCTTAACATACCCCTATCCATTCAACTCACCAAGCTGCTTCGGCCCTACGCTTTCTCTTGCTCGTGGGGCCTCCTCAATCCCATCTCCCCTAACCAGGCAGTTCTCATTTCCCCTAGAAAAGCATCGTGTCACGTCCAATTCTCATTTTGTTAACTTCTTCACAGGCCTCTGACTTCCTCTTAACAGGCTTCCCAGCAACCCCTCAACTCCGTCTAAAGACACGAGGGGGTTGTTGATATCTCACTTTCCGGCCTGCGTGCCGAGAAAGTATATCTATCCACATGCATCTATGGGAAATATCATGGAATCATACCATGTAACTTACCATGACCACAGCTCAAGACATCTCCCTCATAGAGCTGATCCGTCAGGTATACCTATGGTAAGTCCAGAACACAAATATCAGTTCTGCAGCCAGGTGGGTTCTTGTGCGAGAAATTTCACGCGAAACTGTATCCGCCCCATTAGAGGAAAGTGGAAAATGTAAAGAGCTAACAGATGCCCTTTTTAAAACGCTGAGCAGAGTCATGCAGGGAGACTCCGTTTAGAGGCAGATGTAGAACCAGTTGATTTCGAAATGTCTCTCGATATAGAGGAACAGGTAGTCGTCACCAAGAGCAATACTACGCCTTAAGTTGTTTAATATGGAGAATTGCTAACTGCTTGTGTGAGGATGAGATATAGGCGGCTCTGTCTGCGCAGAGAAAGAGAAGTGAAAGGGGCATTAGGGAAGCTAGATATGGCGTTAACGAGGTAATTACTCCTCGTAGTTTACCTTGAGCTGGAGACTCAAGGTAAATTGAAAGGGAGGAGAGATTTGAAAAGAGAAAGAATACTCCTGACAAAAGTAACCGTCAGGAACTCTGTGGTCATCAGGTTTCCCCTGTGGTTTACTGTAATAGCGACCACGGCCCCGATGTACCACTCGACTTTCCCATCTCCCAGAACACGAAAAGGAATAATGAAAACTCGCAACATCTTCGCATACAGGAACAATGCGGGTCTAATCAATCCGGGTCGGAGGTGGAAATAGACTTCAGGCGCTGCACGCATGAAGACGAACCATGCGAACCCACACAAAGCTATACGCATATCCACACCGGAGATCGAATATTAACACTTAGGATACCATATTTAGGCCCAGTAGGCTGGACTGTGCCTGCCCGCGACGGTCCACAGGCGACCAGACCATTCCTCATTTACCAGGATCCCACAGCTGGCTACCAATCTCCGCTCCTGCCAGCAGAAGCAAGAAAACCGGCTGATGAACACGTCCATCTACTGGCCAGCGATGACAAGGAGAACGTAGCCGTGGATATGGACGAGAATGAGGAAGTGGAGGATATACCCGAGCAAGATGTTTACGTGCAGGATAATATGGTTGCAGAGGCGGAGAATATTGTCGAGCTTGCCGCGATGAATGACGGGTGGAATATATGGACGTTGAGGAACAGGCCACATGAGGGAGAGTATGGGTATGAGTACGGGATTGCGGAGAATGACCACAGGCATGGCTTAGATTTTCAGGCCGGAGAGGGACATAGGTTGCAGCACAACCAACAACAGGAGCATCAACCGGAGATGGAGATCAATGTCGATGTTGGCGGGTCATTGGAGGCGAGTCCGGTTCGGTCTCAGCGGGCGCATTCGAATTCCATTGTTATTGTTAGTCCCCCGCGAAGAGCTGGCCGTTTGGATGAAGGAGATGTTGCGAACGACAGTTTTGTGACATGGGATGGATCTCCCAGGGCAGCGTCCTTGTTTTTCTGAAAGATTTTCGTCAACTCTTATATCTACCCGGCGAGATTACCAGATACTGTGATTTCCGTTCGTTTTCCTGCATTTTATTTCGCATACTATGTACGGAGTTCATCTTTCATTCCGCTTCTCCTTTGCAATCAACAACCATTGCAACCCAGGGCGTCAGGAGTTCTTGGCATGGCTGGATTTGACAACAGAGCGTTCCTGACAGCGGGAAGTAAGCGTATCATCCTTGTCATATTTACATCACATCACCAGCGGGCATCAGCAGGACAAGCGATCTTGCAGGGTTTGTATGCTAGAAATATGCACTCAATCGAATGTAGAAGAACATGACATTTCGCCCTCTGCCCCCAATGGACAGAGTTACAGTGTGACGCAACCTTGGAACTGTCGCATCTGGAAGCCCCAAGCGACAATAGCTAAATGCGAGGAAGGATCCTTGGTGTTCAACACAGCATCTGAGATACCCATATCCTCACTCCATAGGTAGGCCGCGGCATCAACTGCAGATGGACACCAATAACCGCCCCGTTGCCCGCGCCAGTTGCCGTGTGTTCTCTGGCCCTTGTTCTATACACATGGTTCCCTCGGCCGCAAATGCACTGACTGTCCTTGCCAATCCCGCTTTGCTAGGTTCACAGAACACGACGTTAGGTTCTTGCCTGAATTATTTTAGTTAACTACGCGGTATGCAATCGAGGCTAGTATAAAGAAGCCACTTCGCTTTCAATTATTCGTTCATCCCCATTTGGTCTTGTGCGATCTTGTTTTTTTTTTCTCCTCTCTTTAATCACAGGGTTTTGGGGCAAATCTGGTTTTCTATATATTTTCTATTCTAGAATTTGGAGGGAAAGAAAGGTAGAAAGGGGTGGGAGAGAAAAGAAAGGAAAAAAAAAAAAAAAGGAGGAGGAGGGGGGCTGTTACACAGGGATGCGTATGCATGGATGTATGCATGACACACTCGATATGTGTGTGCCTTCGGGTTCCTGCATGGATAATGGATTCAAAAGGGGATGGCGGCGGATGCCTCGTAGCAAGGGACACTGCAACGAAGAACAAGACAGGCCGAATCGGCGTATGAAACGTAAATATATAAAGGGTATGCAAGTCAGCTTATTTCATGATCCCCACCTAACAAAACAACTGACCCGATATATATATATATACGCGGTATAAGAGTTGGAAATTGTATTATTTCTCTAATCCAAGGTTGGATGCCAACGACCCGACACTCACCGACTACGAACCAAAATCAAACTAAAATAATTGAATTCCGAAGGGGGAAAAGAAAAAAGAGGTAAAAAAAACCGAAACGAGGACCGAAACGAGGACCGAAGGGGAAAAGAAGAGGTTTCTCCCATTGATATCCGAACAAGCGAAGGGTATTTCAAATCGACAAAATAATCACTCATATCAATAGCATCATCCCCCCATACGTCTTCCATCAAACTTTCACAAAATAAGTAAGTCTCCAGAACCGTGCTCATACCACCAATTAATGCCATTATGATTAATCGTATCATCAGACAAACAATACGTCGTAGCTATGCAAGGCTACCTATTATTACCACAAACCAGAGCTCTCAACCCACTACATCGCATGCGATGTTGTGATTACCCCAAGCCGACACGGAAAACCAAAAGTCGAAAGGATTTTAGGAAAGGGCTACACAAAAACAAGAAAAACAGAGAGGAAAATCAATAATAAATCGGTTCCTGATAAATCGGCGGCATCCCTTTCTCCTCATTCCACGTAATCTTATTATTCTTCTCATCAATCGTTGCATCCTCGTCGGAAATCGCAATCACCTTGGACGTATGCGCCACCTCCTGCCTACTCACTCCACCAACATCGCGTGGAATCCACAACAACGGCGGCTTCGAGCCGACAGAAGGGTGGAAATAAGCATTCTGCTCAACCTCAGGAGTATATGAGATATCGGCAAAATCCTTGGGGACGAGCTTGCGCAGAGTTTCGTAGTTGGCGTATCTGTCTGGGCGCAGAAATTTGCCGACAATGCCATGGGGCTTTGTTGGGAGGAGGTCGGTGGGGTTTGATATGCCCTTTTCGGCATCAGTGCCATCCGCGCCATTGCTGGAAGGACCAACAGCGGGCTTTTCAGCAGCATCACTGCTGTCTTGAGGAGAGCCATCTTTGGCGAGCAGGTCCTGCTCTTCTGCTTCGAGGTTGCGTGGCAGATACTCGAGCAATGGGGTGACAGCAGCATTAAGCGAAACATGGTAGATAACTACAAAGACAAGGAAGATGATCATGAGGATTAAGGGCCCGAGGGCGCTCCTGTCACTGCCAGTGCTGATGGCAAAGAGGCCCACTAGACAGAGAATGAGGAGGTAGCAGCCTACGGCTGTTTGTTGGAGGGCACGAGGGTAAATCATGCCTTTGGTGTCGATGTTGCTATTGGTGACGTACAGCATGTTATAACGATATGCGACATAGAAGAGGAACAATCCAATAGTGGCGAAGCCAAGGACCAAGGGGGCAATGGCACCATAGGTAATGGCTAAAGAGGGGGAGTAATCAGTCTGATTATGGTTTGATAACGATGAGATTGGGATGGGTTTACATACCAATCACGCAAAGGTTGGTCAGAACCGGCAAGACGGTCCCCCAGCCCAAACCGGAGAGCGTTGACCACCGTTTGTACATCTTTCGGGGAGTGTTATCCAAAAGCGTGCCCAAGATTTTTGATACAATCAAGCCAGCGATCTGGAGCAGAGCACCCGCACTGAAAGTTAGACCCTGGAGAATGAAGTACGCAATATAGAAGTTAGATGCTTTGGGGATGTTCTGAGCCAGCAATGTCGCTGCACTTTCAGGTTTTTGGATCACTTTCTGTACAACACTTGAGGCTGCGGAAGATAATGTTGTAACAAGGAACACCTGGACAACCTGGAATCCAAAATAGAAGTTTTGGGTTCTGAGCTCTGCAGCAGCTGTAGTTGGACAGCCACCAAGTCGTGCCATTACTACAAATCGAAACAATTAGCGTGGAGAATAGTTAAGTGATTGGAGAGCACTTACATCGAAGTATGATGGGCAGCAGAGCCATCAGAACTGCAAGGAGCACAGCGGGGAGCAGGGAAGTGATAAGACCCAGAATGACCGGAGGACAGTCATTAATAAATCCGAGAAAAGGGACTTTTTCTGTTAAGAAGTTGATGTTTGAGATGGCACCCACAACAGCAACTGGAATCGCCCAGAAGATGATCAGGGTTACAACAGCACCAATGGTGGCAGCATTTCTGATAATAAGCTCCCACCACTTAATCCTCAAATTTGACCAGATGATATCGTTTGGATTGAGACCAATGTATCGTGGAGCCATGTGGAGGGGTTGGTTATGAGCAACTGATGCCGGAGTTAGTAAGTGTACCCAATGATTTTGATGTCGCAAGTTAACAAGTTAACATACCCATTTGATACGCTGCCTGCGCCTCATTTTGAGTGTAGAATTCTACAAATACCGCGGATATTTTCTTAGCATCACCAGCACGATGTTTTGCCTGGAGGGCTTCTATTTCTGGATTCAAACGCTCGATCTCAGTCCTCGACCAGTTGATGGTATCAACCTTTTTGCCAATAAGAGGTTTGAGTTTATGGGTAGGCCTATTGGAAGGTTTTATCCAGCGAGCGGCCACTGAGCCTGATTCTGCCTGAGCCTCATCACCAGTAAGATTATCTGTGTCGTGGTTTTCCTCATCGGCTGGCTTAGACTTGAGAGACTTGATGCGTGCACCATTGGCCAATTTGATCAGTTTTGTTTCAGCAGCCTCAAGGCGGAATGCAGTTTTGTCTCTTTCCTCAACCAAGTCCGCCAATTCCTTGGTGTCAGTTGGGATCCAAACATTTTTCACTTTATCATCGCCATAAATACGTCGAATCTTTGCTTCATTCAAGTATTCTTGGGGGACGGAGGTGAAGAGAACAGTCTTTGAAGAGATACGGGAAGCATAAAGTGGAGAGAAGAAGTATGCTTGGCGCAGGTTGATGAAAAAGAGCATTTCCCGTGTGATCATGAAGAAAACAAAACCTTTGGGTGAGTGGTATGCGATTTTAGTACTTTGCTTACTTTCCGGTCATTGGAGGGCAGGTGGGACCTACCAACGAAGATCCAAGTCACAAAGGTATGGGCATAGAATCTATTCAGGTTGTTTTTCACGTTTCCAAAAGTGAGGATATCCAATTGTTTTAGCCCCCCACCGCCAGTGGCATTGACGGGAAATAGAACTGGCCAGGTGATAAAACAGCCCACCAGGCAAATTGTTGTCGCAATCTTCAGGTATCGAAGGAGGAGATATGCATCTAGAGAGTGGTGTCGCAATACGTATTCATCAGACAACTTGGCCATCGACGTTATCCAACCAAAGATCCCCGGTGATGGCGCTGGAGTGCGCTCCTGCTCTCGCAGCGAGCCAAGATAGGTTCTCGGCGCATATTGGCGACGTTGACTTTGACGGAGAATGATGAAGAGCAGTACCATGGCCCCGGAGATGATGAGGGTAGGGATCAAGGTCGAGACCAGCCCGGAGGCCGAGTTGGAGGTACTCTTAGGGTCCTCGTCCTGGGGTGTGAGCACATGTTAGATTCAAGTCTTACATCTCGAAGCAAACATGCCCGCCACGTTCAAGAAGAGAGCTTGAGGGTTATAACCATTGCTTACCATGGCTGCGGTTTCTGCTACAGCTGCTCCTAAGTTCCGCTGTCAAGCTGCACAATGCAGGTCGATGGGGAGCCGCCAACTGCAGCAATGACAGCAAAGACGGACTCAAGTTAACGATATATATCGCCAGCCTTCGAGCGCACAATGGAATCAGATAAAAAGGGGAAAAAAGGGAGAAAAGCCCGGAAGAGGGGAACAGTGTTGAATTTCAATTTATGTACAGTTCACAAGTAGGAGAGGAAGGAAAATGAAAATAAAAGAGCGACGATACAAAGGAGCAAGCCAGGCAAGCCACGATGAAGTGGACAAACACGCGATTTGCTGCCGCAAGCTTTCACTGCTCGATGACAAGCCACAGCTCTATCTGATGCAAGAGGCAGGAAAATAGTTGTTGTTCCGCCACCAAGCTGGGAATCCATCACAGCAAGTCAATGCCGGGTTTGGCATTGGCCATGCTCACTGATTGTTTGGTTTTCTTTCTTTTTCTTTCTTTTTTTTAGAGCTCACGGAGCCGAGGACTCCCTCGACGATCAGGATCCACTCAGAGGCAAAAGATATCATCATTCTGCACGTATCTGTACTAAGTATCGTCTGGATTGTTCACTTCCTACCCCGGTTCCTTCGGTCTCCATCGGCTTTTACCCTTCTCAGAGCCGTGGCATTACCATTTGTGTTGCTTGTCACCTCTCCCGTTGTTTTGCGTACTCCGTAGTATCGGCAACATTTTCTCAGAGCTAGCGAGCCAGGCATGCGAAGTGGCGAGTTTTGCTCCTGAGCTATCCAAGGTTTTGCCCAGAGTTATAGCTTCCAATGGCAGACCATGGGCGTGATGCTCATCACGTCAAATAGTCAGAATGCCATACGAGATCCTCGATCGCGGGGGCTTTGGAAGAATCACTGCCCAAAGGGGCAGCCAGTTCTCTGAAGGGGAGACTCTGCTGCCAATAAACATGCGCGAAATCCCGAAGGAATGGACTATCACGTTTAAACTTCGAGCTAAGGGGCGCGGAGCCCTGGACAGTGGATATATTGAGTGGAGCTTTCTGTGGACACCGGGCACCTTGTCTGGCGGCCCTTGACTACCCAAGCTGGGTTTTCGTTGTGCTGGCCTCGCCACCAGAAAACAGGAAACGGCGAACGGGTGACAGAGCCATGGCGAGCTATGTTATTTTTCCTGTCACTTCCAGTAGTTTACATTTCAGGCATTTTATTTTTCACGACCTTCCACGGCGGTTTGTACTATGTATGTCGCCTTAAAATTGAACAGGCCCAAAATTGTAAAAATTGTGATTGCTCAAAAATGTGGTTACTGGTTAGGCCCCGCGCAAAATCGCATCGCTGATCGAGGAGTTGCTAAACCAGGCTAAATTATTATTCAATGACTTCTGCGTCAGATGCCATTCAAAGTTGGCCCTGCCAAGATGGCTGGCTGATCGTTCCTCGGCTGATGCGATTTTGCTGACATGGATTCTAGGACTCACTAACTGGCTAAGTATTTGGTATTTTCATCAACATGAAATGCAGCAAGGTGGACAAATATGAACCGGACCATTTCCATTACGTCTGGCTGAGATTAGGCATCATTCCTCCAAAACAAGCCCAAATCGCCCAGGCGGGTTTGTGATTGATCAGATATAACAACAGTACTATTTCTCGTGTCCCCAGAACCTCCAAGTTCGCAGGGGGAAATGGAATTCGGATAGCTATGGGCAACGTACACCATTCCATTGCTCCTCATGAATCAATTTCGCTTCAATTTCACTGGGATGTCTGTCTAACTACTACTTTATGCGTCGCAGCTCACGAAATCTTCCCATGTCTCGGCTCCTGGCACCCTCGAATCCCCTACGGTCCCGTGCCCGCTTCTTCCCAAATCCGTTCCATCACGGTTTCAGCAAAAGGCCAGGGATTCATGTGTTGCCATTCACTTCCATGCAAGTGCCTTTCGATGGGTTTTGTGACTCTTGATCCCAAGGCAGAAGGAGAGGAAGAGGGAGTCCTATCATGAATTTCCGAAGGTTATTCTTATTAATACCGTTGCCATTGGTGAAGCCTCTCGCTTGAGATAGTGGTGTTTGTAGCGCAAAGGTACAACAAGTTCGTGTCCGCATGTCATCAATGGGGTTGACTTTGTCCGGATTTCCTGTGATTATTTCTCGCGACGCTTGCACACATTGCTACCGCCTAATTATGGATTAGACACCAATCGAAAAATCCACATCGATACCCCCTTTTATGAAATCCCTCGGGGCTCTATGATCTGTTGCCCGAAAAATAAAGTTCCTGAGGACCCTACTTTATACCTTGCCCGTGGCCGAATTTGAAGACGGCATGGTCAGCCAGCCGGTCACCGGAAAACTGCCCCACCAATCTTATTCTTGGGTTTATGTCTGCAAATGTAGCGATGACTGCTCTCTGCAACTTTGACGAAAGCCGCGTTGACATCATGGCTGGCCACGCTGGGAGGCGTGGAGTAGGGTTGCGAGGCGGATATTTAGGTAAGTGGCGCCACAATGAGGGAGAGGATTGCCATTCTCATGTTCCTGTGTCCAGGTATGGGATGTTGGACTGGTTGTGTTCAAGATTCAGGATATCCTCAAAGGAAACATTTTTTCTACAAAGAAAAGTAGCGTATTGAATGATGAATAGCACCTAAATAACTAGTCAAGACTGTCTTCCTCCTCAGGCCCTCATTTCGGAGTTCATTAAAATGTGACTAGATGTGTGTCCTTTGTCTACAACCTGTTTGAAAGGATCTATCCCAATCCCAGACCAAGATCTGTTGTGCATGCATTCTGATTGTGACTAGTGATTGAGCAGCATATCTAAAAAAGTTGGAGACAACTTCTCTATAAAATTTAGTATCTTTCATTGTTCCTTTCCTTTTCTATCGCATTGGATACAAGACTGTGAGCAGTGGCTTTGGGTCAGTGGGTGATATCAAACCTTCAAACGCTGGGCGGGGAAGATCCTCGTTTTGTCACACATCAGTGCTGAGAACTCGTGGTATAATTATCATTGTTACTGGTGCAACAGAACTGTGGCGGAATTTTTTTCCCCGCTCGATGACGCAGCTCTTGTGTTTATTGAGACGACAATTGGGTGAGATTTCGGCGAACCTTTGGGAGGTTTCTGTACGACGCTTCACAAGCAACTCGTAGTGGGATCTATGCGAAATGTTATTATCCATCTGCATGTCACCCGTGCTGTCAATTGGGGCTTCATGTAGGATAGCTCTCGTATTTAAGATTGAGAGGGAGATGGGGATTGAAAATATTCCCCAACACAGGAGTGACTCTTGCTCAACTTTTCCAAAACTGTCATCTTCAGCCATGGGCAGTTAGTTGAACTTTTGTCGACTTTGTAAAGGGTTGACACAGTAGTTTCACCGTCCCATGCAATCTTCATATCTTTCTCTCGGGTGGGCTGCCTCCACCACGAGGTAAGGTGTGGTATCATTTCGCCTTTTGGATAAACTCTTGCTCGCCTCTCTTCAGTCATTCTAGGCATGCTCTCCTACCAAGCAGGCTCCTATTTCACATAGATTTTAGTAAGAAAGGAGACAATACTATCCTCTCAGTCAAGCTACTAAAAAGCTTATTTTCACCGGAATCGAATCGCCAGTACGGTTCTATTATCCAAACAACACATAGGACTGACCGTACAAAAATTTAGATATGTGATGTATCTTTGCGCGTCTGGTTTCCTGGAGGGATTGATTTTTTGGGTCCAGGAGTTCTCATAGTCGGAGTGAGTGTGAACTCGTAACCCGTGAAACTCCCTTTTGGACCCTTTTGGGGAGCTGGTCGTATACATGCCAAATGCTTCCTAGGTCTTAGGGGCGCAGTGATGGGTATTCATTTGCCTGGCATCTGCTATGTGAAAGACCGTATCTACATTCACTGTCTACAGGGGCAGGTGAAAGGCAACCCAGCAGTAGCTACTTCGTTTGGCACTTGCATAGCATCCCCAAAACCTCCTGAAACGTTTATACATTGGCTAGGCATTTAGGCCCGTGCTATTTGGTTAAGGTGCGTCGAGAGTGTTGCACTGCATGCAATTGACAACGCATACCGATCATTGTGGCAATGGTGAGGATGGCGATGAGGAATTGAGACAGATAATAGCGAGAATATTGCTAGTCGCTTGAGCTCTAAAATGGCGACGTGTGATATATTTTCCGGCGCGGGCTTTGTATCCCGGGTACCACTGTTTTTCTTTTCTTTCTTTCTTTCTTTCTTTTTTTTTTTGGGACCATAGGGTGCATGTAATCTTTAAGGGTATATTGAGTTGGGAAGTTGTTTGAGGGGGTGTAGGATATTTCTATTATTAAGGGTGAGTAAGTCTCGCGGGATCGAGAGGAGTACGTGTGGAAAGGTGTATCTATGCGTGTAGCCGTCAAATATGTTGAAAATTTATATGTGGAGATAGTACAAGGATAATTGTTTTGATTTGGTTGCAGTGTTGGATTCATTGCACGAGAGTCAATATTAATACTAATCCAAACCTATCCGATGCCAGATCTGCTTTGGCTTGAGTAGCGAGACACATGTGAATGAAATATCTAGGTATAGCGGAGAAGGGGATAAAGGGTTTCAGAAGAAAAAAATCGGCAGTTTGAAGATATCTGAAGTAGAAGAGAGACTTTGGAGTCTAATGAACAAGTTAGGTCAAGGGGATATCTGGATATCAAAGTTGCGTGTTCCTCCACGGCACACAGTTGGAATGGCAAGCCCTGGTATGAAGGGATGCCGCCCATGTCCCGTTGCATGTCGTGCTGGTTATTTGGAAAGTTGAGGCCCGCATACATAGCCTGGAGGCCTTCTTTGTTATAAGAGGCATTGACCGAAGCTCAATTGTTTCAATAGATGTGAGCCGAAGTTTCGATACCGTTTGTCGGTGACTAAGGAAATTTCTGTGGGTTTAATCATCGGAGGTCGTCGGCATGTCATTCCATTGCTGGCATTCGGCCTTCGGGTTGAGCAAACTGAAGAATTTGGCGCTCGAATCCCTCGAGTGTGATGTTAAAATCCGCGGATTTTAACATGAGGAAAGAGAGTAATAGCTCAGTGAATTGGAATTGGAGCGGCTGAGGGATTTGCTTGAAGCCCTCCATTATATCGCCCACAAACCAAGCCCGGTCCGGATTTCTCAGGTCGAGGTCACAAATATCCTGCAACAGTAGCCACGAGAATGACTCAACAGGAAAATTTGGTTCGAGATGCTCGTATATGTTTGCCGTGAGGTTGTCAAGGTACCGTATACACCCTTCTGGCGAGTTTCGTTGGTCCCATAGCGCCTTGTTGAGGTAAACTAATGAGGATACACGGCACAGATCGGAAAGTTCGTACCTCAACACCCATACTCGTTCTATTTCGGGCACTTGAGAGGGGTGAGGACCTCCGGATAGGATTGAATGGAGTGGGGTCATATATTCGAATGCAGCTTTTCTTTGAGGTGCGGTGGATGTAAATGGGGGTGTGCTATGGCTGAAGGCCAAAGTCTCCGCGTTGCGAAGAAACGAAAGCAAATGCGAAGCGTGCTTTATGTCAAATGGAAGGTCGCGCTTGAACATCGTTAACCGCGCGTAATGGGTGTAAGTATCCCCCGCAAGTCGTTTCCCTTCAAGACTCCTCAAATTCTGAACTGCTTGGTCCAAATAATGACTCGATTTCTGCCTGCTCCCGTACCTAGCTTCCTGTATAGATAGTGCTGTGAATACCATTGTAGAAACACTATCTCCCAGGCACTGACCTTTCCTGAGGTATGTCGTGAGCAGGTTTTCGGTAGTAGAGATATATGATGAACACTGAGTGTTGTTTTTAATTCGACGCACGGTAGCTAGATAACGAGCTGAATATGTCAATATGCAGGCATGAAACGTCATTGGATGCTGCATCGCTTCTCTAAACAAAGATTTCTTCATGAAATGGTTTTGCCCTGACCAGGAGGTTAACTTCGACATCCAGCAATCCATCAAATGCCGATCTTCGTCATTGAACGACCAGGGCAAAGCATCAAAAGGATCCACTCTGCTGGAAGAAATCGTTCTTTGGGAAGATAACGATCTAGCTGCGTTCTCTAATCTTGGGCATTCTCCAGAAGTAAACCCGCCCGCATGGATTTGCCCAGCTTCAGTTTTCTAAAAAGGGAGGGGGGTTGTTAGAATGCACGATTGATATCGCGCTGTATGAATAAATGAAGGGAATACTACTGAAGCAATTCTAGGGTAACATGATGTTCGATTTTCGTAACATACTTTAGATAATGAAGTTGTTTGCGGTTTTGCGTAATCACCGCCATTGAGCCTTTCTCCTGAAGCTTCTTCATCCAATTTTTTTCTCCATGCGAGATATCGCTGCTGACGGGGCAACTGGAGGGAGGTACTATCAAATAGAGCAGCATTTTTTTCTTTCCTCCGGCTTTGGATGTATTGCTTCATCACATGTGAACGCTTTCCCTTGCTCGACGAACTCTCATTGACGAAGAAAAACTTAGGGCTGGGGGACTGAGCCGGAATACATGCAGTCATCCTTCCCATTGTTGGCAGTGGTTGGGAGTTCGGATCTACGAGAAGTTAGCAACCTAAGCCGTCAGGCTCAAGGCCATTGAAAGATTAGCTGTACCTTGGTTCTTTTCTTTTCCCCGGCAATCGTGGGTCGTCATAATGTATTATTATGATAGTTGAAAATGGAGCACTACTTGTGATGCTAGAAAATTTCCAGCCATCATCACAGGCGCTGGAAAGGCTCCTTCAAACTGAGGTGGTATGGAACTCCAGGGACCGGTATACGAGTAACTTTATAGACTAATAATTTAATTAAAACTGAAAGGAGAGGAATTTGTCGGGGAGGGGCGGGGTTTGCTTCCAGTGCTCAGGTTGAGCGCTGGTTGGTGGTGGGGTGGTGGTTCAAGATTTGAGGAATGCGCGAGGAATTGAGACAGCTTAAGAGTAATGAGGTGGAGGAATGTCTGGCTGTGTCTATAGCAACACGCAAGAGAGTATTCAAATACTGCCACTTAGTTGAAGATAAAACATGAATCCTCAAAAGTTGGACTGAAAAGTTTCTGGTCACCATTCGCTTGTCTTCCGCCTGTGGTGTTTATTGTGACTTGGGAGGAATGCACACAAGCTAAGCTTCGGTCGTGCTGAGCCGGCGCTAATCACGGCCACAATTTGTGCCGTCGATATCATTCACAACGGGTGGCTACAAACTTTGTCGCCAGGGCTGAAAAATCCTAGCTGGTAAGCCCGTATGTCGCCACTAAATTAGTTATGCAGGCTCTGAATTATTCAACGTATAATTTGCAAACATTCTTGCTGTGGCTCAATATGTAGATCGTGAGTATAATCAACAGTTGGAAACTCAACACAACGGGATGATTGCAATAGCTGAAGTTGTCAGCAGCTCGGCAATGTGTCTGCTCGAAGACGCGAGCGGAGTCGTGCGTAGCAGCGAAGAATACGGAGAATGCATTCCCTAATTACCTGATTCGGAAAAGATGAAGCTGGAAAGGTCATTGGCAATCGATGACTAAGCAACTCATTCAAAACCACTTTACGCGTGTCGATCGGTCCGTTGTAATTCCGTGGCGCGTTCGCGACTCCTACGCGTTTCCTCCCACTTGGAACATTTTGTTTGAACATCATTCTCAACGGTCCAAGTGTCCCAATCGCCTTTCTTTACGCACCTGCTCGAGCTCTGGGTTCTTGTCGTATTGGGACCACTTTCAGAGAGCCTCTGTTTTCACACCCCTCGACGGAGCACCCCCTTGATATCAGAATTCCAGTGAGAGCCACCATGTCCAGTCTGTTTGACGCTATTCTGCAGTCCGAATTGGGCTCCAACGCAGGAACTGGGGAAAGACCATTTCCATCATCAGATCAGCCACCCAGCTCCCGGCCTCATCCCCCCTCAGAAAGCAATGGCCAAATGAGCGAGGCGGAGGGGTTCGCGGATGATCAAGTTGTTGGCCCAGGCGGTTCCCTTCCTAGACGTCCAAGACACCCGCTCTACGGGAGAGGTCCCCCACCCGTCCAGGACGTTGCGGGCGAAAAGGTTCAACAAGCTTTTGAAGAATTATTGGAGACACATGTCGAAGAGCCCTCATCCTCAGGCGTGCCTCCGTCGTCCGAAATACTCAGCAACAAATACTATATTGCACAAATTCATGGGTTACAACGATACCAGCTTTCCACTCTCTACGTCGACTTTACACACCTCACCTCCCTTCCAAACCAGATTCTAGCTGATGCCATTGCCAATCAATATTACCGATTCCAGCCTTACCTGACAAAAGCTCTCCACAATCTCATCGCCAAATATGAACCCCAGTATTTTAGAGAGCATCGACAGATAAACAGCACATCATCCCAGGCCGGCACGTCGACCTTAGCCGCCGACAGCACTGAGCCTGACTCATTGGCAGGAAAGACAAGACACCAACAAACAGACAAAGTGTTTTCCCTGGCTTTTTACAATCTACCACTAGTGTCCAGACTACGACAACTCCGAACTGCTCAGATAGGGAAGCTTCTTTCGATATCTGGGACGGTAACTAGAACTTCTGAAGTCCGCCCGGAACTTGCGTTAGGTACTTTCATTTGCGAGAGCTGTAGTACGGCTGTTGAAGAAGTGGAACAAACGTTTAAATATACTGAACCGACACAATGCCCTAATCCAACATGTGGGAATCGTATCGGTTGGCGATTAGATATCCGTCAGAGCACATTCATCGATTGGCAGAAAGTGAAATTGCAGGAATCGTCCCATGAAATACCAACAGGGAGTATGCCACGCACCATGGACATTATTTTACGAGGAGAGATGGTCGATCGAGCCAAAGCTGGAGAGAGGTGTATTTTCACTGGCACACTTATCGTTGTCCCGGATGTTAGCCAGCTAGGACTCCCTGGGGTCCGTCCAGAAGCAACTCGAGACAACGGGAATTTCCGTGGGAGTGATGTCGGTGGGAGTGGAGTGAGTGGCTTGAAATCCCTAGGTGTTCGCGACCTCACCTACCGCCTTGCCTTCGTTGCCTGTATGGTAACTCCCGATCTAACCACCCCCGGCCGTGCCTCTTCCCAGCAACTTAATGGTCAATCACAAAATATCCTTGCATCCTTGAATCAGACCGATCAGCTAGAAACTTATGAAGATGAGGCGCAAGACCACCTTCTGCAAACACTTACGCCTTACGAAGTACAAGATCTTAAAAATTTAGTTCATTCTGAGTACATTTATTCCCGATTAGTGGACTCGATTGCCCCTATGATTTACGGTCATAGAGCTATTAAAAAGGGCCTACTATTACAGTTAATTGGAGGAGTATCCAAAACCACGCAGCAGGAAAATATGCAAATCCGTGGCGACATTAACATATGCATAGTCGGAGATCCTTCCACAAGTAAAAGCCAATTTTTAAAGTAAGACATATGAATACCTTTCTCTAAACTAGACTCTTCTAACATTACGAAAGGTATATCTGTTCATTGAATCCTCGAGCTGTATACACCAGTGGAAAAGCATCTTCCGCCGCTGGTTTAACTGCTTCAGTTGTCAAGGACCCAGAGACTGGTGAATTTACTATTGAAGCTGGCGCTTTGATGCTCGCGGTGAGTTGGCTAACTTTTCCAGAATCCTTGCCCTTTTCTACAATATCGCTGACCCTTAATTCTAGAATGGGGGCGGCATTTGTGCCATTGATGAATTTGACAAGATGGATATTAGCGACCAAGTCGCCATTCACGAAGCAATGGAACAACAGACCATCTCTATTGCTAAAGCCGGCATTCACACCACCCTAAATGCACGCGCAAGTATTCTGGCTGCTGCTAACCCAATTGGTGGACGATACAACCCCAAAGCCACACTCCGGGCAAATCTCAATTTCAGCGCCCCCATCATGAGCCGTTTTGATCTTTTCTTCGTCATCCGCGATGAGCCGAATGAAGCCGTGGATAGAAACCTCGCTGAACATATTGTGAATGTCCATATGAATCGCGACGATGCTGTCGAACCTGACCTCACCACCGAGCAGTTGCAGCGATACATCAGATTTGCTCGAACTTTTCGACCTGTTTTCACTGAAGAAGCCAAGGAGCTGCTCGTGGAGAAATACAAGGAACTCCGTGCCAACGACGCTCAAGGTGGGCTTGGAAGAAGCAGTTATCGAATTACGGTCAGACAGCTAGAGAGTTTGATTCGATTATCTGAGGCGGTTGCGAAGGCCAACTGTGTCGAAGAGATCGTGCCCAGCTTTGTCAAGGAAGCGTTCGACCTCCTCAGGCAGAGCATTGTTACCGTTGAAAAGGATGACGTCGAGGTTGATGATGAAACTGGTGACCAAAATGCCGATAGCGCCTCTGGAATTCGCGATGCGGCACCCCACCAGGATAGAGATGGGGATAGCCCGATGCGTACAGGCGATGATGACGATCATGTCAATGCGCCTCATGTCACAACCCAGCAGCCTCAAACCCAGAAGACGAAGATTACATACGATAAGTATATGCGAATTCTTAACATTCTTGTCCGACGGGTCAACGACGATGAGGCCAATGCAGGGGATGGCGTAGAGCAGGAAGATTTGATAGTTTGGTATCTTGAGCAGATTGAATCGGAGCTGAATAGCGAGGAGGAGATGGAAGCTGAGCGGTCATTAGCTGTTAAAGTCCTCAAGAGGATGGTTAAGGTAAGTTACTTTTGTTTGTTGGGCGCTATTCAGCCCTTGTCCGCTGGTAAACATTAAAACCCAGAAATTTAACTTGGCAATGCAATTCAACAGGACAATATTCTCATGCTCATCCGGGGCGAAGGCCTGGTCGAGTCAGACGACCAACAGCAGCAGCAACAAGAGCAAAGAGTTGTATACGTCTTACATCCTAACTGTGCGGTCGAGGAGATATAAAAATTACCCGCGGTATTGTTTCAGACGTCGATACTTGGGCTACAAATCCCAAAATACTTGTCATATGCAATAATTTCACTGTCTCTCGGTAGTTGTCATTCATATATGAGGCCATGCACGGTGTCTGGTGGTTAGTGGGTTAGGGTTGGGTTTGTAATGGTTTTATAGACGCGCGTTTTAGCCATCATTTTAGCTGTTTGCACATGGTCATTTGTATCACATATTGACTTCTTTTTTTAACTGCCTTTCCTTTTTCGAAAATATGTGTGGGCAATTCAAATTACAAGTTTTCAGGAAGTTCGATTGTGATTTGAAATTTGTTTTTTTGTAGTTTGCGAGATATCTTGGAATTGTTCCAATTTCAACTCGACTCCCTTTCCTCTCCAAATAACATTCAGTCTTCGGCTTGAATCACAAAAGCTAATTTTTTTTGGAGCAGATTGAAAGTAAACAAACGACTTCAATTTGTGTTTTGCCCCTGAATTATTCAGTACCGAGGAGAATTCAAGGTATTCAGCAGTCTGCAACTCAGTAAAGTAAGGAAGAGTGTGTGCCTTCTCCTACTGGAAAGAAACTAGTTGTCGTTCCACCTTGAAAAAAGAAGCAAAAAAACGGAGAATCAGAATTGCTTCCAGCATCACCTGCCAGGGAAGCAGAAAGAAAAGCGAAAGAGAAGAAAAAGAAACTAGGACCCGAAGAGGTCCAATAAAAATATGGCGTTTTTTATCCGAGCCGTAACTAAGCGGATCAGTCCTGGTGAGATATGGAGTGTTGACCACGACCATTTTCAGCTTAAATAATAACCAAAAATCATAAAAGAAAAAAAGAAAAGAGGACGGATAGGAAATCCATCCACAAAGGGAAGACTAGAAACTTCTGAGCGCAGGCGTACGGTTCACTCCATTGAAAATCTTTTGATTTTCACACGTCTCCCCTGGCCTTACGCTTCATGATTCATGGGAATATCAGAGCGAGTCAGGGTCAAGTTGTCAAAATCATTAATGGCCCTTAAAATGTCGGGAACGACAATACCGTCGTTGTTTTCAGCAGATATGGCACCTTCAAAGCACTTGGGAAGATAGAAAACTCGCTCATGGGCAGCTTGGGCAGAGCCCTCAACCTCAGCAATAACGGGAACAGCGCCTTCTGTGGTTTTAGCAAGTTTGCCATCTCCAAGGCCTTTAGGAACCTCGCAAGATTCTCCGCCATTAACAGTTCCACTTCACCAAGTGGTATTTGCGAACGCCTCAGTACTCCCAATACCTTCAATCCCCAAAGCACTCAGAGGCGTAATATGAAAATCCTTGGAACCAGTGTTGCTGGCCGAGCTTTCGCATTTATCGGCCTCAGCATGTCCAGGATCTTTGCCAAATTCGCCATCAAGTACAGTTACCCTTGCTGCTTCACACCTCCGCTCGGCCTCCTCATCTGAAATAAATCTATACCCGGTTTCCGTGCCGTCATCCTGTTCAACACCCAGAACAGTACAGAGACTCGCAAGGGAGTCTCGTGAACTAAGGACTTCAGAGCCCAGCACCCTATCAATATTGTTCGATTTATCCTCTTGTATAAGTTGCAAACGGTCATCGATGCTATTTCGTACTACAACCCTAACAAATTCGACCTTCCTCTTTTGGTTAATACGAAAAAGTCTGAAGAATGCCTGATATATATGGTCAGCATTGCTGTTAAATAAAGATGGGGAGCTGGTAAAGTAATTAAGGTTCAAGTACATACTTGTTGCTCGATGGCTTCGTTCCACCAGAGGTCAACCAAAATGCATTTATTTGCAGCTGTAAGGTCAAGCCCAGTACCCGCTGTTCGGAGAGAGCATACCAAAATACGGATTGCCGGGTCTTTAGAAAATTCTTCGATGCATTTCTCGCGTTGTCGAATCGGCATTTTGCCAGTGAGCTTCGTCGGTAGTGAGTGACAGAAACACGGAATAGATGACCAGAAACAACTAGAGTCCGTGTAAACTTACTGACAGATGACCCCAGCGATTTTCCTGACACATTGAGCCAAGAACGTGGGCCATTCCAAGAAACTGGGTGAATATCACCACTTTCGTTTCAACAGAATTTTTGAACCAGTTTACCAAGCAGGAGCTGATTGCCGTTAATTTTGCTCCTGGCATTAGATGGCCAACACAAGCCACCCAATTCATATCTTCGTTTGAGCTCTCAACCTCAGAGCCCTTTCTATCGGTCTTTTTTCTTGACTTTTTGTGAGAATTTACCATACCAACTGGATTTCCTTCCAGCTGGGGTGTGGCGCTAGTGATGAGCGACTCTAAAGACCTACAGGATACAGTTTGGTCGACAGCCGCGCCACAATCGCAAACAGATCCAGCCTGAATCACAGCCTCACTAGCGCAATCTTGACAGTAAATATGCAGGCATGATGTGAGAAGGACTGAAGTTGGTTCACGGTGGCATTTGATGCATTCTTGGGACACATTCTGCTCTCTGCAGGGAGATTTGAGGGCATCAACGAAACCATTGACTAAGTTTTGCAGCTTTGACGCTTCAGGACTTTTTGAGGCTTCGGGACTCGGCTGATATGCTGGAGGGGTCGATGGCTGTTCTTGACTATTTCCCCGCAACTTTTGCTGTCGAATGAGATCTTCAAGTAAACTGCAAATAGCCGCATCATTTCGTTCTAGGCATTCACCCAGGCTACTTCGAAGCGACTGGAGCTCACGAATGGTTAGGAAGTCTTCAAGCACACTCTGCGTTAAAAGTAGGTGGCTCGTAAACATCCGAAGCCGTAGAAGCAAGGTAATATGGCTTTGATACTCCTTTTTGAGTTTTCCGGGGGAATTCGAAAACACTGCTTTTTATAAGTACTTATCATTTTGTTGACAATCAATAAGAGGAAAGATCACCGTGATGTTGTTCCAAGTACATCGCAATAACCTTCTGGTAGAGCTCCCTTTCTGTCGCACTGAAACTGATCACAATGTCTCTACCCATTACATCCGGAAGTTTGAGAATTGGAACACCAAACAATGTTTCTTCATGACCACGCTTCAGCATACATGTGCGCAGCAGAGTGTTAATCCACGGGTCCTCGGTGTCATGGTACTAGAAATAATCCAAGTTAGAATGGTTTGGATGGAAGGAATTATGAACAAACGGACCTTGAGTTGTTCCTTCACGAACTTTTTGTAATCACCTTCCAGTGGTACCTGAAGAAAATGAAGGTATGGATATAATTCATGGGTGCCACTGTAGCAATTTCATTAGCATCCAGATTAAGACTTAAAGCATAGCTATATTTCCGTACTTGTGAAGAGGGGTTCCAGAAATTACCCAACGGCAATGCCCAGAAAGCATAAGAACGGCAACACTGGTTTGCGAGTCATTGTTTTTTATTTCGTGGGCCTCTAAATGATCCATCAGCTTTAAATTTAGAATTCGGCCATATCGGTTGTTAATTGTACTGTACTTGCCGTCCAGAATAATTCTCCTAAATTTCATGCGATGAAGAGGGCCTTTGTTTTTTTCTATAAATTCCATCCGAAGCTGTTTTTTGTCGTTTTCTTGGATGACGCCGGGAGGGGGTTTAAACTTGGGGATAGAAGATCGCACTTCAGAGTATGTCGTTATTCTGAACCAAGTTAGCGTTCGCCCATATGCTTGTTATTGATCGTTGCTCCTGACATTACGCTGCAACTGCGGAAAAGTCCAATATCGTCGGTGGATTTAGGTTTAGAACGAGCATGGTACTCCATCACAGGTTTAAGAACCCCCTTTTTGCAGTGCTGAGCAAACTGGTCGTTCCTACATTTTCGAGTTAGGTTTGTAATACGGTGCTCTGAACTGTGAAATCAATACCAGTGTTTTGTAAGGTGAGATGGTGCCACAACCAGTGTCACATTGTCGGTCCCTTGGTTGATCTCTTGATCATCCACTATGTTGACTTCGGCCTTGGTTAGCTAGGTTTATCCATATTTTAGGAGCGTTGTCGTGGACCTATAGCCTGGATAGTTTTCCCGAAGCCCATCTCGTCACATTGGAAGCCGCCAAAAGGAGGTATCGTGGATTTTTCCCGATTACGCTGTACCCTGTTAGCCAGATACTTCCATGGATTAAGGGAATTTGTAAATTTACCATAAATCCTGCCCCTATTAGCTATAGAAGGTTAGCTAGAGGAGGACAGAGGTATAAATGGGAATTTTCACCTGGTAGTGAAACAGGGAGGTGGCCATATTCGGATGTAACCAACCACCACGTCCATCTAGTTTCGGTTTTTTCGTGAATGCGAGCAACGCCTGATTAAAGAATTGTCTATCTGTTAGAGCCTCCTCCCGGGTCTCGGTTGGAGCATTTGCCACCATATCTTTTAACGCTTGATTCTGGTTTTTGGTTGAGAAGGATGGGATTTCAGGCTTCTCTGCGTTGGATTGCGCATGCTGAATGCTGCGCTGAATGCTGTTGTTTGCACCAAGCCTGGACAACGTGGGAATATTCTTTTGCCAATATTTCCGTGAGGATTTCGACCCTCGTTTGACATTGGGGCCATTTCTTTTCCGGGTTTGCCTTGGTTTACTCTACCACAGGTGAGAAAACAGCTATACAAAAGGAAAATTAGAAAGAAAAGAGAAAATCCAGAAAATCCTCACCTCAGCTGTCGGTTCATGAGAGGCATTAGATCCAGTACATGTCTCGTCCAACTCAAACGGAGATACTAAAGTGCGCTTACGATTTCGAGTAGTTTCGGTAACGTCATTGCCATAAAGAATCGAAGGTCCAATATCTCTTTGTTCGTGCTGCTCATAGGCTGCCGGGTCTCCAGATAATGCTAGATGGCCGGGACACGGATTGACATTACTTGATAACCCCGTGTTTTCGTCTGGGCCTGGGGAGCAAAAGAGGCTATCCTCACTATAGTTTACTAAGTCTCAATAAAAATTTCCCTCAATTTGGTGTCTTGGATAGGACTCACTTCCGGCGCTGGAATCCACCACCACCATGTTCATCTGTGGAACTGCATATCGTTAGCTACATCAATTGGAAGCGCAAGGGTGTTCATACCTGGAATTGGCATCATAAATAGGCTGCTGGGATTGCCTGGGCTCGAGATTGTTATCATTTGGACTGCTTAGGTGGTGAAGGCAAAGCATCTCTATATCCTGTGATTGTGCGAAAGTAGATCAGTTTCCCATCATTCTAGATGTAAGTTGGGAAGGAGTTCGTGCCATTAACTGTGCATTTGCGCATGATTGAGCAGAAATATTTCCAATAGTAGACAAATAGACTCGAGTGCCAATGCCAGTATCGTTCGTGGAGGCCTCCATGCTTAACTTTTGGAGACAGCCTCAGCAATGTTCGAATGATGGGCCACTTGACCCAAAAACAACCAGTTATTTGAATTCGAACCGGCTCACTTCTGGTTGAGTTAGCTAGACTAACAAGCAGAGGCTTTGTTAAACCAAATATATTGAACTGGGAGAGCTGAAGAGTGATAGAAAAGGGTTAAAAGAAGATCATATGGAAATGCGAGTAAATATATCGGCTTAGAGATCTGCTATGCATAGGATGAGACTGACACGAGACACTCTTGTAGTCTTTGAGGAGGAAAGCTATAGGGCCGACTGACAATTGAACATAGAATACTGGTCGATATGTGAGAATAAATTGATAATTTATTCTCAATCTTCTTGCTGTGAGAAATTAAGGACAGAGCAAGAAGTAATCGCTTGATAGATGGGAGCGTCCTTATTTGAGACACTAAGCTTTAAGGGATGGAAAGGTTAGTTAGCAAAAAAGCTTGCGAGAATGAAGCTGGCAGGAAGATACTTCTCATCGCAGCTAAGCAAAGCCTATATTCTGAGTTTTGGTAAAAACGGAGGAGATAAGTTGACCGTAATGCTGCGATTAAGGTTATAGTGCGCAGTCATATGGGAGTTACGAACAAAATGTTTTGCTTTATGAGAGTGTTTGTAATGTACGACGCTGATAAATAGGTCCGAATTGAGTTGAATGAACGTCTCCGTGTGCTCAGCTCTGGTAAATCAAACCACCGAAGAACCAAAACGCGCCTCAATCAATGTTAGCTCTTAGCTCACTGCCAAAGGCAGTTCTTGGGGGAGAAAAGAGGTCTTGTAAGCATGATTTGGAGCTTTACTTTGAAGGCGGTTCAAATGCAGACTTGGATGCCGTGGTGAGAGCACAAAGCATCTAATACAGTAGATTTTAAAGCGTGCACAAGACCTGAAAAGAAAAAGGTAGCAGGAGCTAGATATGTATAATACATGGATTCTCATTTTGCTTTCTATCATCTCAAACCGCTCATAGGGAGGGATTGGGAGATGCCGAGCTGCAATACCGATCAAAGGGGAACGAAGAAAGTTCGGATTAAACGCTCAAGGTTCACATATCAAATGATGAAAAAGTAGTATGCAGCCAAAATGAAATGAAAGAAGAGGGAAAAAAGGAACGAGGCGATGATAAAGTGGACCAGTAGTCAGTAGTATCTGAAACCTCTGGCGGGGGATTCGAGTAACCAACTTTAGGAGTGCTCTGGAAAGAGGCGATATGTCAAAAAAACCCATGCGGGGACATAGAAGTGAAAAATTCCTGATCGGTGGTAAACTCCATTCCTCCGTACTGGTACTGAATGATGTTCGAAACAGCCCGAGTGACCCCAAGATCAAGCATGATGGAGGGGTAATGCTGAACACATACTGTTGCATGGGGCTGGCGCCATGATCTATGATTTACCGTACAGCACTTTAAGCCACGGGTTCCACATCGCAGAAACGCGGTGCTCTTGTGCTCTTGTCCATGTCTGGTTGTCGACGGACGTCAAAAGTAGGTTTGATATAGCCGTCACGTGTTGGGGTGGATGGGTCTAGATCGCTTAGCTGATGAGGCTCCGGCCAGCTCCTCATCTTCACCGCCTCTTGGCCGAGTCGAGCTTACTTTTGTCCACACTATCCGCTTCCACCCGCCATTCACACACTTCGTCCCCATCGTCAATCGCGCCGCAAGTGCTCTGTCCCGCTCCGCCTCATCGGTTGCGGCAGTCTGAAGGTGACATACTCGGTTCTGACCGAGTATTCAAGTCTGCGCCTTGCGCTTCCTGCCTCTGGAACCTGATCAAAACGTCATATTTCCAAGCATCAGGTTTAGTTTTAGTTCCAACATCCTGGTCTCCCCGCACCATATCACAGCCAGCTCGTCTTATTCGGATGATGGTTTTTACAAATGGATATCATATGGAGGCTCCCTTCCGGCTGACATTTCTAAATCGCTCCACGTTACCTCTCGACATTTGACTTTAAACGCCGCTCGTTCTTCTGACTCCCAACATGTTGGGAAGACTTCTCAACACTGCGGCATCGTCGCTCCATCCTGCTGCGTACGGCTCTCGGAATTCAAATCATCTTGAATCTGTGACTGAGGAAGAGCATACGTCTGGGCTCTTGTTCCCAGATTCGACTCATCTTCGACGATCGAATACTCACGCCTATCCACTCCAAACTAGTGCTTTGTCTCCAAATGCTTCAGCTGCGAACAGCTTCGACGATAGGGGTGGACTCGAGTTAGATGCAGCAAAGGATTTTAGAGTCATCGTTGCTCAGAATGCACTGGGTGATCGTGATGAACCCTGCATCCTTCTCGACACCCAAGATGCAAGCACCCCAGGCGGTATTGTCGGACTTGGCCTAAATCAAAGGCCGTCAGAACAAGAGCGTAGCCATTCTCGGAGTTCGAGCCTCTCAAAACCTACGAAACGGCCTACGGCTCACAAGCCCCATGCATCAGATGTAAATCAATTTTCCGGTTCATCAAGTCTCAGAGAATTTGACTCCTCGATGTCGGGTGCTTTATTCCGTGCGAGGTATCGAAGTTCCGCATTTCTGCCCACCTCAGATGATAATAGACATTACCAAAGTCGCACGAGCGCTGATTCAAATGAATCTGGCCTTTTGAACTGTATTTTCGGCAGCAGTGCTTTCAGCTACCGTGAATCTTCCACCAAAATGCATATCCTTCCAACGGAAACAGAATCAGCTGGAGATGTCGAAGGATTCGGCCCTCACGGCCTCAATCGCCGCCTTACACTCCCCCGCGCCTATCCTAGTGGACCTAGTTCGAACTCATCCAGCTCGTCCCAGGAAAAATTAGGTGATCTGAGGTTTACTGCGCCCGTGAAAGTTACCGTTCTTGTGACGAGAATGTTCAGTGTAAACCTTCCTGAGAGTCGCAACTCCTCAATAGAGCCCTCGGAACAATTATCTTCCCCAAACTCTCAGCCATTTAAGGACTCGGAATTTCCATTTATGGACGCAATGAAACGGAAGAAAATAAAGGAAAAGAAGACACCCATGTATGCGGTTGCAATCACGATTAAACTGCCACTTGCCGGTCGTGGTAATAGCTGCCAATCGTCCCGGATTGGGACTACAGGACAGCCTTCCAATTTGATTTCAGCCTCCCTTGATTCTGATCATAAATTCATCAGGGGCTTTTTTGATGACAATGCTGGACTAGCAGCGACTTCAAATCTAGATGAGAGAATCGATATCTTGGTTGATCATTGGGATGTCATCACACGCACCTTGTCACACCTTGAGAAATTAGCAAGCAAAGAAATTCTTACAGCTCTGAAACGAGTTGACCACTTTTCAAGTCAACAACCGAAACCTGCTAAGGCACCCAACATGCAGCGAACAAACCAAAAAATTGTGCAACTCTCTCCAAGGGCGTTAACAGGGGGATCAAGCCTTAGATCCGAGGCTGTCCGGGCCACTCAAAGGATCAGCACGGCACTTCGAATTCCTCACGTTGCAACAGGCCAAGGTCGATGGGGTGTTTGGAGAGAAGAAGCGAGGTGGATCGCAAAATTGCTAAGTGATAAGGAACATAATTTCTTCTTCCTCGTGCTAATAACCGCATTTTTGGGAAATCATACCGAATGGTTAAGCTCCCTTGGCCCTGACTGGTACAAGCGACGATATCACCTACAGCAGAGGGCTCATCAAGATACAGAATTATCTATACCCAGTCGAACGGTTATTGTTTCAACTGATAAAATGACTGCCAGACGCTTGATATTTGTTCTGTCTGCATTTTTACCAGCGCAGCAACGATCGGACGCATATGCATCCCCTTTAAGACCCAGCACGTCAACTTCTCTACGCCATGTCTCCCAGAGCCCCCCCAGTGTACCTCTCTTGAGGCAGGAATCTCTTCGGCGCACAATAAATAGACGAACTCGAGCTCGCCAACTTCACGATGATGAGATTGACGGGCATCGACGCTCACCAAGCGCTTCCTCGACCGAAGCCGGAGTTGTACCATCTGATGACACTGATTTCGTCAAAGTTGTTTCTGACCATTACAAATTCCAGAGGGACTCCGATGTTCGATCAATAAGGACAGCCAGTCTACCCATACCGTCCAACATTGCTAGCTCCAGAAAGAGCGCCGCTGCTACTATTGCTGCTGCTGCCCCTGGCACAGCGACCCCAGTTCCACACTTTGCATCGCAACGAGATAAACGTGGTGCTGGTGGGGGGAGGCGTTTAGCTTCAGATATTAATGGAAGCGCAGCCTCAGCCAATCTGATCCAGAATCTCCGTAGAAGTGAAAGCTCCACCCTCGGCTCAGAAAGGGGTGAATACCAACCATCTAGTAGGTGGGGTGGCTTACTTTCGGGGTTTTGGGGTTCCCGCGAACCCACTGCTGCTTCAAGCGGCGGTCATTCACCGCCAGTAGGCAGCCTAAAAGGCAAAGCCCAATCCGCCGTCCCTGATAAAATCCAAGACACGATGGAAGCACTAAACGATGAGACTGGGAAAGCGGCCGCCAAGGATACTGCCAAAACAATCGACAATATATCGATTCCAACATTTCCTCCACCTGGTCAGGCTTTAGCTGAATCTGCTGACTCCAGAGAAGCGAGAACAAAACCAGATGTACAAACACCCAATTCTCCCATGAAGCTCTCTGTTGGATTGCATGATGGAGTGATCGACGTTGAGGTACCTTTACCAGGTTTTATCTCTCTCTCTTCATCAGGAGACTCAACCTTAGCTTCACCCAAAAAGACCCGTACCTCAATGACAAGTCTTGATGGCATTGGTTCCGTTCATAGTTCAGGTTCTGGATTCCATCTCTCGAGTAATAGGGACTACGATGGAGTACATGTCAATGTCGCAGGTTGGCTAAAGCACTACCATGAAGATTTCCTTCTTCAAGCTGTCCACCCGTATAGCACATTGGAAGCAGATATCAAACGCGCGATGTCTGCTGAACCTACTCCCCCTCATATTCTCTTACCATTCCTTTCTGACTTTGACAGAACCGTCCATGAGAAATGGGTTGATGTGTGCACCACACTCATAGCCGATACGAAAACCTTTACTGTGAAGAAAGTGTCTTTGCGGCGCAGAATCACCAGCAACGTATCTCGAACAACTTCCCAGTCTCAAGATAATTCCCGCCAACCTTCAATCTACGAAGCTCCCGAAACACCATCTTCCATTTCACAATTTCCAAATTTTTTCTCTGGGTCTACCAAGACACCTACATCTCCACGGTCACCGCAATTAGATCCATTTGATGTGGAAGAGATGTTTATTGAAGAACCGGTTATGGACCTTGACCCAACCCTGGTTGATGCCGTTGAGAAAGTTTTAGCCCGGAGTGGGCAATCATCTATTGTTCATTCTAGGGCACCGTCGCCAAACAGGAATCGTAAGGATAAGCCGATGAGCAACCAAGAGCCAGATAAACAATCTTCCAATCCACAGACAGAGCCTGTCTCATCCATCGAGGTCCCGCGGAATAAATGTCGACATATAGTCCTAGGTGCTCTTGAGGAAGTTGTCCGCAGTGTAACAGCAGAACGTTGCCAGGAAGAACACGTCCTTGCGACTGGCGATTCACCGAAAATAATTTCCGCACGCCGTGGAAAAGGTTCAGGCGCAGTTGCCGATAACACCTTGAGAGAAGGGATAAGAAAATGGCTCACCGATATCGAAGAAGCTTGCTAACATTTTCCGCCTCATGCCATTTAATCTCATCTTCTCCTTTTGTCCGTTTCGTAACATCACAGCAAATACTCTCTCCAGTTCGGGCTTGTCTGTCTCAAATTTATCTGGTATCGGAAATATTCTCTCTCGCTTCAACCATTCACCCGTTCACCATCGGTTGTGGTCCTACTGCATTTTGTAAATATTTCTACTTTTTAATACTTTTGGTGTGGTTGTTTCCCACAACAACAACACATGAGCCGGAGGGCGCCCTAAGACCTCAAGTTTTGGTTTAATTTTCTTCAAAACATTATCCCCGAGCATATGATACCCTACCCTTTCATTCTGTGTTTATTCTGTATTGGTGGCACACATCCCAGCCCCTACTAATTTTCAGCTTGATGCAAAGTCTTGTTAATTCTTTTCCAGAAGTCCATCTCTGTGGAGCTTACGTGATCTTATAGTCGCTCTATTTTAATATTTTTTAACTCATCGCTATCTCTGTATTGGCATGTTCCACATTCAACTTTCTGTATGCTTGTTTTCTCTCGGGCCATACATTTCGTTCCAATCTTCTTCGCTGCATTTATCATCTATTCACTGAATTTACATAAGGCTTCACTTTGAAATTTGAAATTTGCATGTTCTGCCTCGTGCATGATTGGTTCCTTATTTTATTTTTTAATATGCGCGCAACTCTGCTTCCCGTGGTTTGTTAAGTGGCCCAAACCCAATACGATAGCCTTTAGAGGCAGACAGGCATATGATATCTCGGAACTGCCTAAACCCGGGTATTGGGGTTTTACTTCCTATTACGTCATATACGGATTTCGCGCCGCATTATTAATAAGTTTGCGTCCCTGCGCGAGGAAAGCTCAAGAGCCCTAATCATCATTTTACTGATACGTTTCGTATTTTCGCCATCTATTTGGCGGGTCATGAAAGCGCCTTTGAAGGGGACATTCTCTGTTTCAAAGTGAAGGGAAAGTCGTTCATAGTAGCCGCTGTCCTTCCACATACATACATCATTTCTTCTCTGAATTATTTAATGGCAACCAGCCGTTACTGGGTGCTACATGAATTCCGTTTCCTTGAGTACGATATGTAGATTGTAAGTTAGTCCGAGGTCGGGTAGGTTTACGTGCTGTGGAACACTGTTGTCAATTATATTTTCACATGCGCGCTATTCATATCATGTAAGTATATATCATCAGACTTCATACTCGTTCGTAGTTTCATGGCTATCATATTGAACGGCAAAACATCTCGATAGCTGTCAATGGGACATCGAGCAAATTTTCAAATGAGTCTAATCATACATAAAAGCCAATCCCTAACACAGTGGATGGAAAACGAGAATCAGATATAACCATAGCTTGATTTTGGGAATAGTAGCAACGAATTTGGTCCGCAATGCCAGTAGACGATTTATCATCCAAAAAAAGCTGCGGAAGTCAGCGGGATAGACAAGAGAGCTAGAATCACTGGGTGAATAAGAATAAAATTCACACAAATTGGGATATATTGCAATTATGGAAGTTTAGATAAAGGCAGAAAGAACGAAGTTAACTGGAGGACCTATTCATCTTAGAGATGGGGGGACTTGACTGCCTTAGTTTTTGGGCTAACAGAAACGTGCATCCTCACATCCATAGTCCCCGCGTCCGTCTCTGGTGCTTCCATAATTGGGGGCGGAGAAACATGCCGCCCAACAAGGCTAGCTGGCAACTCCAAAGTCGGGATGGACGCATCCATGGTAGATGGCACACTCGGACTGACTTTGGAAGAAGTGGGTTTCAAATGAACCGCTGCCTCCTCGAAGAATTTCTCTAGCTGATCCACATCACTACAGAATGCTTTGAGCTCCTCTCCGATCTCCCTGGTAATTCGGTAGGAAGAAGGAAGCTCGGTTTGGGGAACGTGCCCGGGTGAGTTATCAAGTGATGCGCGGACAATGGGCGACAAGTGAGGGGAGCCAGCGCGGTCCAAGGCATCGTATGTTGCGGCGCGGGGACGGTAAAATTCACTTCTGTCAAGTCGGTTAGATTCTTTGACGGAGGGCCCGCGTGCGCTGTAGAGTCTGTTCGCGAGCAAAAGGAAGCAGCCGTCATCTGAGATCTGAGCAAGGACGGCACCAGTCTGGTGGACATACTGCGGAAATCGATAATCCAGTCGACCCCAGGAATACGATACGTCAACATCTGGAGGGAATGCATCAGTAGCTTCAAAATCGAGGACGAAGTCGAATTTTTTCAGGATTGCCTTGTGATAGAACTGGCGGTCGGAAACGCCTTGAGATGCGAAAGAAGTAGCGCTATAAATTGTGGGGGTTGGGCTTTCTGGGGGCTCAATCGCTAGCTTCACAGGATATGGACGCCTGAAAACTTGGGTTTCGACGATGGATGAAGCTTCAGATATTGGTAATTCGACCAATTTGAGACCGAATTTTTCTGCGGTTGCGGCCCACGATACAATTGCATCTTCCACAAGCTTCGGAGTTGCGTTCATCCAACTGAGCTTGATGTGGAAGCAATTGTCCGGATTATGCAACCGGTCGTAATGAAGCTCGATTATTTCGGGACGATTTGAACGCTTGCGAGTATCGACATCGATTTTCATAGACTTCGACAGGCATACAGAGGCTTTTGTTCTGGGAGATTTCCCCAGGGTAGGTGTGTTCGCCCTGCTGTCAGGATCTGCAGTTCCATTTATTGTTTTTGCCTGCGCAGTCTGAGAGACGTCTTTCACACCTTCATTAATGGGAGTATTAGGAATCGATTTTCGAGTTTGGAACCAGCCGCTTCGAGATTCCGGCCGAGCCACGCGATATTCATCAGTGATCTGATAAAAATAATTGCCGTCCCTGAAATTATGCCTTCGCTGGACATGGCAAATAAGCCCATGCTTCATCAGCTCGTTGCCAAACTCAACAGCCTCTTCGCGGGTATCGATATCGCGGAAATTTTGGAGCATCCAAGTAGTGAGCTCAACTCCGACAAAGCAGTTATAATGAAGACGCCAATGCCATCTTCTATCCATCATTCTGACACCCTTTTCACCCTGTATAGCCTGCGCCAAAGCAATAAGACTAATGTTGGATCTTTGAAGTAATTCAGACTCTGGAAGCAGTTGTAGAGAAGGGTTATCAAGACCTGGATCATCGAGTAAAAGTCTATCAAGTTCCGCAGCGATGACCTCAGATGGATTACTGGTTTGATATATAATATCCAATGGATTTTGATCTTTTTTATGAGTCGGTGCCTGGAGCCGCTTTTCCTCTGGCGGATCGTATCGATACCGTTGCCATATTTGAGTGAGTTGAGTGATACCAAGAAGATGTATTTCCTCCTCGTTATCCTCTTTATATGACTGCATCGGGCGCCTTGCATTTGCCAGTATCTGAACCGGTATCAGGACGAAACGAGTGCGCCAGAAACGAAGTTGTTCCGAGAAATTGACTAAGTGGTCCCGATAGCCTGCCAAAAATGCGTCCGCATAGTTCCAGTTATAGTCTTCCCGAGGCATTTGCAAATTTATAGTATGTTTGCAATAATTTGCGCTCAATATTGTTTTAACCACAGGAGTGTAGTTGAGCGCGAAAGCCTTGGCGTCGGAAAAGAGGTCTGTCACCGTTTTACGCGTGAATTTTGTAACCTCTATCTCCCCTCCAGCAACACAGACCAATTTGTGAATGATGTTGCCCATAGACATAAAGATGGTCATCCCATCCTTGGATAATGAGCGGGTGTTGAATATATTTAGCGACCCTAGCGAATGCTGGCTCGATGCTGCGTCAGCTAACCTCCCAACAACTATTTGGAAACCATGGGCAAGGCGTAATGCCACCATTTCACGTAGAAGTGCTTCTCGAGTCCTAGGAGTTTCTGCCACATCAGACTCGTCATTTTGGTAGACTCTGTACGGGGTTTGATAATACTGAGATGCGAGCTCTTCACTTGTTGGGAATTCCTCTGTTGTTAGTGGGAGACTTGCTGGCGACTTCAAGCTTTTCCACTTTACAGATGCAGTGCTTGGCATTCGGGGATATACATGTTGCCAGCGACCGAACCAACTGGATCGTGTGGATCTACGCTTAGACGGTTTGCACGGGTTGACAGGTAAAATCCATGGAGACAGCACCTTCGTTGGAGAAAAATCCATAGTCGGTTCATCCTGACTCGCAGTAAAAGCTAAATCAAATCTGCGACCCGTTCGGGTCATTGGGAAAGGTCCGTGGATTTCTTCACCTGCTCTTCGATCGAAATGTACTTCGGTTGATGTAGTCGAAAATGAGCTATCAATATCTTTTGGGTCCATATTATGCTCATCCTTTACTTTCTTGTTCGCGATTCGGATTGAAATGGGTTTCGATGGAGTAGCATTTGCGTTATCACTAAAAGGGGTGAAGCTTAGCTGAGGAGGATCTGGGGATTTGAAGGTAGGGTTGGAAACGGCATCCGATATAGGAGAATTCATGCTAAAATTTGGAGGCAGCTCCCCAACTTTAGCCGGTTTCTTATTTGTGGTCGACAGACCCTTCGCGTGTTCGTTATTTATTTCCGTACTTGCAGTCGCTCTAGGTGGTGTTGGGCCTAGCCCACGTAAGGCAAAGCTAATCGACCTGGAAATTCGTGGCTTGGTCGACTTTGATGCTTTCTTCATGCTTGATTTTTTGAAGGGCACCCGTTCAGGTGGGTATGCCTTCTGATAATGCGACCTTCCATCGTCTGATCGCTGGTGGTTATTATTTGGGCTCGTTGAATAATTGCCGGAATGCGTCACTGAACTGGTCGAGAAGCGAATTGATTGTTGCTCATAAAACCGAGTTCCCGGTGTCTCAAAATCGACGCGCTTAGCCTTTGAAGGTCTTCGTGTCATTCGCTCTTTCGGTGCTGTGTGGAAGATAACATGATCATATGAATCCATCCACTCTAGCATTTTCCGCTGTGTGGCGGGAATCGACAGAATATTCCTTCTCGAATCCTTGAAAGTTGACATTAAGGACCCAGCTCCAGTCTCTGTCAACGGAGGTTTATACGGAGACCCATGCGGAGATGGATATAAATCAGAAAGCTTTTGAAGGCGGATGTCAGCTGAAGACAGATAAGGCACACAGATATTTGATTGCTCGCTTTCCATGACACCCATCATTTGAATCTCATACATCCTAACCCTTGGTATAAATGTATTTACTTGTTTTTTCGTGGTGGCTGGGAGAGTGGATTTTGTGATTTTATTCACAGCTGTTCGGCTGTCGCGATAAATTTTTGGGTTCCAATAGGAAATGTCAATCCATTGCGGAATCCCGTAGCGCCAATTGTCAGCAACAGTGGCAGCTTGCGACGAAGGTCCGAGCGTTGCGTTAGATGATCGAGGACGGGAAACTTTACTAGAAAAACTGCCACCAGATAAATGAGAATCGGAAGGAGACGGACGGAGAATGGAATCCCTGGAGATAGAACTACCCGGTCTCGACGTAGGTTCACTCGGGAGACGATACTTAAATAGAGGAACTGAGTGCAGTGGCATGGGACTCAAACATATTAGGTCAATCCCAATGGTACGACTAGTGAGGACTTCTGAAGTCAACGCTAGTGCTTCATAGGAGACTTCAAATACGCCCGTTCCAGGAGATATCACAACAATTGACGTGCCTGTCCGTATAAGGTCACGGCCAATATGCTCAAATGCCAGGTAAGATGACGCAATATTTATCGCTTCCAATATATTACCACGCAGAGCAGAAGTCGGCCTTCCAGATATAGTTGGAGGGTGCTTCGGATCTTCCGGGAGCGAGTCTTCCGCCGATGTCTGTGAGTCCGGGAAGTGTGACGGAGGGATAGACACGTCCCGCAGGAAGATCCTGAATTCCTTTTTTAATTCATCTAAAATTGTCGTCCACTTGCCACTTGGCATATCATTGACCACAACGCGGTAGAAATCTTGGCTCTCAGGTCGGGAATCACGGGTTGTCCGATGTAGGTTGTTGTTGTTTAAGAAAGAAGAGCCGGGATTATCCGCCGCTAAGAGATCATACTGGACTCTAGTAAATAACACAATGGATACCAGATGGTGGGCATCGATGGCAGCCCAACGCTTAAAGAGTTCGGGGAGAAGACTATTGATGACCCGGCTAAAGAGAATGTCGCCAGTGCCTTCGGAATCGAAATCCCACATCTCTTTCGACATTTGAATGAAAAGGACATACCGAGCAGATTCACTCCGAAAGATTGGTATCGTCCGCGGGGAAAAGTAGCCTGAAAGTGCCTTTTTGCCGTCGATGTATATGGATTTGACGGTTGCTTTGATGGTCCCCATGAATGTGATCTTCTGTCCCTTATAGACAGGCTTATCTGCGAGTTCTGATATGGCTAACCTCCACATATCGGATCGGACCAGAAACTGGTCTCGAAAAGTGAGTTCCACGTGAGAAGCAGTGGATTTTTGCCGATTCTTGAGAGATATCAGAGCTTGGGAGTGGTTTTTGAACCCGAATATATTGGCTATATTACTTGTGATCGAAATTTGCAGGTTTGGGTGTCTGGCTTTAATATCTGCAGCTAAAGGCTTGACCAGAAATAGATACCGCCCATAGGTCGAGGAGGATTGAGACTTGTGGCCACCAACGCGTTTTGCAGCAGAATTGGAGCTTTGGTCGGAATCACCAGCATCTCGTAGCGTTCTCCCACTCGAATCAAGTCTGTTGGAAGACCCATGGAGCTCTCCTTGGGAGACACGGGGAGTGGAAAGCTCAACTAGGTCTCCCACCTTTAGCCCTATATCACCAAAGGCGCTAATATTAAATAGCACATCTTCTCTGGAGAAGTTATCATCATGGACCCAGAGAGAGCAAGGGCGACTGTTGGGTCCTGCGGGTGATTCAGGGGCACTTGTCTTCGAGATTCCATCTGCATGGTCTTCATGCAAATTGGTCGCCTCCGCGGCTGTTCCCATACTTGGGGTGCTAACTTGCCTCAGATGCGAACCCTTGACAGGCCCATGTGGGAGCATGATTTACTACCAAATAGTCCATGTATCAGGGAACATGACGAAACGATGGCCTATTTGATATACATTGTTTCTGCTGAAGTGCTGTCCAACGATATGCTGTGATTGGATTGCCTTGTCGGTTTGATTATATAATGTGATTAGCTAATAACACGTGATTTCGAATTCTGCCAACTCTTCCAACAGAATCCATGTTTGAGGGTCAATGAGGACAAGAAGGCCTCTGGGGCTTGATACAAATCTACGCAGTTCTGCGCATGTTCCACGAAACAACTTGAACTTAGTAAATTCCGTCGCCGTCAGCCACACAAACTTGGGGCGCTGCCATCAAAATACATGAGCCGTATTCCCCTCAAGGCGAATATAAATGAGTTCATGTCTCAAAACTACTAGTGCATGTTGAAGCAGACGATAATGAACTAACTAGCAAATCGCGAAGGCTGACATCCCGCCTCCCTCGTCAAGCCACTGCACCCAAGCTTTGACGAGCGGTTATCCTTGCTTGATTGAAACACCGAGGAGAATGAACAACTGGCTTTCGGGCGTTACCCCAAACCCCAGCCACTTCTGGGCAGCCAAAGCTTACAAAGCTTACATCTGCTGCCTCAAATGGAATTGGAGATTGGATCCGCTAGTCACATCACATATATCAGCAAGGAAAAGCGGTGATGCGTTGTCGATTTCCGGGAACTTGGGGATGATGCCCAAGCCGGAAGATGTGATGGCATCATTCTGGTTTTCTGTTCGGGACCTAACAGGAAGCAAACCAACAAATGGGTCCCGTATGTTGGCTGTACAACGCACGGATTTGTGCAGACTTCCCAATAACAGCGATGGGAAAAGGCGCTGCTCATGATAACACTGCCAGGTATCTGCAATATCGGCAGTAGCCTTAAAATGGAATTTTACATAGTGTCTGACGATCGTTTTCAACCATGAAAAGCGGAAGCTGATTGACCCGATCCATGGAGGCGCCCCTCTGTGGCTGTTACAGCATCCAATGCTTGTCCAGTCTAACTTTTATTGTGTCTGGCGTCCCTTTCTGCTCATTCTGCGCATCACAGTACTCTTTCTTTCATGATTGAACCCAACGTAAATGTGGCAGTGCTGCTGGTTCTGAATCCGATGGATCTAACAAGGCTTCTTTGATATCATTGCCCATTCACCTTGCCAGGAGCAAAAGCACATTGACGTATGTTGCTGTGGCTTGCAATTTAGGGCTGCACTTCTCAGGGGAGTTCCACCGAGCAACAAACAACTCATTTCCCTCTCAATAAATGCTCTGGAGCACCAATTTCCTGACTTTCGTTCTCCCCACAAATACAAAATTTTCCCAATAAATTGCAGGCGCCATATTCGGCTTTCTTGATTATTTTTTAATCAAAATTATTGCAGATACCTTTGCGTATCCGCGCCTTTTCGCGGCTTCGACGCGAAAACCCTGACACTTCTTCATACATAGACAGGGGCCAAGGCACTTGGCATAGCCCACTGAGCTCTAGCAATGCGTGTGTAGTCCCTTTCTAAATCACCCACGAGCAGTTATTTTTTACTTCATATGAAGACGAAGGCTTATTCTAATGGTGGATATAGATATACATCGACGGCAAGCCAGAAATCTCGCCTGGTATGATGAAGGGGAATCAACATCCAACCGGAACCCTTTCAAAAAGTTCCGGTACCGCTCTATGCGCGCCCCTGAATCTTGCGCAGAGGATGGGTTTCCACGCGAACAAACAGAAGGCGATACTATACCGAGACCTGAATGGGAAAGACGAGAAGAGGGAGATAACATCTTCTCTACACCCTACCATACAGATACCAACCCCCCAGCCTCAAGCCAATCGGTTGGAAACGTTATTGAAATGACACCAGCAGGATCTACGACTAGTGCTGCACCTCTGACAACAACAAACGGAGAACAACCACACGAGGTTCCTGAAAAGAGTGCTTCTACAAAACGGAGATTCTTCAGAAACGGTGGTAATACTGAATTGGCACCACTGGAGCCTGAAGATTCGGGAAAAGATAAACAAAAATTTACAGCTGTAGGGCAGTTGAAGGCTACCGTGCTAAATTCTTGGATTAACGTCTTACTTCTCATGGTCCCCGTTGGGAGTATGTTTTTCTTAGAGAATTTACCAGGAATCTATTTTGCATGATATTTTTTTTTTGCTAACGCCTCATCCAGTCGCGGTCCACCATGCACATATCGACCCTATTGCAGTTTTTGTTATCAATTTCATTGCCATCATGTATGTCCTCTACTTTATGAAACGGGCCGAGTACGTTCGTTAACAGATGCTTGTAGCCCTCTTGCCGCGATGCTAAGCTATTCTACCGAGGAAATTGCGCTCAGGTAAATACAATACTCTTGAAGATCTCCAGAATAGCTCTAAATTTCATATCCAGAACGGGGGAAACCTTGGGCGGTTTGCTAAACGCAACATTCGGGTAAGTAGTATCAGGTTCCTGCGTGTCCAATACGTTCACCAACAAATTATAGGAATGCTGTGGAGCTCATCGTGTCTCTCCTGGCCTTGTTCAAACATGAAATCGTGATTGTGCAAACCTCACTTATTGGCAGCATGTTATCAAATCTGCTACTGGTTTTGGGAATGTCCTTCTTCCTTGGAGGTATCAATCGAATCGAACAAAACTTTAACGTCACCGTGGCTCAGACAGCGTCCAGCCTGCTCACCTTGGCGGTTGGAAGCCTGATAATTCCTACTGCGTTTCACGCATGGTCCGATGGTGGGTTTCTTACCGGGCGTCTTGGTAATTTACTTGCTAACTAACTTTCAAAAATAGCTGGTGAAGTCGGAATTGCGCCGCTTTCGCGAGGTATCTCTTCTTTCCTGTAATTCCCGAAGCAATTCTCATATCCTTTGCTCTAACATCCCTCTAGGAACAAGCGTAATTCTGCTTACCGTGTATGGATCGTATCTCTTTTTCCAACTCAAGTCTCACACGGAAATGTACAATAAGCCAAGTGAAAAAGTTGAAAAAAGGCGTGGGCGAGTCGGGGCTGGCGATGCAACCAAAGGCATTGCGCAGATTGGGGCCGGCATTTCTGCCACTATGGGTGGAGAGAATTCTCAACGTGTTCCCATGGCCATCCCAGATGAAAAAGAAGAACCTCAACTCACTGTCTGGGTTGCTTTATTTACACTTGCTGTCTCCACCGCATTGGTAGCCCTCTGCGCCGAGGCCATGGTACGCCCCTTTCACTTTGTTTACTTTTTAAGCCATTCCTGCCCAGCCGAGCACAACGGACAAGATAACTAATCAACCCCTGTGAAGGTCGGCTCAATTGATGCGATTACCACTCGTGGCCACATCTCAGAAACCTTCGTGGGGTTGATTCTCCTTCCAATTGTTGGCAATGCAGCCGAACATGCAACCGCCGTCACCGTTGCGGCCAAGGATAAAATGGATCTCTCCATTGGAGTTGCAGTTGGTTCGAGTATGCAAATTGCTCTTTTGGTGATTCCTCTCATCGTAGTTATCGGCTGGATTGCTGGTAGGTTTTCTTGCCAACCCCATCACATTTCTTGACCAGATCTTCGAACCTCTCCAAATATATATTCATTGTTTACTTACTATTTTTCCTCATTGGCGCACATCAGGCATCAATGAAATGGTATGTATCGACGACGCCGCTTTCCCCAGCTTTTTATCTCTATCTAACCCTATGAATAGACATTATACTTTGATGGATTCCAAATTGCGGTCCTCTTCGTTTCCGTGCTACTGGTAAGTCGGCCTTCTTCCCATTCCGTCATCATTTCATCATCGTGGTCGTGTTTGACAATATTCCTTTCGCAACATCAAAGGTAAACTATTTAATCCAAGACGGCAAGTCAAATTGGCTAGAAGGTGTGTTGTTGATGGTTCTCTACATCATTATCGCCGTCGCAGCTTGGTAAGTCTATTACCCACCCATCCTCCCCCATCCTCCCCCATCCTCACCGTGTCCTTCGCTCTCCCAGATGAGAGTTACTCAATCTTTTCGATTCTTTCTTCAATTTTTCCTTGGGCCTCGAGATGTCAAAACATTAAGAAGCTCACAAATATGAAATAAAGACTAATCTAACGTGAACTGTACAGGTTTTATCCCGCCAGATCAGAACCAACCGCTGCATAGACGTGATTGAGTGCTTGTCGCCCTCAATTCCTCTCATTTTAAGCTTTTTTTAATGCCATATTCTGCCTCATTTCCTTTGAGCACTCCATACCTGCTTGCTTTTAGTTTATTTTTAATTTTAACCGGTTACGGACGCTTCTCATCCTTTGTCGTTCTTCCCTTCGCGCTCCTGGGTACTGGATATATACGTTCCCTTGGGATATTTGAACCTACAATAAATAACAATCTTTTCCTATGTCTAGTTAGAACTTTCCTTGAGATTTGGAAGGTTAAGTTAACGTTAACTACTTAAAATCATTCCCATGCCTTAGCTGCGTACGAAAGACTTCAACATGTACGGTCAATGTAATTGTACAGTGCAGTATGTGTAACCTGCTTGCTGAGCGGGCGAGAATTGCGACTAACACAATTGAGTTTCACCTTTGCTCTACAGGTCTCAGGTGGCATTTCTTCAAGTACAATCATGATGACAAAGTATCAGGTTGCTTCAGTAGAATATGACTAGCCCTCATTCCATCTACCTCTATCATTTAAGGCCAAATTCAAACACTCCAACATATACCCACATAGCAGATGACACAATCGATACCATGCTTGGCAAGATGCATATATATGATTCATGCTTAGATTATTAGCCTTTAAGCTTGTCTATGCGGATATAGAAAACCGAAGAGAGCAAATAGGGAATTGGGAAAGAGGAATAGGTGAATCCTGAATATATGGCCTGCCTCTTCCCTTAGAGACACATGTATGGGGATTTTGTGTACCTACTGAAGATTTCCCCTGGGAAGGTTTGCCTTCAACTCCTTTTCAGAAACATCAGCCTCACTCTCCTTGCACGTGGAGAACCAACCCAAAAACAGACATTCAGCACCTCTCTAGCTGTGTACGGTACCATATTCATGATATTATTTATCTAAGAGGTGATGGGGATATTTGTTTTCGTTGTTTTCATACATTTGGTGAGGATACTAGTATTTATATAAGTTAGGGCCTTGCTTGCCTAAATATCCTCCTATACAGGGTTTTGTTCTGTTTTGCTTGTTTTTGAAAACAAACCCCTTTCATTTATTTACGAGAGAAAACAATTTGCGCATTTATTTGTATATCCTGACGGCTTCTTTGAGGATTGAAAATAAAACATTTTTGGCGCCCCCTTCCTTCGAGCTCCTGACACCAGCACCCGACCCCGCTGAGTGCAAACATGCGTTTTGATGCTGGTTGCAAGCGAGCACCATGGCTCGCTTGAATGCCGCGGAAGTGAGAGCACAGTTACGATGGCGCAGTTACACCACCAACAAACTACTCTCAGCCACTTCGCTAACAAAATGGCCAGGTCTGCAAACGATTGCTCTAACGCAGACACCACTCGGTGACTATGATTCTTTGCATGATCCTCCCCCATTCCCAGCAACCTCCTCGCCCCCCTGCCCCTGGCCTTCCGGGACAAACTCGGAATTCTCCTTGGAGTTTTACAGACCACAGACGGCCTTAGCATTCTCAGGTGCTCACTTTTCGTTCGGTAAATGACAAACTTACAAATAATGAAAAAAAGGAAGCCTAGCGAAGTGGATTAGGGTGCGGGGTTTCAACGACTACAATCGCCAATTCCACTTGGAAAGCTTGGTAGGTAGGTATGTTTAAATGACACGCTGGAGGTGAAGAGGTACACCCCTGGCTGCTGCCACCCGAAGGAAATGCAGATTGCGAGTTTCTAGTTTCCCTGTCTTCATATCAGTCGCTTGAAAGGGGATCTGGGGATCTTGTTTATTGGAGCAAACATCGGCCAACCTGGACATTCGGGACATGCTGGACATGCTGCGTGAGCCATTCTTTTGGCATTAAGGAGTCAGAGAGTCCAAATTTTTGACTTTCACGCTGCCCATCTCCCTTTTTAAGCTGGACTAAGACCAATTTGAAGTCAAAAAGCACTAAAATATGTATCATCGCTCATTCAATAGTTGACTACCTCGTTTTGAAGCAACATGTGGTATTTGATGTTGCATTTTCTCTTCCCCCAAGAGCCCCTCTCAGTTCAACCTACATTTACCTTTTCTTTCCAGATGCGTATAATGGATCGAAAGAGAAAAAGGACTAAACGTCGGCAGCTTGTCTTCGAACCAACTACCTGATATCCCGCAGTGATTCCTTCCCTTCCCATGATGGCCCAGCAGTCTCTCAGCGTTGGAAACCCCTTACCTGTCAGCCAAATGCACCTCGGCCCGGGCAGCGTGCGTCATGGATTCAATGATATGTATAGCTGAGCTCATACCCTTGACAGGCGCTCGTATAAATACTCGCGGGGTGGCTAACAGGGTAGTCTCTGGAAATGTTTGACAAACGAGTTGAGAAGTGTGTGGTAATGACAGCTCATTGAATATTTCGGAGATCCTGTGTGGTTTAAAGCCCTCCTCCCTGTCTGCGTCTCAGCAAACCTTAGTTAACTCAGCAGGCCGAACATCCGAGTTCCCTCTCCAATATAAGGAGGGGAGGATATAAATGCCAGCAGCGAGCATAGCCTGCCCGAACGCCTTGTTTAGAAATCGAAAGAAGGTGTCTTCCCTCCCCACCTTTTATTCTTTATGGGCTAAAACAGCAAATTACATTACCCCAGAGATCGACAAAAAGGCCATGGATGGTTCTCATCCTTTCCATATTTCGGAAACATACCCTAATTTGTCATCAATAAGCATCTTCGCTGGGACCCTAGTTAGACCCTACCGCTTAGTCCTCTTCTCCTCACCCGGCAGCAATCATTTCGCCGTAAGGCAGGGAAGCTGGGTGGATTGGACTATTTGATTTCCCGTACTGGACGTACTACACGAATTCTCGCTTTACTTTGAACCCACTCTCCTCTGACAACACGATTGGATTGCTATCTAGCGAGACTCGTCCGCCTTTCATGCATGGACCAGGGTTCGTCAAGGTTATTTATGGCCCTGATAGCAATTCTGCGCGCGCGTGATGTCAGTAGTGGCGTGGCTATCCGCTCGTCTTGATAACGGCCAGCAGTGCGGTTTCTTGGTAGATAGTTTCTCATCAGAATTGTAGCTTAGGCATGCCGGTTCTTTCGGCCCACCTTGATCTCTCTCCTCTTTTCTTGGTATCACAAACGGACTAACACTCGCCCAATGGATTGCAACTTGAACGCCATCGAATGGCTATATCTCTAATAACCATCAGCCTCAAAAATTAATGGTTATTAACCTGTCAGGAATGAGTGGACAGAATAATTTCACTAACATGGCAATCTCGAAGAAAGAGTATAGGTGTGGCTGGAGTGGAAGGAACTTCTGCAACCGTATATTGAATTCATCCCAGCCATACAAGTAGCCAGGGCTCAGTTGAAAGGTGGGAATTGAGCAACATCAAGATAATAGAGGAGGAAGTTTGATAACACGCCAGACATGGCTCCCCCCAGATAACATCAGGTGACGCTATAAATGACAACAACGAGCAGCGACGCTCCCCACACGGCAAATTCTTCTTATCCCCCTAGTTGGTTGCCTTGTGGCGATGTTGCTCTCCCGGCCCGTCTTCAACCTGATATCAGCTCGAATGCAGTTACCAACAGCAGCTTGGACGCCATTGGCGATGGCTAAGTTTGGCGTGCTGCACGTAAATTCTGAATGTTATATCATCCATATACACAGGTGGATCCTGTTCGATGTTGCTTTTATTATAGTAGCCCCTATTGCAGCTTGTATATTGAATATCGGTTTGAATGGGAAGCCGTTATTATTCAATTCTGCTCATTTCCAGGAACATGGAAACAAAAATTGCTCTGAATTCACGGCATCAATGGTACGCCTGGCCTAGCAATTATATTTGGGTAAGATGCTGTGTGGGCAAGAGGTTATGGTTTGAAGGGATGGGTATCACGATCGTAATGGTAGAGGATTAGCTGCATCACAGTATGGGCTGAGGCGCATGTTTCATTTGCCTATTGTGTGTGATGGATGACCCTTCGGCAAATAAATTCTAGCAAAGCAATCCAATGACTCTCTGAGATCAGATATGCAAATGGAGGAAATTTAATAAGATGAACATAAAAGTAAGAAACCTCTTCTTGATGGCAACGATTGATCGTTGCGTCCAATACCTTCTCTAAGGCAGATCTATAGCCGCTAGGATGGCGGTCTCACCTCCATTTGTTTCAAAATATGTATGGCGTCTGCCACTGCAGAGCAGTACAACGCATTCGCATTTCCAGGCACATGTCTGTACGTTACATGCACATCATGGAGAGTGTCCCACCATACCCAAAAAAGAATTGTCGGGCTTCTTCTATTTTTAAGCACTTTTTGAAGCACATGCGACGATTACCTGCAGTTCTCATTGACACCTTGTAAAACCGATGTACTAGTAGGTATCGCAACAACCGAAGTTTGTACACAGCCGCTATTCCACTTCCTGGGTAGTTATCTCCGTGTCTGTTTGTCGTTCAGTTCCAATTGACGTGTTCCAGGCTCAGTCACGCATTCCTTAGGGTCGCGGAAGCGGGGGGAGGGAACACAGGAGAACTTCCAGATCGATACGCTTTAAGTTTGGGGCTACCACTCACGGAATTCCAATCCGGATGGAGAAACGCGCAAGATACAGGCCAGATTCCTGTTGGATTCCTCCATTATTCTACGGAACAAGCCGTTCTTGCTATTTTCAGCTAAGCGCAAGAGAAGAGAACGAGATGGGTAGAGCCCTTCCTGTTGTGGAGGCCGTTTCAACCCCTTAAATGGGCCATCTTTTGCTTTTATGGTTCCTCGATTCGCTACCGCCTGTTCAACATAGTTGGGTATTTGGTACCGAAGCTAATTCAACCCCATAGGGAATAGGTACTAATGTTGGACAACAAGATGGGCCACTAAATTGCCACCTCGGAACACTCATGGAATGGGAATATGTGTGGGAGAGGGGGAAAGTGGGGGAGGGAAGAGTGGGGAGGAAACTAGTCTGTATACTGTTCTCTGGAGTTGATGGGCCTTGATGGGTGTTGTTCTAAACAATGACGATGAGAGAACGGCGTGCCAACGGCTAGCCAATGTATTACCCATCATCGGAGGAGGAGCTTTGGATATGCGAGCGGCCGTCAAGAACGGAGAGCCGACCTTGCCAGGTCGCTAGCTGTGGACAATGATGGCCCCCGCGCGCTCCCCCACAGACCGAGGCAAAACAAGAAGGGATTGAATTTTGAGGGGCTGTGGCGATTTGTGAAACCCCTGTTGAGAACGATATTCCAACCACGGATCGGAAATGTTATTAATGTATTTTTCGTTAGATGATATCAATCATAATTCTCTCCTGCACCGTTGATCCCATGGAATTCTGTCGACAGGAAGTTCCAGGGAAAAATGGGCGTAACGTCGCCACGTTGAGATGAAAACGGAATTGATTTGCTGTCTTGTTGGGGATGGCTTTCATTATGGGTATTTTCGTTTCCAAGCTGGTGGGGGTTCGGGATATGAGAAGTGATATAGGATGTGAGAGTATTCCGTGGGCCGTGCAGGACCTTGGAGAGCGTCTCGTAAAACTGACAGAACAAAAGTCCGCGCGGAGAAAGCCATCGTTCTGATCAGGCAAAATAAAAATAGAAATATGGTTTTTTTAAAAAAAGAATTAAAAAAAAAAAAATCAAAAAATAACTAAAAATAAAAATAAAAAGGACCAATAGATGGGGATCGAGATGGTGATTCCATCCCGTGCGTTGATATCGGAAGATTCAATTGTCCTGAGCAGCTAACCTTATCGGGAAGCCAACCACCACAGCCCCTGAGCCCTGGCCCTGAGGCCCGAATCCGGTCCGTGACCGGGGGAATGGGAAGGGGAAGCGGTTGACGAGGCCCACCGCCCGTTAGACCTTACCTGGGCACGGCGGAGAGAGCGTCCTGGACTCCTGGCTAGAAAAACAAGCAAATCGGAATCCCCACCGGCCGAGAAGCTGAAAGCAACCCCTCCCTTCCCCCCCCTCCCCCCAAAGGGGATTCAATGATGAAGCAAGCACCGGGCGTAGGGTTGAACGTGGGTCGGCAAAGTTGAAGAGAGTTCCAAATTTGGGTCCGTATTCTATGGTTGCCATAGTTTAAGTTAATCAGCCTTAAGTTACAATGATTCTCAGCCTTGCTCCCTAACTAGTTAGTTATCCAAAACCTGCTCACTCTACCAAAACTTGACACTTGTCACTAACAGTTTTAAGACGCCCTTTATCCACTGACTATTTGCCAAAAAGGTTTAGAGAAATGATCGGTGATGAACTGCTAACTGAAAGTTCAAATGTTTTATTCTTAGAATCGATGGAAAAGTTTGATCGTCATCAGCTGAGTTTAACTTGAATCCGCTGCTTTTTTCGCAAAAAATGGAGATTGAGAGATCCCAGACAGCATTGCAGATGCCATCCTTGCAAAGGAATCCCGGATATGATAAATGATAGAAGACTATTCTCCCAGCGGACTACATGACGGGATGGAGTGCCGGAATATCTCCGTACTGCACACAGCAGATCTACAAACCGAAACCCGTTTAAAACAAGCTGCCTAGGCTGCTAGGCACGTCCCACGGGCGCTCATTCTGGGCGCCACAGAGATTTTTGGCTTTTTCCCCTTTCCTAGCGTGTTAGAATCCAAGCCTCCAGTAATACCGCGTCTTGGCGGATCCACAGCCGGAACCGAACCGAGAAATTTGATCTCCGGTATGCGTTTCGGGAGTTCGGAATCGTGGCGGGCGATTGTTATCGTCGTGATGGATCTATTCTTAACCCGCGCTAAGCAAGGCTATTACTAAACGATATGGGTGCATTTTAGACGGGATGGATTTGATGGACGGTCTGCTGCATATATGCCTTACCAAGTTACCGTGGTACAAGAGTAAAATGTGTCGGCGATCGGCTGGCGGGCGATGGAGCGGTTGGCTACCGAGTGGCCAGCGGTCGTCAACCTTTTCACCAGGTTAATACTTTTTAGAAATCGCAATCCTTCCCGCAAAAAGAAGAAGAAAGCAATTAAAAAAAGAAAAAACAAAAAGAGAGGGAGAGAGAACGGAATGGCTCGTTTGACACTGCGTCTGTTACATATCGAACGGTGTACATGGGAAGAAAAACATCGTCAGGCCATCTGCAGCCTTCCCGTAAGCTACAGTGCCAGGCCGCAAGCATTGGGACTGTATATAGTAATTTTTCCCAAGATATTTTGAAACCAACGTCCGTAACGTGTAGGAAAACCAAAAAACCGATGTCCAAAATGCAAAACCGGCAAACGGTGATATTCATATACCTGTTTGGTCCATGAACAACAACAACAACAACAACAACAACAACAAAGGCCCCGAATGCTCGCCCGAAAAAATCAACAGCTGTGCGTCAATGTTTCCTTTTTTGGCTTTTCCCTCCTTTTTTTGACCGTCTTTCTCAGCCTCTCGGGGGACATTTGCCAACGAGAGCCGGAAAGGGACCGTTGCTGATTTTTGGGTTGTCCACACGAAAGGGACGGTTTTTCCAAAACTGAACCAGTTAAAACTCATAGATATCTCTTGGGTCTTCCACTCACACTATACAAATGATGTATGTGTCTTGTGCAGGGAGAGTGGGTGGTGGTGGCGAGTCAAAAATCGGACTGCGAGACAGGAATCAGAAAGGAAATGGAAAAAGTTTCAAAAAAAAAAAAAAAAAAAGCTTCAAAATTCTAAATTCCAAATCAAAATTAAAAATTAAAAGTTAAAAATAAAAGATTAGAGCCAAGATCAGACAAGAAAGCTTCCCTGCCCGAACATTCAATCACACAACTTCCCGTGCCTTCGGAGAGTACAAGTATCCAGGGGTGTGGAAATGCAAACCGAAAAAGTAAAAAAGGAAAAAGGAAAAGGAAAGGAAAAAGAAAAGAAGAACAGAAAAAGCAAAAAAAGCAAAAAAAAAGCAAAGCCGAAACAGCATCACTACGCAGCGTAAATATTGAGAACAAACAGACCAAGCGGTCCATATTTCTCTTTCGCTCTGCCTGTGCCTGTGCCGTGCCGTGCCGTGCCGGCGCCCTCAAGACCCGTCATCAAATTACCAGCCGGAATCCGTGTTTGTTCGGATATTTCGGCCAATTTGTGCTAGACACTATTTCCCTCGGCAGGCTCTTAGAAGCAGAAAGAAAGAAAAAGGAAAGAAGAAAATTTAAATTAATACACCGACAAAAAACCCTCCATGGGGAGGGATGGATAATTAATTACAAGGGCTGCTAAGTTTTTATAGGTATAGTGCATATATATCTTCGTTACATACAAAATAACCATGTCATCAGGAGATATAACTATCATGTTAGAATAGTGACCAATAAGGTTAGGCCTTCGTTGACTGAGTTCATGCGCAAGCTGTTATTCTTTTGTTCCTTACTACAACTGTTTACAACTATGACTGATAATCACAGTACGGAGTATATAGATGATGAAATGAATAGTCATGACTGCCGTGAGTTAGATCAGATAGATATCTCCATAAGAATAATCATTCAACAAATGATGATGTTGACTTTTTGCTATGAATAATCTAGTGATCATAGTGCTATTTTATCACATAATTCTTTTACTTTCATATAGTTCATATATTATAAATAATAGATCTTCTGATCATATTAAGTACTAGAATTGATGATACGATAGTTAGCTATCAGCAACATAACTATATCTCTTTATGGCATGATTATTTTGTCTGCGATGAAGATGTATGCACTAGAACCTATAAAAAATTAGCGGCCCTTGGTCGCCCCATGGGAGGGTTCTGGCTGGAAAGACGCCGATTAAACTCCAAACCACCAGCCGTTGACCAAGATGAAAACTTTAAAAAAAGCAAAAGCAAAAAACAAAGGAAAAAAAGGACAAGAAATGAATGGCCCGCAACCCGATGGCACTGTGCAAATGGCGCACCCCTTCTGACTCCGCCGCAGCAACCCTCAGCCGTTCGCCTTTCAGGGGCCCCGGAGAAAGCGAAGCAACACCGTTGTGCAACGGACGGAGATAGAAACCGATCCGCTATGATGCCAAATACGCAAGGACGGAGGACGCCAGAGGATGTGTCCTGTTTTCTTTCCTTCGTCGTTCCTTCATTCTGTTGCTCAGTAACTACGAGTTCATCCGTATTGCTACTAATTACAAATTGTTAGTTACGATCATTTCAAGTTCTCACGATAGCCCCCTTTGTCGCACCGGCCGGAAGGGGTCGGCACAGGCTAAATGCTATTGATATTACCCGAATACCTCGGAAGACAGTACTACGCAGAACTGTACAGATGTACAGGTGCATGGGATGGGACAGGACGACCACCGATTCCATTCGACCTGTGAATTCCCGGAGACTTCAACCGCTTACAGGACTGTGGAACTGGGTAGGGGATTTCTGTAAATTCTGTAGGTGGCCCCTAACGGGTCATGTAGGCTAGTATTTAAGCAGCGATCCGGGTTTGTCAGCATCCGATGGCAAAAATAATAAATAAAGAAGGGGATATTGTAAAACATGCAATCTTGATGGGAGGTTTTACCACTGCACCAAAAGGATCAATACTTTCAAGGTGGTGAACCTATCTTAAGATATAGTTTGCATGTTTCACAGATATCCGATACATCTGCCGTACGGGACGAGCAAGGATGGATAAGTGGCGGTCGGATACACCGCGCTAAGGCCTGCCTGGCTGAGAGATTGTATAGAGAACAGTGTACAGGAGGAGTATGCCGTAGATATAGTTACCACGCAGTGCCGGCGGGGATATCTTCAAAGAAATATACTGCATACAGTGCAGTGCATTCTTCATTTCTTCCCCAGCTTGTACCAGAGAGAAGAGACCAACCTGGGAAAGATGGACTGGCAGACACTTTTATTCCTCCTTCTTACTCCCCTACTCTTCGTGATCTTCGGCTGACGGGGACAGCGGTTCCGTCCAACTGTGCGATCCCTTCGTCGCCGGCCCGCGATCAACAGCAAATCCTTCCATTGTTACGCCACGGACGGTTTCCGCGGTAATCTGTGGAGGCGTATTTGCAAATAACCGCCGATGAGTTTTTGCCATCCCCTTCCTCCCCTTTTTGATGTTGCAATGTTGACGGAGACTACTCCGGATTTTTGCAAAAAAAACAAAAAAAAAAAAAAACGGAGACACAGGAAGAGTCAGTCCGACGGGACGATGTTCGGGCAGGGATCATCGACAACCCGTAACCGTAACCTCCCAGAGAGAAAATAATGCCCCGAGGGCTGGAGGAGGAAACAAACCTTGGACAAGCCACGAGTCAAACGAATGTGACTGGAGCTGAGGCTTTTGAGTTGAGGATTCGTCGTCAGCGCATGCTTGCAAAAATCATGGGTTGATCAACATTCTGTTCCAGAGGAAAACGCTGTTCCTCCTTGTAGCTCGACAGACGAACAAAACAACCTGTACGCACCGCAACCACAAGAGAGCGCCGTACAGAGTTATTCCGCACACCTAAGTAAGCTCAGTAAGATGGAGAGATAAGTTGAAAGTAAATCAACCACTCTGGCACGCCTCTTCTCCGCGTTGGTGCGGGTTTACTCTGCACGCGCCGTGACTGTCTGTTTTCTATCTATCCTGCCTCTTTCTTCTTGTCTCTCTCCCGCCCTCTCTCCCGCCCTCTCTTCCTCACTTCTCCCGCGCTGGAACACAGCTCCGCCCTGTCACCGTGTCCTCCGTAGCCTGATCTGATACCGTCCCGGGATCTGGGGGATCTGTTGGTATCGTTGCGTTGGTCGTGCGTCCTTTGCCGCTCGCCCCACTCTGTCTGCCTCCATCCCGAGCCGTAGCTGGGAGTTGACCGCGCTCAGTCTTCGATGGGACCCCGAAGATAAGGAAGCTTGATCCTCGATTTCTCTCATCCTCCAAGGAAAGTCGGAAGGGAACCAGCCCGTATCGTCCAGCAAACGCCGCACGTAGCCACCAGCACCATCCGCCATCCTGCCTACGACTACGGAATACGTGCGAACATCTCTCTCTCTCTCTCTATAGAGTCTACTCTAGCCCGACTTCCTCGGTCTGCAAGTTGTAGTCCTCTCCTCTTGCGTGCACTCTGTCTGGACTCTGTCTGTTTACGTGTCTTCATCTTCACATTCATCCTCATCCCCATCTTCATCTTCTCCCTATTGTCACTCTTGGTGTTCTTTCTCCGTTGTCCCGGCCGTTTTTTTGCCTCTCCCCCGCGGGGCCGCTTGATCTCACCTGCTATTTCCCACCCGCCCCCAGACCAGCCCGCGGGTCAGATATAGTTTGGACTTTTGAGTTGGAATCGCAGGCTGCTGAAGCCCCCTCCAGTCTGGGCCACCCTTCTCTTCTTGGTACTGGAACGACGACACTTCGCCGCAGCCAAGTCTGTGAACCATGTGCGCGCTTCCAGCAACTTCAACTAGGTTTTGACCAGATCTCTTCCCTTGGCTCGCGTTCTCTCCTTGCCCTCTTTCTGTGCTCCGTTGAAGAGATACATTTGCGATTATAGTTTGTTCCCTACTCTTGTCCTTAGGCTTTCCTTGCCCCAGTTGTCTCTTCGCGTCTGCTGCCACGCCTTCAGCTGTTATATATCTTGACCCCGTCCGGGAACCTTGCGCTTGCGGCGAAAATAGTTGCAGGAAGCAGAATTAAAACCAATCTGCCCGCCCGCGGACTCTGTCCATGTTTGTACAAGTCGCGACTGGGTGTGGTCAACCTTGAGCGCAACACCGCATCGCTACCCCGAAACCGGCCGCTCTGCTGCAGTACCTTAAATTGCGGCTTTTCTCCCAACCTTTGTTTCCTTCGGAAACCCTCTCCTACTCTCCTTTTTATAATTTCCCGCATTTCCCTCGTTTCCCTCGACTGTCGTGTTTTTTACTTTTTGATATTTGTTTTTTCTACTTTTATTCCTATTTTATTTTATTTTAATTTTCGTACATTTTCTTTCGATCTGCGGTTTTTCTTTCTTTTGCCGCGGAAGCGCTGTGGTTCGTTTCTTTGTTTGTTACAGCTCAACCCACGGCTGCGTTCTCTCGCTGCTTTCTTCGATTCGGAGACGCCACAACAGCTGCAGTCAACCCATCATTTTATTTATTTTATTTTATTTTTTATTTTTTATTTTTCATTTCCGCGCACAACCGCTGTTAAACTTACACTTATCTGACCACTTTCCCTCACAAGGATTCCACGCGGAGTCCGCAATTGGCAAATCATTAAGGATCTTGTTCAATCTCCCACCACCCCCCACCTCCCCCCACCACACTCATCACCGTGGAGAAGAGCAAAGGACAACCCGCATTGAAAATGCGTTCTAGCATCGCCTGCTCTCGTTGTAGGCGAAGCAAGATCAAGTGTGTCAATGCGGGTATCGATACTACTTGTCGGGCTTGTGAATCATCGGGGAGGGAATGTTCCTATCCGATTCCTGCTCCGGGAGGAGGTACAGGTGGCACGAAACGTGACATTGCGGCCTCCGGGGATGGGGATGATCGGAATGGCGAGTGGGACAGCCCCAAACGTCAGCGTTCAAGGAAATCCACGAATGCTACGACCTCAGGCGCAAAAGATGCCATTAAACCAACCAGCAATGTCCTCGACTCGCCCATCTTGACCGTGAAAGTATGGGAGACCTTGTTCGAATTCTTTCAGCTTCACTTCTCCACTATCCTACCGTTCTTGCACCCCACTGCCTTCCTCACCCAGATCCGTCAGCTTTCCTCGAGCTCAGCACAGCAGGATGGTCAACCACCCGGTGACCACTCGCAGAGCCCAGGTCCAGCTTCAGAGACTTCTCCATTGGTATTGCTGGGCGTCCTGACCCTGACTGCTCGGTTCCACCCACAGCTGACTAGCTACCACTGTCCACCATCACCTGTTGCCCCATGCAACCCTCTTGTAGCCTCTGAATTTTACGCGAACGCACTGCGATCTAGACTCTCGGGAACCTACGGAGCGGACCTTACCTCCACCGACATCAGTCGGGTTCAGGCGCTCCTAATGCTAAGCTTACACGAATGGGGGATGTGTAGGGGTAAAAATGCTTGGGTTTATCTTGGGATGGCAATCAGACTGGCTCAGGCGGCGGACTTGTCATTTGAACAGGAGAATGATCAGCCCCAACAGAGGACGCCCCTGCCGGGAATGCTGAATGCGGAAGTAGAACCACACGATCAGAGAGGACATACTTCGGACGATGTGATTGAACAGGAGACTAGACGTCGGACCTTCTGGAGTTGTTTTATGCTGGATCGATACCTCAGTAGTGGCAAGTATCGTCCGCGCGTGATCAAGATTCGGGATGTAGAGATCCAGCTTCCAAGCGACAACGCGTTTGCTTTCGGAGAGAGAGTCAGAACCTCACGTTTGAATGATGGCTTAAAACGCCGTTTTCAAAATTACGAGTCTCGCGGCATTCAGATTCCCAGTCTACGAAATAGTATGGGCTACGGGGAAAACGCAAAATTACGCCCAAACGGACCTTCAGATCTGAAACAATGGTCATCGACTAGCCACCGCAGCGAGATAGCGGAAAACAGTATTGATCGATGGGAGATGGGCGCGGAGGAGTGTGTTTTGGGTAGACTGGTTCGGATGGTCAGGATATGGGGCAGCATTGCAAAGTGGTCGTGTTCTGGAAACAGAAGGTTTGTCAATGCAATGATGGATTTTTTTTTTTTAATCCAATGACGTCTAGCAGACGGAACTTTGTCTAATTAATCTTGTTTTTTTCTTTGCTCTTGTTTTCTATACAGGCTTGATCAACACCCTCCGTGGCATCCCGATTCTCGCTTCAGCCCCCTTCGGCAACTTTTAGTCGAGTTCCATGACGGTCTGTCCCGCAATCTACAGTACACGCAACGCAATACCGATACCCATATTATGTACAAGAACAGTTTGGCACCCTACTCACTTATCCACATTCTCTACTTCCTATCCGTAATCGTACTGCATAGAGCTTACCTACCATTCCTGCCATTACGGTACCCTGATCCGCAGGGGCCTCTTGACGAGCCCTGTTACCCCTTTGATAAATACCTTGCACCCGAGGCGTTCTGGCGCGAAAGTGCTCGGGAATTGTTCAATGCAGCACGCCAGATGACGGAATTGGTCAAAACGTGTCAGGAACGGGGTGTATTAATGGAAACTCCTGTGGTCGGCTTTGCCATCTATAATGCTGCGCTGGTTGGTGTTTACGCTGCCCACTTTAATCAGATGGACCAAGAGGGTTACCTTTGTTCGAAACCGGGCTCGACAGATGTTGTTCCAGGGTTGGGGTGCCAAGGACAAGTTGACGTACGAAGAGTGATTGAGATTTTAGGGGAGATGAGGCCGCGGCTGAAAATGGCTGGTGGTTGGTTCCGTACTATTCATCGCGTACATGGCTATTTTACCAAGGCCAGACGGGATCTCAAGCGAAATTCCCGGCAGCCGGACACTCTAAATACTGGAACTGGTTCTGAAAACGATATTCGAACTAGTAACGGACGGGCTTACGGTGTCCGAGAACTGGCGCATACAGGATCATCTGACGAACTGAAGCTCTTGGACAAGCTCTTTCTAGACCTTGGTAACGCAGAAGATCAGGTAGCAGAAAAAAATGGACCAGATGAAGATGGCACAGCAGGTTCGGCGAATTTAGTGGAACGAAAGCCCAGCGACGTTGGCAGTACTGCCGTGAAAAGCGAATCAGCGGATGGTTTGGATTCTCATGCTGATGGAGTGTCTAGTACGCGCAGAGAATCATGGGTACCCGTCAATAGTGTCAACAGCCCAGTCCACGGACCCCTGCCGTCATCCGCACCAGAGCATGACAACCCCATATCCCGCCCCAGACCCTTGGAGAATGACCGCTGGCCCAATCTCGCCCCTCCGCAGCCACAGTGCTATCCTCTCCCCTCATTACAGCTATCGCACAGCCTCCCTTCGTCAACCGCGTCAAACAATCCGCCGCCATCACTAACATCTCCTGGGTCCTATGCCTCCTCCACCCACAGTTCAACTGCACCATCCACCAGCTCCCAACAACTCTCCGCAGCCTTAAACCGCCTCCAACCCATCCAGCCATGGAACACATTCCGCAAACCGCCTCCGGCGCCTTACTCACAATCTCTCCCTTCTCTCTCTGCTGCCGCACCACATAGTTTCCCCATGCCACCTCTGCCAGGCACGCAACAGCTCCATCTTAACCCGCCCAGGTTTGATGCTCCACCGCGGCCATATTCTGCCGGAAGCGCTAATACCCCTAGCGGGAGTAGCAGCCCTGGTTGGATGAGCTGCCTTGGAGGCGACGATGTAATCTTCTTCATTGAAGGCGCCAGTCAAGACCAATGGCCTTCCTCGACAGCCAGCTTACGAGGCCTTACGAATGGGTGGTTGAGTACTGTTTGGTGTGAAAGTGGGCAGTAAATAAATAGATCTCCATCTCTTTCTCGTTTTTTACTTTTTTTATTACTTTTTTTTTTTTTTCGTTATATTCGTTGTCTTCAGCGACCTGGACTCTTTAACTTCGGCGCCCCTATATTTTTTGGTCCTTGTTTTTTTTTTTCTTTCCGGATGGGTGAGCGTTGTTCATATGGCTATTTATTTATATATATTTTTTGTTTGTTTTGTTTTATTAGCTTTTCCTTCCTTGGTGTACGCTTTTTTAGCACGACAGCACTCGGGGTCATATTTTTCCCCCTCCTTTTTTACAAGGGAATGAAGAAAGGGATACGGTAACGGGGGGAGGGGAGGGTTTCTGCTTCTTCTTGCAATTCATTCGCCCCTGTTCTTGTTTTAAAACAAATGATTTTTGTTTTCTCTTTTCCTTTTTCCATTTCTGTTTCAAACCTATATTTTTTCTCTTCGTGCAACTCCAGTTGTATTATTAAAACCTTATTTTCCATCTTTGTGCTGTGTTTAACTTTCTTTTACTATTTATGATTGATTGTGCATCATTTGTCATTTGGGGGATTTTTTTTCTTTCGTCCCGCAGTGTTTCTCACTTCTCATTTCTATTTTTAAGTGTAGTTTACTCAACTGTATTATGGTTTTTCCGCTTGTTTTTGTTCTTTTTTTTTTTTGTTTCAAAAGAATATATATCATAGTTATGTCATATATCCAGTTTAGTCAGTTAAACTCTGCATGTGAAAATCTGATGTATTACCTTCTTTGTTTTTTGTTTTTTTTTAGAAAAAGAAAATTATATCCATACATGTCTCGGCTTTTTTTTAAAGTTGAGAGAAAGTTTAAGATTTGATTTATTGACATTCTCCGGAGCAACTCTCTTTCTCTCTCCCAACTGAATAAAGTTTCCCTCATCACACTACATTTGGAAAAAAAAAAATGAAAAGAAAATACAACTAACTACGAGTTACTACTATTTCCAAAGCACAGGTTGAGGGTTGAGCAGCATCCCTCCCCACTCGGCTCGGCTTGGTTCGGCTTTGGGCTCGGGAATCGGGATGTGGGTGGCATTTCGTTCTGTTTCCTAGCCCTGGAAGCCTTGGAAGCCCTGTGTATGTAACGTGGGCGGTTTCTTCAGGACGGGCGTTGTCGTGTGTCACGGTGTGTTCGCGGTAACTTGCCGTCGTCTTCGAGGCTAGCTAGTACTGTACAGTGTTTTTAATGGCTAATTTTTAGTAGATTTCATTTTCATTTTCATTTTTCACTCTTGTTTCTGTTCTTGAAATCGGTCAATCCCCGCATCCTCGCTCTCTCTTCCGCGGCTTCGCCCTTTCTTCTCGCCTGTTTCTTTCACGCCCCGTCGGCTCTTGCACGACGTCGTACTCCAGAATCTGTGCGACCTCCTCCTGGGTGTAATAACCTCGGGATCCTCAGCATACCGCGGATAACCACCTGCACAACCAAATGACAGACAGGGTAACTTAACTTAGTTCACCAAAGCTTGAAAGCATCATCATGCAAAGTGCTTGCATGCTGTGTTTCGCTGCGGTCCCCGTTGTCTTCAGATGCCGGGAAGGTATCGCGCAGAAATTGTCAACAAAATGTCGCCAAATGTCTTGAGGTCCTGGACACGGGGGGGTTTGTCCGAGTGGGGTCGCCCGGTTGGCTTAGGCGCTTTCGGGATGGTGTGTGTCTGTCTTGCCCAGAACATTTATGCTGGGAAGATGGATGGATATTGAATACAATTGGATGCTGCTGGATCGATGTTGATGAAAATACTGAAATTCCTCCCCGGCCGAACATCCCTAATCTCCTCCGGCCATTCTCTCTTGTCAACCATGGGATGTGTTATTCCTTCTCCCCCCCCTTTATGACATGACACCTGCTCTGCTACCTGTAATTGAATCTTAGGCGACAGGGGCACGCCCGAGTGCCCCTTAACGCTTACCGCGGTCGCTGACCCCTATCTTCCTCGTCTAGCAAGCGTAAGCGTTCTTTTTGGTGCGAGAAGGTCGCGTAGCAGCAGTGTAGTACACCGGTTTGCAACTAAATCAACCTCCTTCCCGTTATGTTCTTCTCCAGAGAGGATGGCGCCTCTTTGGAGCAAACTCGTATTCAGAGCGAATCATTCGGAAGCCTTGAACATTTCAAGGGCCCCGAACATCCAGAAGCTTTGAAACACGTTCGTTTCCGCCGCGGAAAATGCATCAAGGGGACCACGGGGAGAAATTCTCTGGCTCATCGGCAAGCTCCCGTGGCGAACGGATGTTTCTTTCTATCGGCCTCCCGGAGAGATTCCATCGCGCCATGGAGATATTTTTTCTTGTCTTGTCCCTGACATCTTTTTCTTTAGGGCGGGTAAATGCAGGGAATGCAAGTGCATGTAACCCTCATCTTCAACATCAATTTCCCTTGTAGCTGGGATTCGCCATCTTCGCCCATCCCCACATTTCTGCAGCGACAAAGCCGCCATTCGACTCGTCCCGTCCATATCCCGCTCATCCCGGGTCCTGGGGCGCACAGACCTCGCGGGGCGATTTCTCGCATCAGCTTTTTTGCACAGTGGACGCGGATTCAAGATAACCTGGCGTAACGTCTGTGGCGTGGAGACATTTGAGTTGTTCACCGTCGGCAGTGTACGCAGTAACTAACTTATATGTCATGGCTTCACATCGTTCAGCGCAACCACCCCACCTCGGTTTGGGCATTGACACTCAAAAACCCAAGAGTTACATCGCGGAACGTTCCCAGCCATTCGACCAGCCATCACTGTTATGTACGCATACATTGTCTATACAGATGGCTTTTCCCTGTTCATCCGCGCATCGTCGTGACGCAGTGTTTGACAAGTGGCAACATCCTCCCCGCAGGTGGCTGCAGTCGCCCTCACACAGCGGGGAAATTTCGTTGGGTTTGGTTATGATCACTGGATAAACACATCGACCTCCCGCCGCCGTTTGTTTGCAGGGTAGTTCGTGTTCGCCGAATTGGTATCCTATAGTTAGGGATAGAGGAGGGAGAGCCTTCCGTGATATCGGCCTCTCCCCCGTCGTCCCTCGGGTTACCGTTGCTATACCCCTTTGCCTGCGGACTATGTCGTCGTATCCCCTCCTTGGATAGAAACGTCTAGCGTACAGCGTAAACGAACATTGCCTGTTGGCCATCCATCGTTTCGCAGGAGCTGTGCAGGGTTGGTTTCTGGCAAAGCCAACGCAACTAACGAGGTGGCTTCCATTGATTGAGCCGTTGTTACATGGGGATTTCTTTGAAATTTTCAATTTCCCTGATGGCTCTCATCTTAAAACCCATGCTTAAACTATGGGGTCAGCTAAATTGCTTCTCTGCGCAGTGGTTTCGAAATATTCGTCCAGAGAGACTACGTCGACGGAGCTTATGATCATACCTTCACTCTGATAATGAATGGTTTTATTTTTTTAAAACCCAAACCAATCTTGATGAAGCTTTTTTCGGTTTCCTGGCCGATGGCTCTACCTACACACCCGCTTTGATGACTTTCAAGAAACATGGTCCATCTGTATTTTATTTTTCCCTGTTAATTGATGAATTCTATATCCACTGGATGGCCTATTTGTTCTCTGTTATTGAAGCCGAGATGCATATGATGGCATTCAATCAAATCTTAAAATAAAAGATATAACTAATCAATATAGCTCTTGGAGAAGAGTTATAATATTTTTCTCTGGCCCCCGTAGCTGATGCAAACATGTCAGGCACAGCTAACAATCTATCATGTTCGAACTGCTCAAGCAGCAATTCCCTCAGCTGTTGAGCTATGGGACACACACTCCGCCTGCAGATGACCATGCTACATTTCTTTCCTCCATTCTTCAAGTATACATCGTTGCTGTGGAGCCACGGAATAACCAGGCGAACTGTGTGTCTTTTTTGCTATGTTCTAGGCTTACCTTGGTCTCGCGAACTACAGTGTCCATTGTTCTCCTGGCCTCTGATTGCAGTGTCTGCGCCAGTTACACCACACCCACACCGGTGACGAGCCCCCTCGTAGCTGTCAAGGCCGAAGAACTATTCCATGCGGCCATGTTTCCAAGCTCTAACAGCAATACCGTCAGCTACATTTTTGGCGTGTTGCAGGGGGTGGAAATCCTTCGAACTAGGATAGCGCTACAAAGGGGGCAACTGCGAAGTTTACTTGGTGCTGTTATCGGCTTCATAGGCAATCGCGTTTGAGATTAAGTTTTTTGTCTGCACTCTCCAGACCGATTGCTCAGGCGCCTGTTAATCCTGGAACCGGGCCAGAAAAGAAAATTAAAAAAAAGAGGGGGCGCGCCGTGGTGTTCAAAAACACCATAGCTTCAGTGTCTATCGAATCGAGTCCGAGACTGTTCAAATTTATCGAATCATCGTTTTTAAAAGGCCAAAATAGTTCCTTGGGAACACAATTCGCTATCTCGGTCGATTGACTTTGCTTGCAGGGAATTGAATGTAAATTGGCGGAATGACTCTTCACATGTTACCAGTATCTATTTACATCTCTGGCTCATGCCGTTAAAATCGGGATAAAAGCGTTTTGGAGAAATCCCGGCATTCATTTTGGCTTTTATGCCCCTGGTGAAGAGAAAAGGACGACGACGATTTGGCTTGTGGGGAAGCAACTGTCAGAACGCTACAAGATGAGCATTGATTGGCATCGGCGCTGCTGGCAATCATTAATGCCGCTGTTCCTGCTATCGCAATCGGCGGTGACATATCGATGCCGGCGGATCTTATGGCCAGGAATCAGCAGGGCTCTGTTTCCATCAGATGGTTTTGCCCATGTCATGGCTCCGCACCGCTGAGGGTACGAGAGATGGTTGGACTGATATCGCACCGCACGAGTCATGGCGCTCCACCTGAACTACGATATGCGAAGGCACGGGATTGTAGAAGGCGAAGGCTTGAAGGACACGGTTACCGTATATACCAGATGGGGCTTCTCGAAAGCGCGGCAGTGTGTACAATGCTCGGGTTGAAGAATTATGGCCGTGAGCAACTACTTTTTATATATTTAATATGTTCGAGAATTTTTTATGTCTGGGGACCGGCAATGAACTATTTACCACTGGCAGCAGTAATCAGCCTCTCAGTCTCCTTCCCCTTTCTTCTCTTCTCTTCTCTTTTGCTTGTTGTAACTGGGGTGTCCCTACAGTGAGTGATTTGCATTGACGCAATCAAACGTCCTGCATATGAAATAACCTGGCATGGTTACTGGACCTGTCACATCTCTCTCCTTGAACACAAATCTATATTTTCAAAAACAAATTCCCAAGAGGAAAAACCAGATCTTTCCCAATTACCGTCTTGGGTCAAGGATGAAATCCGCCCTTTAAAACCCCCCAAACCCAACCCCACTCTCCTTCTTAACTTGAGATTTAAGTCGAGGGCCACTATTATTCCCTGGAGAGAAACTTCCACACGGATGGCTCTCCGCTAACAACAGGAGGTACAATACCGCCGTCGAGGGAAATTTTGGAGCTGTTTCCTACTCTACTCTACTTCCAGCCAAACCACTATTGACCGGGCAAAATCAAGACATTGGAGGGGGCCATCCATCCATCCCTCCCTCTCTGCAACACATCCCCTCCGTCATGGATAGGGAATGAAACGACTAGAGCGATAGACCCTGGCAAGTTCCTGGTGGACGACTCCTTACTGGAATGGAATATGCTCAAGCAGGAAGGGGCACAGTTACGGCGCGCTATACCAGACTGTGGAGCGAGAATGTCTTCAGGAGACGTGCAAAGTATTTCTTAGAAAACGAAACTGAAAAGGGCAAAGCATGTTCGTGGGAGGAGAGGAGAGAGGAGGAAAGAGAGGCTTATATATATATACACAGTAGGTGGCTGTAAAAATATTATACATATGTGTATATAAATATATAGAATAAAACGTGGGAGAAATGAAATATCAATGACAATGAGCAACCTTACCGCCTATCACTTTAACTCATCCATCTACTCAAGTGAACTCTGAACTTACACACAATTCAACCTTGCAATACATACATGCATTCCGATTAAATCGAAACAATTCAATCGAATCAATCCCACAGCCAACCCCACCCCTCACTTTCATCCAGGGAAGGGCCGGCTCAAGAAAACAAAATCTCTTCCCGTCTAAACCGTGGTCCCTTCCATTAATCCAACGTGTCGTTTACTGAGTCTCACTCTCGCAAATGTGTTGTTGGTAACCAGTACTATTTAAATTTTCCGAATTAACCGTTCCAGCCGCAACGATAAATGGCTTCCTTCCCAGTCCCACTTAATGAATAAAAGGAGAACGACAGAAAGAATGAGACCAAGAGGAGCAGGGAGAAGAGAATGTGGGTAGGTAGGTAGGTGGAGAAGTTCTCAGGTGAAATAAATCTATCACTAGATATTGAGAAAGAATTGTGCCAATGAAGAAATAAACGGGAAATAAACGGGCAGGAAGTAAGGGAGATAGAAGAAATCTCTTTTTCTTGTCTTTTTATGCCTGTCAACTCGATAAAATTCAGGGGGTATAAACTACATCTGTTCTAAGTAAAGCTAGAAAGATTTGAAAAGGAACAAAGAAAAGGAAAACAAAGTAAAAAAAGATTGGGGAGAAGGATGCTCATGCCAATTTGGGCAAAGTTTCCTCAATATGAAAGGAAAAGGTGGAACGGTAGGCAAGCTAAAAATTATCAAAGTAATAGAGTACACATCTCGACTCACACACGTATACCTACCACCTCATGACTTACTGCGATAGTATAAAGGGCAAACCCTGCGCGAAAAAGAGGCGAAAATTGGGAAAGAGGTATATTGTGCTCCTGTGTTCGAACGATAGAAAGAGTAGTTGGAGAAAATATACGGGGAAACACTGAAACAAGATAAGTCAGATCAGTAAGATCTGGGGGTTGAAAATAAAAGAAAGAGAAGATAAGAGCCCTGCAGCCTGGCGATATAGCGTCTTGGGGGACATATATAAACAAATATGTGTAGTGGTAAATCATGAAGGAGGGAAATTAGGGCGCGAGGGCACGGGGGCCAGCGCAGCAGCGTGAGGCTTTTATTTCGTCGGGTAGGTTAAGATGTAATAGAGTCGCGTAGGAACGATGAGTATAATTTGCGATGTAGACGCAATTCGCGCAACGGGTTAACAGCTGGAGAACCAATATTCAACCGCCTTCTGAATAAACGCCAGAAAAAAAGAAAGCGAAAAGGGGGAAGAGAAATGAAACAAGGCGCAATCGTCAAGACATCAATGAGGACCGTGAAATAGGGCGGTGTCGCTATAAAATATGGTAGCAGTAAGGGTTAAGAATCGTCGTGAGTCTCGGCTGAGACATCGCCATCGATAGTTTTCCTCCAATGCTCAGGTAGGCAAACACACACAAGCTGGGAAATAGGTCAGTATTGTACTTTAATAAAAAAAAGCGTATGTTGCGGATGAGACATACCGGGAATGCTTTGATTTCGCCTGACGGTGGAGGAGACGATCCTCTTCTGGCTGAGCCGTTAGAAACACCGCTATCACGCTGTGGGTTGCGGTTTATTTCGTAATCCTCGGCCCTTTCGTTTAGTCTGACCCCAGTTGCCCATCCATCATCCCAAATTCCCACCACCTTCAGCATGTCGCCCCTGTCCAGCTCAAATTCATCACCTGCACGAGGCTGATATGCCCATAGAACAGCAACCTTATCATTTGGGTGGATATCATCCTGCGAGTAGTAGTCTCTGAAGTAGGGAAGCTGCTCAGATTGGCCACTAGCCATCCCTTCGGGTGAGGAATAATGGCCACCACTCCCAGACCTTGGTGAGGCTGTGTCACTGTTCCCTGCCAACACAGAAGCACTTGAAAGAGACCCATTTCTCTTGCCCGTAACGGGTGGTCCACGCTTAGACCGTGCTGGACTCTCCCCGAATGCGTCGGAATCGGAAGAATCGTGATATTTGGTTTGACCCGGAGATACTGCTGCGATTCCGCCAGCAGCACGGGGTGGAGATTCGTCATGGCTGCTTGCCTGCAAAGCTGACATTCTGGCTACACGGCTGCCTGGGAGGACCTCATATGCACCATTCCGACTCCCAGGGACATATTGCATTGGTGTCTTATTATTTCGCTGTGGTGACGGCTGGTTTAGCGAGGGCGCCTTTGTTTGCTCGCGCCTCCGTCTCAAACATATAAAGAGAAGAGCTCCAATTGCAGCTAACATAGCTAGTCCCACAACAGACCCCACAACAACTCCGGCAATTTGACCGCCAGAAAGTGTACTGTTTGATGCAACTGCTGCATCCGACGGATGTGGTGAAGATGTCGGAGAAGGAAAAAGAGGAGGAAGCGGCCCGACAGACGGAAGAGTGAGTCCTTTGCACCGATCTGTGACATCTGCGCTGATGCAGCAAGAGTCTGTAGAGTTGGCCGTGCTTCCTTGGCAAAAGCTACAGAGGCCTAGCAGGTTTTGAGCAAAACCGCACTCAGTTGGCTCATTTTTGTCACCAGCGATGCAAGTATCAGTGAGCGCATCCTTCGGGTTCGAACAGACTGTGAAATCAGCTCTGATCTCATTCATATAATCATTTCTCGGAGTGCCGCAAAGCTCGGGATTGACAGCAATTAGTTGTTCACTGGTAGCGTATTGTGCCTGTCGCAAATATATCAATATATTTCTATCAAGTCGAAGATAAAATGCGGATATTGGGGACTAACACAAGACTCTGCACATAGAGGAGGTGAGCTTCCACATGCTGCTGAACTCTGAACAATTCCATTACAAATTACGCTGAGTGTATATCTGGCATAGAGTGAAGAGGTATTGCTAAGGTTGACATTAGTACAGCCAAGTACCTGCTGGTATCTGTTGTTGGAGAGAAGCAGAGGCAAGTAGTATCATTAGCAAAATATAGATCACTTCAAGGGATTGACGAGATTTGAGTCCAATTAGAAACATACTTCATCTTCACATATTCGCTGTTCGCATATGAGTACAGGCGCTCATCGAACTCTTGGGTATTGGAAACGAACGAGAGAAAAGAACTTAAAATTTCAGTCTGATCAGCATAAAATAAACCACGACAAGCGGGTCCTATCAAGGGGGAATAAAACATACAATTTGGCAATGTTTTCCGGGCTCATTGAGACAGCCGCATTGGAGAAGGCGGGACAGGCCTTCGAATCCTTCAGGGAAATGCAATTGGCAGCCATGGCGAGAGTATAGGCGTAGGATTAGGGTCCAGATCACCGTCTCCGGTATTTGCTGAATTCCACGACGGGTTTGCGATGTCGTTTGCTGCTCCAGCTAAGGAAACCCAGCGGGCAAGGGAGGAAATGTTTTGGAGCTTCGGTTGACGGACGCTGGCTGGCCGGGGTAACGAATCGACGAGAATTACAGAGTACAACACCCTACGAGCTATCCGGACATGGTGACGCTGATGAGTCCTTCTCTCCCCTTTGCCTTGATTGATATCTCTGGCGTGAAGGGATTGCGGCTGTGGCTGGCTCCCGCAAAGTTGCCGTCGACAAGGAGTGAATGCGAAACGAGTGACGCGAAGAAAAAAAAGGGGGGCCCGCTTGGAGGGAGGCTAGAACAAATCCGGCAACAAAAATAACAAGATAACGAGTGAATTGAATCAGAAAGAGAAGAGAAGAATTATGGGATGGCGTCCACCGACGAAGCGGGATAAATGAACAAGCTGGACGGCGAGGTCTGAATAAAGAAAGCAGAGAAGAAGTGGAGGAAGGCGGAGGCAGGCAGAGTGTGAGATGGGAAGAAGAGTACTACTACTAATCATGGGAGCAGGGACAACCAGCAGGGTACTGATACCTTGGTACAGCAGATACGGGTACGGCTACTGGTACGGAACCGGTCATCAATGACCAATGATTTACAGCGCTGGCAGGGCCCGATTACCAAAATTACAGCGAAGTATGAGCTAGCGTTCACTACAGCCAATCAGGCAGGTGGCATCCATTCCAGGCCCTGGCAGCTTGGGCGGGAATTTCCAATACGTGGTACGCAGGACAGCTCACAGGGCGGCGTATCAGAATACGCAATGTAGCGTGTACGGTGCAGTGTGTCCAACGGTCATCCAACGATCCAACGGACGAGGCCGGTTTCAAGTTCTCATTACGGATTATCTTTAGCCCAGAAGTGACACATCCATATGCAGGAACAGTGAGTGGCGTGCATGGAACATCTTCTGATCATCCTCGAGCCTCAACCCTCTGCGAATTGGTGAATTGAGGTGTTGTCCACGGATCCGTTTTCAGTGACGTGCGTCGTTTTGCAGGGAATAGCCATCAGATGAATGTTCCTCAGCATACAAAGGTGACCGTCTAACCGTTTGCGAGTCTCCTTCCTCCTCCTCAAGGAGCAACATCAACAGTTAATGCTCCGTAAGATCACGTACGAAAGAACCAGAAAGAAAATAGCGACGATCAAACATACTAGTATTTGATGATAACCTTGCTTGAACTTGTTTCATCAACATTCTGACGCTCCTTTTGAGTCCTTGCCAAACGGAAGTTTTTCTGGGAGCGCCAGGGTATGGGGGATGGATAATTACATACGGCCAAGAGCAGCTAATTTTTTATAGGTACCTCCATTACATACAAAATAACCACATCATCAGGAGAAATATCATATCAATAGTGCTAAATATGATCAGTAGATCTATTATTATAATATATGAACTATATAAAAGTGAGATAATTATGTCAAGATAGCATTTCGATCACCAGATTATTCATAGCAAAAAGTCAACATAATCATTTGCTAAATAATTGTGCTCATAGTGACATATATATCTGTGAATATACAGTAATGATGTGGTCAGACTCACAGTAGTCATTATCATTCAATTCATCATCTATACACTGTGATTGCCGGTCACAGTCTAGTATGGAAATGTAAGCGGCGGGTCGAGGATCTCGCTGCTGATCTAGGGAGGTCCTTAGGGCTCTACGAGGATAAAGCTATAAGGTAATACGGTGTTATATCGGAAGGGATTCGGATAGAAGGATCAGATATCGAGGGAGTAGAACGAAGGGGTGAGATTATATCAAATGATTCACTGGCCTCGAGAAGGTTGGGCCGGCTGCTAATTATATACATGTAGTATTGTAGGTAGATCGAACCTGTCCTCCGATGACTCGTTTTTGGGTAATTATCTGTTCCGGCCTAGCTGCACCTTAGCTCCGGGTTTCTTACAAAAAAGCTGATACCAGTTATTTGATATGATAGTCAACTATCAGCAGCATGCGGAGGATCCTCTCAAAAGTTTTGATTAGCACTAAGAATTTAAGTTGTGATTGTAACCGGCATTAACCATTTCCATTCCATGCCTTAACCTCTAGTTACAGCTGGGTTCTCAGAATGTCAATGTCTGTGGCACCTGAATAAACCACTACAGCTCTATTTCGTATGTAATGAAAGTGTATGCACTATCTCTACAAAAAATTAGCGGCTCTTGGCCGGGTGTAATTAGCCTACCTCTGGGTGTAATTATCCATCTCTCAGGGTTTGCTAGCCCCTGAAGTGTTCCATGGATGGGTCCTGGGGAAATTAGGAACGCCACATCTGAATTTCTTGATCCCGCCAGCCACTAAACGATGAGCTTTGAGCACACATCGTGGCCAGACGAACACTGGATCGGTGCCTCTCCCCACCAAACTAGGCGGCTAGTCGCCGAGCCTGACAACGAGAAAGGAAAAACAAAAACAAAAACAAAAATAAGAACGAAGAAAAATGAAGGTAAATTGTTGAAGAAAAACACGACCTTTTTCCGTCTGGACGACGATGGGGAAACACAAATGCTGCACATATTTATGACACCATTGTATTGAAATGATTTCTCCTTTGCTCAGCCTACCTGTACAGGAAGTACATGCCCTTTACCACGAGTAACCGAGGCACTGGTAGCGCTCCTCCTTGAAGCGCTGCTGGAAATAATCGACAAATGCACCGGGACAAATCCTGCAGGAAGAGATCACTGGCCCATTGCAAGAAAAAAAAATGACACTTTTTCCCACTTTCATTTTGCATGTCAATGAAGAAGTGCTTTGAATGACTGCCTGGTGCAGTACCTGTACATTGCATGCATTCACACTCACTTCTTCCCTTTCTGTTGCAGCGGCTAAATCTGTATAACATTCACCACCTTGGAAAGAATTTGGCTAGCTCTCAATGAGACAAACTCTTCCCCAGTGTTGGATTTTTGGGTCTACATCACCCAACCTACTGGCCTACCCCTTCTTATTTATGTCTATGTCAATGACTGGACCGAACCACAGGCCTTTGTAGAGTTTTTTATAGATGTTTTTCTAAATCCATGCCAATATAGCCTGGACATATGTGTTGTTCATAAATTATAGCACTCTTCCAGAGCACTTGTCAATAGTAACTGCTTGCATTTTGAGCTGGTTAATATCATCATTCATTCAATTCTCACTCTCCTTTCCTTTTAGTATTGTCCATACTAGTATGAATGGAACTTCCATATGAATTCCAGTTGCATATATATCCATTCATTCTCCTGACATTGAAATATGTTCATCCATGTTATGATGTCAGGATTGAAGTGGATCCTCAACAGCCTCCACGGACCCATATGTGGTTAGTCCCTCACGTGGCTTCGCCCGCAAGTGGACGTCACCAGACATCTGCAAGCAAGAAGCAAACATGATCGTTCTCCTCGCAGGCTCCCACATTTTACAGCCGTGGGCAAAGGAAGACATCAACGCCTGACATCCAGCCGGGCTATTTCATCCATCGACTCTCTGGCGCGCTGATACTATCTCTTTATTATCTTGTGTTTTAACTGCTACGGCACATACATACTACTGCTGACATACTGACATCAAGCCAGCCACCATGTGCTGCTCCCCAGACTGCTTTCTCGCATTCATCGCGGTCCTCTTCCCTCCTATTGCTGGTATGTTATCCCCATCCCCACCCGGCACAATTCGCCGCAACCATCCCTACACCTCTTAACTACATGATCCCCCTCCTCAAAATGAAACTCACAATCCTTCGCCCATCCAATCAGTCTGGGTAAAAGTCGGCGTCTGCTCCGCAGACTCCCTCATCAACATCGCACTGCTGGTCCTCGGCTACGTCCCCGGCCTCCTCCATGCCTGGTACATAATCCTCAAATATCCAGAAGACGACCTAGATTATCCAGACGGCTACCGTCCCATCGTGGGTGCAAATGGACAGAGCCACGACACTGAGGGCGGACGAGTAGCATACTACTTTATCTCACATCGGCCACCACCCCCCTCAGCCCCCCATGGCGGCCCTTCCCCCCAACCACACAGATCGTACGGAACAACAGCGCCTGTCGCCCATCCTGCGGCAAGCTCACAGCAGCCATCACATCCTTCTGCGCCTGGAGCAAATGGCGCGGGGGAGGGCAGTAGCAGCGGCCCACATGGAGCTGGAGTGCGCGCACCGCCCACGTACGCAGAAGCTGTGAAGGGCGATCATAAGATACAAACCCCAGACTGAGGTGGTGGATGGATCTGTTGATGAGCTATACTATATGATGATGACGATGTCGATTGATGTCGATGAGCGGATATAAAATTGACATACACTTACATACGTTCGGGGGCCGAACTTTAGAGCAGTCTTATCCCAAGCGTATTGCCATCCAGCCTAGCCAATCCAGTCTACAGCAGGTGACGAAGCTTCCTCACTCATTTACGGTGAAAAACTGAACTTCTCCTCTTTATATGGACCCCACTTCTCCCGGCACTCAGAGATTGGTGCCAGATCTATGTTTGTTGTCGACGTGTAGATATGGCTATTTTCTTTCTGTGATCATTTGCGGCTTCCTACTAAAACCTATACATTGCTGCTTCTTCTTCTTCTTCTTCTTGTTGTTGTTGTAATGCTAGGTTCGTGTGGTTTTTTTTCGATTCCCGTATTGGCCTCCAGTTCTCAACACCGTTTCCAACAGCCCTCTCTCGTCCCGTCGATGTTACAAACTCGTTCTTGTTTTCTTGAGCGTTCTTCTCCTCGCTGGTAGCGTGGCCGAATGTTTGAAAATAATTAGTTTTGCTCCTTGAATATACTTTGTTTTTTTATTCACGCGGGGCGCGGAGGGGCTACGGTTGGGGTGCAGCCGATTTGTAATGATATGATACTTCTTCTCACGTCTCGTTCCTTTTTCCATCGCAAAGAGTGGAGTTATTATGTACGTGCTGAATATTGACTGGCATGGTTCTTCTTATAGTATAATGTGAGATGACTTCTGCAAAGGAAGACTGCCTGAATGAATGAATGAATGTATTACTGCGAAGATGATGAAGATCTGGATTTCTGAAAAGTGGTGTAATATCAGCAGTATTGTCGATATCCTGGTTAATGACCCGCGATGTTTTTTTGCCCAGTTCGATATTGTGAGTACGAAAAATCATTTTTCGTTATTCACTACAGGTGAAATGCAACTCAATAAATCAATAATATCATCCGTGGCTCATTCTTGCCAATGGGATCGAATTTGTGTAGAATAATGGATCCCCCCAAAAAAAAAGCAAACAAAATGCAGGGGATAGTCCAATCTCTCGGTGTTCGCCAACGAGGGTCCCGAGGCTACCAACCAACCAACCATTTATCATTTCAACAACCAACCGCAGCAACAACAAACCTCCTCCCCTCCCCTCCTCCCGCGCCCATGAAGCTGTCTTCTGCCACAAAGACAGTCTCCACCTCACCATGCAACCCATCCTACCAATATTCCGACAATCCCTCCTCCGTTCTTCCATAAATCTCTCACGGTCGTCCACAACCACAAACGCTGCCACCGCCACCAAAACATCCGCTCCAAAATTTATAACTACATCCACTACTACTACGAGAACTGCACGCGCATCCACAAGTCCAATTCCATTCCTCCCACCAGGCGCCAGAAAGCAACATCAATGGTTTGTCAGTGTGCGCCATCGTAATAATAATTACAATGTGTATGCGACTGCGTCAGTATGCTTACGCTGTCAATTCCGCAGACGGTATTCCTCTGTGCAGGGGGGAGGGAAGGGAGTAGAAGGGGACAAGAAAGATTCCATGCCACTAAAGAGCGATGGGAAGGGCAATTTAGAGGGGCCGAACGCGGGGGAAATGCAGGGTGTTTTCACAAAAAGGGCTTCAGAGAGTGAGCTGGATTTGTTAGGTAGGGAGAAAAGGTGCTTGGACAGCTATTCAAAAACACAGCAGCAGGGACAACGACAGCAAGAACAAGACCAAAAGAATGTGAAGGAGGGGAATGGGAATGGAAACGATCGGGGCTTGCCGTCGCAGATTGAAAAGCGTAGATCGGACCTCTCCAAGCAATTTACTCGTTTGATGGATAATATGCAGTCGAACATTTTCATTGTGGGACAGAGGCTTAATGATCTCACGGGCTATTCCGGCATTGAGAAGTTGAAGCAAGATATATTAGCCCAGGGTATGTATTGAGTTTTATGTTGCCATTGGGGATCAATTTGGTTTGTGTATACCGAAACCACCTGCCCAATCTATATAACGACACCCAGGGGAAAGATAATAATGAAATAGAATAAAACTAGAAAAAAAAAACCAAAAAAATGGGAGGGAAGGAGAGGAAACGGAATCCCATACCTTTCCTGCACAATGCTAACCCACCCCCAACAAACTCCCAGAACAACGAGTCCGCGAAACCCGCACCTGCGTCCAAGAAGCCAAAGAGGCTACTCCGCAGCCATCAACCGCCGCTCCGCCTCACAACGCGAAGTTAATGAGCTCCTACAGCGCAAACACGCCTGGAGCCCCACAGATCTCGAGCGCTTTACCTCCCTCTACCGCTCCGACCACGGCGAACGAGCGTGCGGAAACAAACGCGCCGGAGGCACTGGTGGTCCCCGAGCCCGACGCGGAAGAGGCTGCACCCCTGTTGAGCAAGAGCATCCTATCCCGCTACCA